GGTGAAAGCAGCCAAGCAAAATAGACCAAAGCAGAGCAATGGTCCAGGAATATTCATTGACCAAAACCAATGGTGAGGATGTAGCTTGCCCTCATGCTCTGTAGGACTCTGCACAAGGGAAGGAAAATGCTCCCTGACCAGTGAAGGGGACAGGGTTGCATGCATACACCACCTCCATGCCACACACACACAAAAGGGACAGAATTGGATAACATATCTATAAAAATATCCCACAGGAATTACCTCAGTGCACAACGAAATTTTCACAAGGTAGAAACACCACTTTACGAGAACAGTGCAAAACATTTGCACTTCACGTTGTAAGGATATTGCTGCATCTTTGGAAAAATAAATAGCACCTAGAAAACCACCATTTAAACAAGCAGGGAGAGGAGTTATAAATAACCATGACTTTGAGGAGAAAGCATCTAACTCATTTGTTGAGTGACAGCTGGGCCAACATTAAACATCTTTCTTAGGATGAAATTATATCAACCCAGATTCAAAATATCTTTGACCACAGCACACCTCTGTATTCTAGACCTCTGACCCACTGAAAATTAGAAAGAATAGAAGCTAGTTGAACTGGATCCCATGAATGTAGAAGGCAATTCATGAGTCATAATCTGATCAGAAAAAAAAATCTAAAAATGTTTATAAAGAGGGTGGCTTCCCTACAAAGACTATTTAGAGCACAGGAAATTTCTGTTTCTCCTTCTGGAATAAGATTTGTTATCAGTGGCTGAGAAGTGAGGCTCAACCTAGCCATGAGATTCTAAAACCTACCCATCCCTCAACATTTGGAAGCACTTAAACTTTGGGCTCATTACAGTGCCTTTACCAGAGCTTAGTTTGTTTGACTCAATTCTTCTGTGCACCTGGAATCTCAACCAAGAACTCCTGGAGGGAAGAGGTCTGAGTCTTGGAATCTACAAAGTCTCAGTTGCTTCCATACGGTCAGAAGTTGGCAGAAAAAGTACTGTGAAGTGGGATTGTGGAAATAACCAAGTTCCTTTATGGTGTCTTTCTGGCACTGGGATAAGGATGGCCTCAGAGGCTGGAGGGCAGGAGTGGTCCAGGGTTCTAAAGCCTGGGTCATGGAGTCAGCACACATGCGCTGCCACTCATGATGTAAGAGATACAGGGAAATCTCAGCCTCAGTCTATGCATTTGGAAAATGGGTATGAAATGTTCCCTTCGAAGAGTATATGGACAGATATATGAAATCCATAGTCCAACAGCTGGCACCAACTGAGTTTTTTTTTTACCTCTTAAATATACAACATAGTGTTAACCAATTTGGAAACTGACATTTATTGCTTTTTTCATTTTATTCTCTATAAAACCTTAAGTTTCTTTTTTTTTTTTTGCTTTTTGGTCACACCTGGCGATGCACAGGGGTTACTTCTGACTCTGCTCTCAGGAGTTACTCCTGGCAGTGCTCAGGGGACCATTTGGGATGCTGGGAATTGAACCTGGATCGGCAGTGTGCAAGGCAAACGCCCTACCTGCCGTGCTATCTCTCCAGTCCCAAAACCTTAAGTTTCTGTTAAATTTGGCCCTCCTGAATAACCTTTTAATAGAAAAATAAAACCTCAAATTACAAAAGCATATTGTGGAATAGCTTCAAAATGGTTTTGAATCAGATGAATTTGCAACATTCCAACTCTCTTTAATCCCATAAAGAAGAATGTCCTTTCAAATATCCAAGGGTTCATTCATTCAAATATTCATTGAGCTCAAACTGCCTTGAGCCACTGTTCTGGGTGTCCAGAATCCGCAGTGACTAGAACAGACAAATAAAGCTGCCCTCAAGGTGCAATCCAACATGGATATAGCAGCCACCTTCTCTTTCCTTTCTTACACTGAACATCCAATCATACCAGACTTCCCCAGGGTTAGTAAAGACTCTGGTAAGATTTGTTTTCTCTTTGACTTACATCACTTTTACTTTCACATTCTGCAAGAGAAATGGAATGCAAGTACCCTCTGATACAAGGCAGGAACTTAAAGCTAATGGCCATCAAAAATGCCACAGATTCTGTTTCTAGGGGCCCCACCCCAAAGTTCTGGGTCATTCCCATCAATGTTCAGTCTGACAGTGCAGGTCTGGCTGTTTGGTGCTCAGATCTGATGGTCCTATGCCCAGGGGCAGTTAGCACTACAGAGTGCTGGGGATTAAACTCCAAAACTTGCACATGTTAGGTATGTGCTCTGCAACTTGAGTTATCTCCCTGGCCTATCAGCATGTGATCATCTATCCATCCATCACCTATCCATCTATCCATCCATCCATTTATTCATTATCTATTTATTCACGCATCTTCCCATGTTGAAGATGCCATTGTTGACAACATTGACGAGGAATACGATCGACTGGTTCAGCACCTCCATGAATGTGCGAGGAACGCCAAGAGAGAGATAGCCACAAAAAAACACCTGTCTTCGAAAACTCTTGAGCTAATTCGCCAGCATGGTTTGGTGCATGCCTCAGGCAACCGCAAGCTAACATCCGAGCTCACAAAGCAGTGCAGAGATGCGATCAAGAAAGACCTCAAAGAGAGAAGAGCAGAAGTACTGGTAGATGCGGCAGAAGCTGGGAAAAGTATTCGTAATGCCTGCCTGTCCTTCACCAACTACAAGACCAAGATGACTGCCCTCCGAAGTCCTGATGGATCCATCACATCCTCCAGAACGGCAATGGAGAAGATTATCCATGACTTCTACTCAAATCTCTTTGATAGCCAGGTCCACTTGCCGACATACCAAATTCCACAGGATGGATATGTCGTTCCCAACGTTCTCCCTTCCGAAATCCAACACCATTTCGTCGGTAAAGAAACAAACAGCACCCAGCCCAGACAAGGTCAGACCTGAGCACCTGAAGAACCTGCCGTCAGTACTCATCAATACACTGGCTCGGCTCTTCACTCGCTACCTGTCTGAATGCAAGGTTCCGTCCCAGTGGAAAACCAGCAGGACCGTACTACTGTTCAAGAAGGGAGACATCCATGACATTGGCAACTACCGCCTGATCTGCCTATTGTCTGTCATCTACAAGTTGTTCACTCGAGTCATCCTAAATAGGTTTGGCAGAACACTAGATGAAGGACAACCATGTGAGCAAGCAGGGTTCCGCAAAGGATTCAGCACCATCGACCATATCCACACGATAACCAAGCTCATTGAGGTTTCTCGGGAGTTCAAGATGCCGCTCTGTTTAACGTTCATTGATTTAAAGAAGGCCTTTGATTCTGTTGAGACGGAAGCGGTCATTGAAGCCCTAGCCAATCAGGGCATTCAAGCCCAATACATCAGGATCCTCCGTGAGCTGTATTGCGGATTCACTACCAGGATCTCACCATTCTACAAAGAAGTGATCGTTGATGTCAGGAGAGGGGTTTGGCAGGGTGATACCATTTCACCGAAACTCTTCAGTGCCACCCTTGAGAACATCATGTGACGACTGGAATGGGAAGGAATGGGAGTGAAGGTAGATGGTCGGCAACTACACCACCTCCGCTTTGCTGATGATATTGTTTTAATAACACCAAACATCAGCCAAGCGGCACAAATGCTGGCCGACTTTGACCGGGAGTGTGGAAAGGTAGGACTACAGCTAAATCTTACGAAGACAATGTTTATGAGAAACAGCCTCGTTCCTGACACCCCATTCGCTCTCAACGGAATGACCATCTCTGAATGCAACAGCTATGTGTACCTAGGTCGAGAAGTCAACATGACAAATGACCTGGCACCCGAGCTGGGCAGGAGGAAGAGAGTGGCTTGTAACGCCTTCAGAACGTCGAAGAAATAGCTAAGAGGACGAAGAACCTCCGGCTCTGGGCACATCTCTTTGATTCCACTGTTCTTCCTGCATTAACATATGCCTCAGAGACCTGGGCCCTACGCAAACAGGATGAGAATGCTATTTAGGTCTCCCAAAGAAGAATAGAAAGAGCTATGCTTGGAATATCATGGTTCACTCAAATGAGAGAAAAAAATCTGGAATTCCGACATCCGTCGACGATCAAGAATCAGGGACGCTGTCTCATTTGCCAAGGTGTCAAAAATCAGATGGGCTGGTCACGTAATGAGATTTAAAGACGACCGCTGGACTAGAGCTGTTACTGACTGGATTCCATGGGATGTCAAAAGACCACGTGGCCGCCCACCTACCAGATGATCAGACTTCTTTGTCAAGATCATGAACAATCGGTTTGAGGCTCTTCATGATCCCAGAGTGAACAGATGCCATTGGGCTACACTAGCACGCGACAGGGACAAATGGAGACGTTACTAGTGCCCACTCGAGCAAATTGACGACTAACGGGAAGGTAAGTGATTAAGTGATTTATTCACACATCTATCTATCATTTTACCTATCCATCTATCCACCTATCATATATCATCTATCCATTCATTCATTCAGTCATTTATTCTTTTTTTTTCTTTAGCCCACACCCAGCAGTATCCAGGCTACTCACACCAGTGACTGAAGGTCATTGCCGTGTCAGAGGTCAACCCAGGGGATCCTGATATAAAGCATTTGGGGCAGCCCTTCGGGTCATCTCCCCAGACCCTAGAGATTACTTTTTATAACTTAGCAAAGCCATAATAACTTTATTTATTTCCACTTCACTCCTTGATAACCAGACATCTACTAAGAATATGGTCAACTTCTGTTCTCTTGCTTCCGCAGACAAGAGCAACTGTCACTAATAGAGGACAGCAATGTCATGCAGGAAAGCCCTCAAGTTGACAATTTTCTCTTGGAAATGCATTTTGTTTGGATAAGACTTTCTCAGTCACAGCTCAGTGGGGGCAAGGCTGGAGCTATAAAGTAAGAAAGAGCATGGAATGCTCATGAGACCAAACCTCATGGACAACCAGGTGGCCAATGAAGACAAATATGGAATGGGTGAGCCTTGGCTGAAATGAATGGGGGGAGTGGATGCTCTATTCTGTCAAGGTACCCTGGGACTCAATTCCCTCTGTACCTGGCCGCCATGAGGTCCAGGAGATGCTGCCAGCGGTCGTTGACCTTTCCCAGCTTGTACTCAATCTCAGATGCCTTGCTTTCATGGCTGGCCTTCGCCAGTCGCTCTCCCATTTGCTGGAGCTGAATTTTGTTCTCTTGGGCTGCAGCAATTTCCTCTTGATAATCCTGCATAATGAACAGCAATCACAGAGGAGAGAAAGCTTATCTTCATGCATTCAGCCAGGTGTAGTAGAAATAAGATTAATACAGAAGTTGACTGCTTAGCTGTAGTTCTGACATGGAAACATCAGTCAATTTTTTTTTCTTTTTGGGTTACAACCAAACATGCTCAGAGGTTACTCCTGGTTCTGCTCTCAGAAATTACTCCTGGAAGTGCTTGAGGGACCATATGGGATGCTGGGAATCAAACCCGGGTCTCCCGTGTGCAAGGCAAACGCCCTACCCACTATACTATGGCTCTAGCCCCACATCAGTGAAAACTGAATGGTCATGTCACTGTCCTCCCGTTGTTCATCAATTTGCTCGAGCGGGCCCAGTAACGTCTCCATTGGAGACTTTGTTGTTACTGTGTTTGGCATACTGAATACATCACGGGTAGCTTGACAGGCTCTGCTGAAATGGTCATGTATACACCAATTAGTAGGACCAATTAGTCTCAGGATATACAAAGGAACCAAAACAAACATTTTCCCTATTGGGTCACATTCAGAAGTACTGGGGGATAATGTGGTGCTGAGGATGAAATAAGGGACAACCACAAGCCAAGCATGCACTCAATGCTTTAAGTCATTCACTAGGCCTCGGGACTAAGTTTTTTAATTGGTGTTTTTAAAGGCAACTAGTAATGGGGGAAGGAGACAGTAATATAAGGGTATACATACTAAATCAGGTTCAATCCCTGACTCCACAGGGTTCTCTGAATGTCAATGTAGCCTGAGAGGCCCCCAAACACCACTGGGATGGCTTGAGTAACCCCCAGGCCCTCAGGGACCTAGCAGTACCACATCCTTGGACCCCAAGGCATTGACTTACAGGTCTGTTTGGCCAAGAATTGCGGGTGGGGCCCTATCTTTCCTTGGTAGCACTGTTTGTGATCACCCTCCAACCCTGCCAATAATACTAAATATATAAATAAGGCAATGGAGAATACCTTCTTTTTTATTAAACATGGGTTTCTGAAAAATGAATTATATACATAGATAGGAAACACAACGTTTGAAGGATTGTAATGCTTGGAAATTATACCTCTTGTTGGAAGTGCCTGATATCATACACACAAAAATTATTCTGGAAGACTGAAAAATAGCAAAGCAGGTAAGGTGTTTGTCTTGCACATGCCTAAACTGGATTCGATCCTAGGCATCCCAAATGGTCCTCTGAACACCCCCAGGAATAATTCCTGAGTGCAGAGCCAGGAGTATCCCAAGTATTGCCAGTGTGACTCCCCCAAAACAAAAAAAAAATTATTCTTTATATAACAGTTTCCAAGATGTGTGTTGATAGATGCCAAATATATGAATGTTGTAAAGCTCGTGCACAAGGCAAGAGCCCTACCCACTGTACTAACTCTTCAGTCCTACTACCTGCCTTCTCGTGTAATTTTCATACACTAGGAATGTGTACATTTATAGACATGCATAAATTTACAGACATATAGACATGTACACATGTATATCAATTGTTATTTGTAAGGAATGTCTTAAAATGGTATCTTTATTCTAAAAATACATCCATTATGGACTGTCAGTATTTCACAATTCATAAATCAATGGCAAATAAACTCTCAAGAATAGTAGCTACTAGACTTAAAGGATCAATGGGTTATTGACCTTCATTTACTCAGTTTCTGCTCAAATTCCTTGAAAAGACTATTTTGAAAAGGAGAAAGGCCTAGTGATATTAACGGAAACAAACACCTCCTCACCCTCACCTTCTGTGATGCTCTCCTTTTCTTGAGTTAGTGACAAGACTTAATCTTTTTTTCCTAACCCAGTAGTGCTCAGGAGTAACTTCCAACTTAGTACTGAGGTAGGGGTGGGGGGTAATGACCAAACATTGCCAAACTCAAACCCAGACCTCCCACATGCAAAGTATGTGCTCGGCACTTCGAGTTATTTCCCTAGTCAGCATTTAATTTTTGGAATCAACTTTTTCAGTCTTGTCTTGATTTCTTGTTTATCAGCATGTTTTCTGAGAAAAATAATCTAAATATATGAAAAAAGATATTAAGGGAGATGGATATTGAACCTATTCTTGATCTGAAGCCCGTGTGGAAACAGACTGACCCCACAAATCAGCTTAAGCAAATGGGGTTCTCAGGGATCTAGTGAGATGTTCTTCTATCGCAGGATGAGAATTCTCAGTTCTAACACCCCTAACTATTCCTCTTCTTTGTTTTGTTTTTGTTATAGGGTCATGCCCGGCTATTCTCGGGGCTTACTCCTGGTTTACTGATTAAGTGAGCCTTACATAGGGAGTATTCCTGGCTGCCTCAGGGAACCATATGGGGTGACAGGGATCGAACCAGGGTCAACTGCATGCAAGATAAATGCCCTACCCACTGTACTATCTCTTCAGCCTTGCCACCCCTCTCTGCCCCATCTGCCTTCTTATGTAATTTCCACACACTAGGGTTTAAAGATCAATAATCTGGGTGTACTTATTCATGGTCCTAATATTTCACCACCAATGTTAATATTATTTGATTGAGGACTCTTAAATTGAAAGAAATGACTCTGTCTATATTGTTATTTATAATAAAATGATCCTTGTGTATTATTTTTAACTGAAATGTTTTTGCATGTCAGTGCTTGTAGCCATATCTGGTTACAATTTATTTATTAATTGCTCTTTTCTAGGTTGTCAGGATGACCACCCTGGCATTATTTTCCTTGACAAAAGAGACATCAGAAGCGAATTCATAGACTTCTTTTCAAAATTCCATACCTTACTTTATATTCAAAAGAACGCAGTTAATATTTTTATATTCAGGAGTGATCCCTGAGGGCAGAGCCAGGAGTAGTAAGACTGGGCACCACCAGATGTGGCCCCAATACAAGCAAACAACAAAACAAAGCAAAATATAAAACTCTCAGATAACTCTTTGTTCCTGTAACTATCTACAAATTATGTTTTATGGAAAAAATATCACAGTTCATTGACTATACACCTATTTTTTCCCTTTTGTCAGGGGTAAAGGCCTGAACTACCCAGAGCTGTGCAGGGATTATTCCTGGCTCTGTGTGTATCAGTGATTACCATGGTGCTTGGGGAACCATATGTGATGCTGGGGATTCAAACCAGTGTCAAAGTCAGCTGTCACAAGCTCAAGCAAGGCAAGTGCCTTCCCACCTGTACTATCTCTCTGTCCCTGATTATAAACCTCTTCCAAAAAACAAAACAAAAACAAGAAACAAGGCCAGGGATGTGACTCAAATAGCAGATGAATAGCCCCGAAGGCCTTTGGTTCCATCCAAGCCAGGGACTATCTCCACACCACTGTTCACGCCCCCTATCAGTAGCATAGGAAGTTGCTCCAGGGCTGCGAACTCTGCCTGGAGGACCCTCTCCAGAGGAACAACTAAAAAACAAAATAAAATAAAGGGTGTTGGTAGGATCCTCCCAGGATGGGAGAAGCATGCTGAAAGCAGACTATAGACCAAACATGATTGCCACTCAATGCCTCTTTTGCAAACCACAGCACCCCAAAGGAAAGAGAGAACAAAAGGGAATGCCCTGCCACAGAGGCAGGGTGGGATGGGAGGATGGGGAGTGGGAGGGATACTGGGATCCGTGGTGGTGGAAAATGGGCACTGATGGAGGGATGGGTGTTTGATCATTGTACAGTTGAAACCCAAGCACAAAAATTTGTAAATCTACAACTGTACCTCATGGTGTTTCACTAACAAAAATTAAAAAAAAAAAGTAAATGATGGACAATGGGCACTGGTGGAGGGATGGGTACTGGATCATTGTATACCTGAAACCCAAGCACAAAAATTTGAAACACCTCATGGTGTTACACTAATAATTTAAAAAAAAAAAAAAAGAAAGTACTACACAGTCAAAGAGTTCTCCTGAATAGGAAACTGCATCCGCCAAGTAGTGACCATTATCAGCAGACAATCTCTTTCAGCACCAGTTGAAAATATTACCTGAGTTTTGTATATAATTATAGGACTTTACATGGTGGTTCATTTCATATTGAAAAGGAAAAATGTTTGAAGCAGAGAAAGCTCCTTGCACCGGAAGGCAACTACAGGTTAGACCGGCTACCATTCTGAAGCAAAGCAGACACGAGCCCTGTGCTCCGTGAGAACACTGGGAACCAACACTGGTACCTTCTTCAGCTTCTCTATCATGTCCTCAATGAGAATGTCTCCATTCTGGGAAACTTTGCTCTCCATCTGAGTCAGCCATTCGCAAAGTTCCTTGTTCTTCTCACTGAACACTGCCCATTCATTCAACCTCTCGCTCACTTGCTGTCGTCGTAAGGAGAGCTGAAAAAGAGGAAGACAAAAGAATTGAGGAAAACAGCAAACCTGCCATGTGAGGGGAATAAGAAGGCTTCTTCGAGAAAATACATTATTTTAGGTACCATGATGAAAAGACTGTTGATGGCAGGGCTTCATGCTTACAAAGTTACAATATCACACTCTTCCTCACACTGTACCGCCAACCCATCCCACCTCTCCCGCACCAAGGGTATCTCATTTCTCGGGACAGTCACCTTTTACTCTTAGTTCTCCATATCCCACATACAAGGGAGATAATTCTAAGTCTGTCCCTCTCCTTCTGACTAATTTAAGTCAGTTTGCTACTCTTCAGATCCACCCACACGATTCAGGCCACTGAAAGGTATGATTTCCTTTTGGGGTCATACCAGTGATGCTCAGGGGTTACTCCTAGCTCTGCACTCAGGAATTACCTGGGCGGTGCTGGGGGGACCATATGGGATGCCAGGGATCGAATCTAGGTCGGCCGCATGCAAGGCAAACGCTCTACCCGCTGTACTATAGCTCCACTCCCTGAATCGTATGATTTCATCTTTTCTTGGAGCCAGGCAGTATTCCACAGTAAATAGAGACCATGGCTTCTTTATCCAGTCACCAAACAGGGCGTCTTAAATGTTTCCCATCTCAGGAAATGTTTCCCTTTGTGCCAGGAAAGGCAACATGGACAAGCACCTCCAGAAACACTTTAGACTCACGACAAGGTTTGATTTGAAGTACTTTTGGGTTGATGCATGGAGGATAACATCGGTTTGTCCTTTTTGTCTTATCACAAGGAGCTTAGGTTTTTGTTACTCCTATCACAGTGTTCCAATTCCTCTGCGTTTATTTGTAACCTCTTTCTTTGTGCTCTGTTGACTTCTAAATATTTTTCTCTTCTCCTTAAGTCCTTTGCATAGTTAATTCAGAGCAATGTCCTTTTTGTATGAACACAGTAAGAGATATATTGAGGCTTGTAGGGTGGCTCTCCTAGAACATCTCACTACAGACTCAGACTACAGTGCTCAGGCCCGATTAATCTTTCCTAACACTAGGAGGATACAAATCTACTTATTGATTTTTGGATCATGACAGAATTTATCCATGACCATGATCTTAAGTAGTAGTTAAGTATTATGGCGCTTTGGCCAGGCACATTTCAATGCCAGTGTAGCACATGGCTCACAGCTTGCCTTGGGTTCATACAGACCCTCGTTGGGACCCTGTTTTTGGGGTGCTAGGAAGTAGGGGCAACTGAGGTTTAAGTCGAGAGAACAGATGTCCAAGAGGTAAACATCATTCAGAGTTAATTAACTCCCAAGTTATGAAAGCACAGCATTAACTGTCTTCCTGTGTCCATACAAAAAGGACCTTGCTTGAATTAACTATGCAAAGGACTTAAGGAGAAGAGGAAAACAATATTTACAAGTCAACAGAGCACAAAGAAAGAGGTTAAATAAATAAATAAACACAGAGAAATGGGAGCACTATGATGTGAATAACCCAATAAACCTAAGCTCCCTGCGGCAAGGGAGAAAGGACAAACCAATGATACATATTCAGAGACCTTTCACTGCTGCCAATTTCTGCATGATCACTGCATTCACTTACACAGACCCCATATGGGCAACGGTTGTTTATCCCTTTAGGCCATGGTTCCCAAGGGGCAGGGCCCAGAAGCAGTCTCCAGCAAGGCTTCAATAGCAGGATTTTCTGTTAGATACACACAGGATATTACCCCTGAAGTTCCTTCCTGTAAGCTCACCTACACACTAGCTTATCAAAGGAGAAAAGGGCAGACATATTCACAGCAGCAGAAAACCCTGAGAAGAGCCAGCAGCTGAAAACAAATCTAAATGCCGACCCACAGATGATCTCCTAGTGAAGACGGAGATCTTCGTGTACATAAGAAAATTTCTCAGGCCGGAAAAAAAAAAATAAAGGTGAAAGCCTGACATTTGCAGCTATACTCCAGAAGGACTTAGTAGGCATTGCTATAATTCTTAGTAAATGAGACTGAGAATGACAAACAGTATGATTTCACTCAAAGGTGATTCACAGAGAAACAGAAATAAAGAAATAGAAGGTAATAAATAGAAGAAAAATAGTCTAAACCTTTAGACTAGAAGACTGGTGAGCAGAGGGAAGGAGGGAGGGAAGGGAGGGAGAGTGGATACATCAGGTCAAATTGCAAATGGAAGGATGGAATTTGACTTTTAGTGGTGATCTTATTGCGATCTATACAGATGCTGATGCATGCTGGGAACATCCTATAATGCAAAACTACCTCAATGACTTATAAAAATAAAGTTTCTGAACGGTCCAACTTCAAATCACAGTGAGTTCAGTGTAGAAATGTTACAGAACAAAAAATATATACTTTTGCCGAAAAAGAAAAAAAAACACAAAATAAGGGAAGAAAAGAAGGAAAGGGAAAAGAGAGAAAAAGAAAGAGGGGAATGAAGGAGAAGAATCAACTGAGTCTCAGAGTTTTGTGGGGATGGAGCAAATGAACAACTTGGAAAGAGGTGTGAGCAGAATGATTCCAGCCTGGGCTCACAACTTCATTTTAGGGTCAATTCTTACACTTCCCAGTCTGGTCTGGTTTCCTTCCTTCCTTCCTTCCTTCCTTCCTTCCTTCCTTCCTTCCTTCCTTCCTTCCTCCCTCCCTCCCTCCCTCCCTCCCTCCCTTCCTTCTGTCCTCCCTCCCTCCCTCCCTTTCTTTCTTTCTTTCTTTCTTTCTTTCTTTCTTTCTTTCTTTCTTTCCTTCCTTTTTTCTTTAGCTTTATAAGCTATAATCCAAATAGTTTCCCTATTTACCTATATTATTCTGTGTTTTTATATGGGATTTGACAACCACACAATTTTGGAACATTTTACACACACACACACACACACACAAACACACACATCTGTACCTACCACCTAACACTAAACTACTTTCTGTCTTTAATGATTTGCCTATTCTAAATATTTCATATATGAGAGAATCCTGCAATACTTTCCTGATTCACTTCTTGATGTAACATTTGATCCATGTGATAGCATGAATCAGTGCTTGATTCCTTTAATTGGTCAATTTAGTCCATCAGATGGACTGAGCACATTTTATTCAATTTACCTGCTGAAGAACATTTAGTTGGTTTCCACTTTTGACCTATTATGAGTAAGGCTGCACATCACACACAAGTGTTTCTGTGAATATGTGTTTCCCTTCTCCTGGAGAGATACCGGGAGGGTAATTCCTGAGTTAATGGCAGCACTACAGACTACTTTCCAAGATGGCTTTGGGAGTTTCATACTCCCATTGGCAGTAGGGATCCAATTTCTTCACATCCTCACCGACAGTCTTTGTCAGACGAGTGGAATAAAGAGGTAGCTCATGAGGTTCTGATCTGCATTTCCTTGATAGCTGATGATATGAAGAATCCTCTCATGTTTCTTGTCCATTTGCCAATCTTCTTTGGGGATCTATCTAAATCCTTCACCCATTTAAAAAAAATTGTATGCACTATGATTTCAATACTGTGATTACTAAGAATTCAAGGACACTGTGTTGCTACGTCACACCCACCAAAATACCATCAGCCCTTCACCACCAGGTCCTGTCTGTGCCCTCGCACCCACTCAGCAAACTCTCAGATCTGCTCTGGGGGGCTATTTTCCAAATGCCTTACTTGCTCCAATTTTTAATGCCTTGTCTTTTTATCATCATGTCATGATAGTTCTTTATTTTAAAAACTATAAATCTAATTTTCTTATCCCTAGGTCTGGAACTTTTCTCAGAATTATACATGATTTCAGAGTATTCTTTTTTTTTTCTTTTAACAGTGTTAGTTGGGATACAAAGGGACATTCTACTTGAGACTGACTATTACCCAAATGTAATGTGACTGGAGTGGCAGAAAGATCACTCCCCCCCCCCTTTATTTTTTTAAGAGATAGTCTTCTACAAAGTCACGGTGACAATCAGAAACATTCTGCCCTTCTATGCATTAAATACCTCCTCAATTACATTTCTATCACACATCATAAAACTATAACGCAAGCTTTCAAACACATAGAAACTGAAAATACTGTTAAGTATTCATAATATACTCTAGACTCTAGTGCTATTATCATTTTGCTTTAATATTCATTCCCTTGACACCAACACATCTTACCGTTTTGTTTGTTTTTTTGGGTGACACCTAGCTATGCTCAGTGATTTACTCCTGGCTCTGCACTCAGGAATTACTCCTAGAGGTTCTCAGGGGATCATATGGGATGCCAGGGATGGAACCCAGATCGGCCACATGCTAGGAAAATGCCCTACCTGCTATACTATCTTACTTTTTGATGTATTTTAAATCAATTTCCTCCCCAAAATGAAAAAGAAACTATTCTTAGCTGCTCTCCACTTCTAGTTAGCAATTGTGCCAAGTGTTGGCTCCATTCATAATTAGATGAATAACATCCAACATCTGTGATTCTACATCTAAAAAAAATTAGCTGGGAATTAAAAATTCCTATCCCAGTTTCAGTCTTTACTAGTACTACAGCTGCCTAGACAGCGAGTCCCATTCCCTCCCATAGATTTTGAAATGCCACCAGCAAAAAACTCATTCTTCTGAGTTAACTATGATATTTTAAAATAAAAATGTCTGAGTGACACCGTTAAATCCATGATGGTTTTGCCCATTAATATATATGTCTGTTTGCCACTGCATTTTCTTTGAGGTCCCCCAAATAGAGATGGCAATAAATTTAATGGGCGTGGATAGTGAAAAGCATAGAAAAAAAAAAGGAAGGTTTAAAGAGCTTTGGAGACCAATTTCACTTCCATTAAAGCTACACCAAAGTGCTGAAGGTGAGATCATCCTTTTAACTACCCTGCTTCTCTTTTGAACTCTGACACCAAAGTGGATTCTGTTGAGATATTAAGATTTTGAATTCTCTGCTAGATGGGGTTTATTTTTTTTTCTCCTGTTCACAGAGTATCAGAGCAGGAGTGTGGCTAGCAGTTAAACCTCATGAGAGAAGTCAGTCAAAAGGAGGAAGACAAATACCGGAAGTTCTCACTCATAGGAGGTCTGCAAAACAACAAAGCAGGGAACAAAGTCCAGTGACAACAACCCCTGAGCCTCTGACCCCAGAGCTGAGTTACCAAAGGGAGGGAGAGAGGACAGTGAGGGGAAGTATCCCTAGACATATAACATATTTGCACTCCTGTCAGCCACTGAGACCTCGATAAAAATAGATGGGCACTGGTGGAGGGATGGGTATTTGATCATTGTATAATTGAAACCCAAGCACAAAAATTTGTAAGTCTACAACTGTACCTCATGGTGTCTCACTAATAAAAATTTTAAAAAAATAGATACGCTTAAAGAAGTCTGAATGTCATAAATACTTAGCTAAAGATGATCCCACATGGAGGCTCATCTGGTTTTTTTGTTTTGTTTCATTTTGTTTTCGCCATACCTGGAAGAGCTCAGGGCCTTCTTCTGTCTGGTTCTGTCCTCAGGGATTACCTTTGACAGGGCTGGAGGAACCATACACAGTGCTGGCAATTAGACTGGAGTCAGAGTGTGCAATATATGCTCTTTGACTCCTGTACTAGCTCTCTGGCTCTAAAATTTTTGCTCGGGTTTATCTGATGTCCAAGCAGAAATGATGTTTCATAACCGGAACTACTGCCCAAAGCAACTCTCCATCTGGGGCAGCTCAGGAAGGCTAGTGGGCTGTCTAGTGTCCCTCCTATATGAGGGGCATGAGTGTGAATGAACTCTAGGACTTCTCTCAACCACTTTTTCAGGGAAGATGATCCCCTGAGAGAAAAGTCTGTCTCTATCTGGAAAATTTGTACCATTCCAATTCTGGACATGAGGCAAGATGAAGGTTCACCACATCTGAGGCATTTGTTTTTGGCCTGTAGGAGGTGGGATCAGCAGTGCTTGATCCAGCACACAGCATGGTATTAGCATCAAGGAGCCAAGCAACATCATGCCAGGGTGCAGAAGACACCTCTGTCACTCGGTGATGTGACCAGCAAGTCTTCTCTAAGCCTTACAGCCTACTGGAGTGAATTCATCTTTCATCTGTTGGGGTCGGAGCAATAGCACAGCGGGTAGGGTGTTTGTCTTGCACGCGGTTGACCTGGGTTCAATCCCCAGCATCCGATATGGTCCCTCAAGCACCTCTGGGAGTAATTCCTGAATTCAGAGCCAGGAATAACCCCTGAGTAGTGATGGGTGTGATCCCCCCAAAAGGAAAAAAACCAAAAAACTTTCATTTGTTCCAAAATGCATTTAGCACGTAGTTACTGTTTGGAGCAAGTGCGTCCTATGTGCAACCACAGTCCCATTTCCCAAAACAAAGCAGACTGACTGTGGAATGCAGGCATAAAAATAATTTAGGGAAGCACCAGTACCTACATACTAATGACTTAACTAAGACTGGTCATTAATATACAACTGTCATTGCCTCTACCACCACCATTTCTCCACTGTGACTATTACTATTATTGTCACTTTATTTACTATTCATTACTTTTGACACCAGTTATGTAACTTTTTTCTCCTTGACTCATGCACTCCACATCTCTACTACACAACCTGAATCTGTATGGCTAATGTTTTTTTGCACATCCTGGAAATACAGCTTTCATTTGTTCACTGAAACCTAAACCGAAAGAAGAAATAGGCAGCTGTCTTCACACTGCTTGAAAACTGTAGCCAGAAGCTTAAAAACAAAAGCCTATTTTTCATCGGGGGCATTTTTCTTTTGATTTCAAAAGCCACTGTTTAGGTTGCATGATGAGTGAACAGTATGATTCCTGTCTTTGGGTTCAGGCAAAACCCTTGAATTATTCAACAGCTCTGCCTATACTGATGTGTTCTCCAGGGTAGAAAGAAACTACTTTGCAACTATTGACAAGTATTGGCAAAAAACCCCAGAGTGTGAGGTGACTTAAACAGGAAATACATCTTTGTCCAATTCACATATTTTGATCATGACAACTTGAATAGCACCCGGTGATTACGATGATGATATATTTGTATCTTATCGAGAATTACACACAGATCTACAAACCAAAACAGGAATAAAAGCAAATACCCGCTAAGACTATATACAAGCAGACAGTGTAATGAGCCTCCTGAGAATTCTGTTGACAACAGAATCCTCAGAGAGACAAATTCCGTTGTGCTGGCTCCACTTACATACGCTTCCACTTCCTTCTCTGCACATCCAATCACTCATGACTCTTCACCAGCTGCCTTGGTGGTACAGCGACCGATCCCTGGCACTCTCATGAAGCAACAAGGTCAAGCTTAACTACAATTGCTAACTTTTCAAATGAGATGCAGACACAGTTATTTCCTCTTGTGGTTTCATACTTGGTAGAAGTTCTCCGGAAACACCAACTCAAGAACAAGTAGCTAATCTCTAATATAGTCATAAAACAATTGCCTTCCAGTTCTCTCCAGACCCTTCTGTTCAACTATGAGAGCCGTTTAAATCATTTTATTTACACTGAAATACTGTGAGAGGTATACACTTTTGTTTGGCTGCAAAATCCAGTAGAGAGGTATCTAGAAATGCTAGTCCTTCTACTCAAGAAAAATACATTCAAGGTGCCAGGAATTCATCATAACATGTCATCAGCAATTTTCAGATGCTATCTGCAGACTGCTTCCTAGCTATATCTAAGTCTGCTAAGCAAGTTTATTACCTATCAATGCTTCCCTTTCTTTCATTTTAGGATTATGGAGACACAATTTACTCATGATAGTCTGCAACTGTAAGGACTACACGGTAATGAACAGATATAAATACATATAAGGCTAAGTGGCTGTTGTAAGATTAGACACGAAGCCTTCACACAATTCCCAATTTCTGTGTGTGTAGGTGATGAGAATGTTTGAGTTCCAGACTCTCAGAAAATTACTACTATAGACAAGTGTCTTGTTAACTACAGGAACCATGGGGACATTTGGTCAGCAGCAGACCATGTTATCTTGTAACTGGAAATGTGTTATATTTTTAAATATTTTTGGAGTCACACCCAGCTGTCCTCAGGGATTACTTCTGATTCTGTGCTCAGAGATCACTGCTAGAGGGCCTCAAAGAAACATACACAGTGCCAGGGACTGAGCCAGTGTCTACTGCATGCCAGGCAAGTACCTTAAGCCTTATAATATCTCTCTGTCCTTGGTAGTGTGCAATCTTGTGCATATTATACCTGAAAGTTTAGACTTTGTTTTCCTCAGCGTTTTTACACAGTACCAGAATTCCCAAAGGAAAGATGATTGCTTGATCAGTCTGTTTAACTTTCAGAATATTCAGAAACTTTGACAGAATTTTACATTTAGATGAAGAGGCAAAGCAAATGTCCTAAACTTCATTCTAATGATTCACGGTGTTTATGCCGACTTAGCTGCTCTCAGCATTGCCAATATCTAGAAAGCCCCGAGTGTTCACAGAGCCTCTCAATGCTTAGTTGTTCTAGGCACAGTAAATATAAAGAAGTGGTCTTCATTTTGAAATCAAATTACAGTTTTGAAATCATATTACAAACAGACAAAGAAGCAGGGGAAAAAAGGAGCAAGCCACAGCCACAGGAGTCTAACTACTGAAAGGGAGAGAGCAGTTCAGGGGAAATAAAAAATTATGAGGTCTGAGAATCTTGAAAACCGCCTTGAGCTTTTAGAGGCTGAGGCATTGGAAAGAAGATGAGTTAGAAACTTGGAGGGGGAGGAATACTTGGGTCAGGCAGGAAGAATGACCTGGGCAGAGACATGGGGAGGGCAGTTCATGGTAGGTTTGGAAAAAGATGGTGGAAGTCAAGAGCCAAGGCAATATATCTCTGAAGGCATGAGAGATCTCGCCTAAGCCCAGAAAAGGAATCTAGTTGACTTCATTTCCAGTAACACACTGCAAAGTGTTGAGTCAGCATGTAACACTAAACCCTTTTATTTTTTGTTTGTTTTTAAGAAAAGCAAACATCTAGTGCACAAAGCAAAAGTAACGAGATTGCTGTGATCATTTCCCAGTTTCCCAATGGTTGTCTCTTTCTATTTAAAGATTTTTTTTTTTACAGTAAAATTCCACAGCATGCATTGGATGACAATGGCTGGATTTTGGTTTAGAGAATTCAGAAAAGGATCCAGTATTGTGAATTATAGGCTCAAATACCATGTAGGTTTCTCTATATGTTCGTTAATGTTATATAGCTTCTCTGGAAAGAAGCTAAATGAATTTTACATTTATCATTTACCTAGTTACATCACCATAGATTATATCACTCCCTTGCAACTGTTTTCATTTGTAGGATACCGTTCACACATTTACCAAGGGTTCACTACAATTTTCCTACTGCAGATGATCTGAGACATAGCTGGGTTTTGATCTAAACAACAGATCAGCAGGAAAGACTGCCCAGTAATTTTTCTGACAACAATCAATCTTCTTGTTGATGTCAAGTTAATTAGGATAACATAAGCTGTGGGCTAGAAAGACAGTACAGCAGGTAGGGCACTAGCCTTGCTAGGTTCAAACCCCAGAACCCCATATGTTCCCCCAAGCCTCATCAGAAGTGATCCCTGAGCACTGAGCTAAGGAGTAAACCCTGTAATTGGCTCGGAATGCGCCCTGTGCTCTTCTTCTCTGAACATATGGGGAACCTGGGATGAGTCCAAATGTTCTCGCAGCCTTGTGCTATGTCAGTCGCCTGGCAGTGCCCTACCTCTATGCTCCTACCTGGTGGCATAGCTCCTCCCACTGCCTCTGCAGAAGCTCCAGGCGCTCCCTGAGGATGGCGATGTCTTCGGCACTGATGTAGGCGCAGAGGGTGTCCTTCAGCAGGGTCAGCTGCGCCAGGTCATCTGTCCAGCTCCCCACTGCGTTTTCCAATTCCTGGATGGAAAAGAAAAACAAATCCCTGATAACCCGCCTGTCACCAACCACTTCCCATGTGGATCGGCGATCAACTGTTCATGCAATGGCCTTTCCATACTACTCTCTTTGACCATCTAACTTGATGTCTATTTTATCGGCTTCTTATATATGCTGATAACTCATCCAGTTCTTCTGATGAAAGAGCGGGCTGTCTCCAGAGTCTTCTACCATCAAGCTACCATATTATGGCTTTTAAAAAACTATCTTATTTATTTATTTATTTATTGCTTTTTGGGTCACACCCGGTATTGCACAGGGGTTACTCCTGGCTCATGCACTAAGGAATTACTCCCAGTGGTGCTCGGGGGATCATATGGGATGCTGGGAATCGAAGCCGGGTAGGCCACGTACAAGGCAAATGTCCTACCCGCTGTGCTATCGCTCCAGCCCCCAAAACTATCTTTTTTAACAGATGCACCAGCACTACATTGGTCTTCAGTTTTGTACATTTCTAACCTATTTTTTTTCTTTTTCTGTAATATTACTCATCATGTTTATATATATATATATACACATATGTATATACATATATATACATATGTATATATAGCACTGTAGCACTGTCCTCCCATTGTTCATCAATTTGTTCAAGCGGGCACCAGTAATGTCTCCATTGTGAGACTTGTTGTTACTGTTTTTGGCATATCTAATATGCCACGGGTAGCTTGTGCGGATGGGATACTTTCAGTAGCTTGCCGGGCTCTCCGAGAGGTACTAAGGAATTGAACCCGGGTTGGCTGTGTGCAAGGCAAACACCCTACCTGCTGTACTATCGCTCCAGCCCACACAAACCATACAAACTGGAATTTTTAATTTACCACAAGAATCACTAAAAGGTAATGCTCTCTCATGTTTTACCACACTGTGTGAAAAAATATCACTTAATAAAACTTTTTAGAATATTTTAGTACAAAGACTCTATGTGTATATATATATACTATGCATATATGTACATGTATATATGTACATATATACTATGTATATATGTATTTTTTAAATACCCCAAACTCAGGGCTGGAGTGATAGTACAGCAGGTAGGGCATTTGCCTTGCACGCAGCCAACCCAGGTTTAATTCCCAGCATCCCATATGGTCCCCTGAGCACCGCCAGGAGTAATTTCTGAGTGCATGAACCAGCAGACCGCCAGGAGTAATTTCTGAGTGCATGAACCAGCAGAAACCCCTGTACATCTCCGGGTGTGACCCCTCCCAAAAAAAACCCCAAACTCTGAGATATTCCTTTCACTCTCAAGTACTGAGTGGCTTATCTTGTGAAATACATTTATATTATAACAGCTGAAAAAAATAAGTTGCTGCCATTACTCATTTTAAAACAAAGGACTAAATACATTTTCTGGGGGAGCTTAAAGATTTAAATTACTCAAATTGTTATATATCCTGTCTTTTGGGGAATAATTTAAGACAAAAATTTTCAAAAAAGAAGTAACCCTAGAACAATAGTTGAATGAATGGAGATCTTTTATTTTTCTTTTTTTGCAATGCTTTGATGAGAAGACTAGTTTCGTGAGTTATATAACTCCTGTACTTAGCTGGCTGTTGGTGTTTTCAGGTTCCAGCTAATTTAGTTTTTTTGTCTTTTCATACAGGAGACAAATTTCCAAAGGCAATTATCAGTACTGTTGGAGGCTAACTTCCCAGGCAATTTATACAAATGAGATTTTAGCCTGAATTTTCCACATAATTGCTTTGTTTTGCTGCTGAAGGTGATTTGGGGAAGAGTAGCAGGAAGCAGGAAACAAAAAATGTCTCCTTTTAATTTCCAAATTCAGTAGCAGGGCATGTTTGTCACTGTGATGTATTTGGGGACACAAGGTCCCATGACAGCAATGTCTGGCTGAAAGGCGAAATCATCCAGGTGTATGAATATGCAGCATTTCTATTTATATTCCCAGACTTCTTAAATTGTCACGCCAATATAAAGATTTTCCTTTACATACCAGTCTTTAGCTCCCAACCCCACCACTGGATTTGTACTGGATTAGAAAAGAAATAAACAATATTATCACTAGACACCAACTAGATGCTTGAGACTCCAGAGGAGACCCAGGCTTCTTCAGAGTGGAAATCAAGCCCACGTACCAAGTATGGCTATACTGATCATTTTCTCATCATGGTGAAGTGAGTCCTAACGTAAGAAAGCACATGTGTCAGGGCCAAAGGTGGGCGCATGTGCCCATAGGATAAAGTGAATATAACTTTCAAATATCTTTGAATATTGGGTCCTACATTTTCACTCGTGTCCTCAAATTCAGGTAATACCTAAATTAGTGTGCGCTACAATCCACATATCATAACATGAATGTGAGCTACCAGGAAACTGCAAGCATGTGTAGGCAGGTAAAGGAGGGTGATGGACCAGGCCTGTGAAGGAGTTACTGCAGCAGAAGTGGAAGTTACCGGTCAGTGGCAGGTAAAATCTCTATCTGGTGATTTACCTTGCAACGCATCTGCTCCGCGTGAAGCTCTTCATGGTTGTCTGGTAGAGGCTGAGAAAACTTCTTTTTAAACATTCGTAGTTTTTCCAGAGAATCAGCTATTCCTTTCTCACATTTTTCCCAGTCCTATAAAGACAAAAAAATTCATAGGTAACATGTTGAAAGGGGAGAGTACATTGAAAAAAAAAAAGATCACAAAACCAATAAAAACTCTTCTTAATTCCCAAAGCAGCTAAGGTGCCCTGATGAATAATACAAGCTCTGTGCATCATAGAAACTGAATCTAAACCCACCTGTCACATTATCTATGCAACTTTAAACCTGTGATGCTCTGTCTGAGTATTCCCTATAAAATATGGGAACAACATTGCAGCACTCTTTACAATAGCCAGAAACTGGAAGAAACCTGAGTGCCCAAGAACAGATGACTGGTTAAAGAAACTTTGGTACATCTACACAATGGAGTACTATGTAGCTCTTAGAAAAGATGAAGTCATGAAATTTACATACAAGTGGTACAAAATGGAAAGTATCATGCTAAGCGAAATGAGTCAGAAAGACAGGGATAGACATAGAAAGATCACATTCATCCTGGGGATATAAAATAACAAAATATGATATTAATACCCAAGAATAGCTGAGATCAACACCAGGAGGATTACTCCAAAGCTTAGAGGCCAGCCAGGTATTCTCGGGGAAAGCGCAGTTCAGATAGAGAAGGGAGCACCAAATAAAGGGTGTTTGGAGGATCCTCCCAGGAGGGGAGATACATGTTGAAAGTAGACTATGGACTGAACATGCTTGCCACTCAATGCCTCTTTTGCTGATCACAACACCCAAAAGGTGAGAGAGAACAGGGGGGAACGCCCTGCCACAGTGGCAAGGTGGGATGAGGGGGATGGGGGGATATTATCCATGGTGGTGGAAAATGGGCACTGGTGGAGGGATGGGTATTTGATCATTGTATAAACAAAACCCAAGCACAAAAATTTGTAAATCTATAACTGTACCTCATGGTGTTTCACTAATAATAAAAAAAAATAAAAATAAATAAAATATGGGAACAAGAGGGCCAGCGAAACAGGACAGCAGGTTGAGAGCTTGCCATGCATGTAACATCCCTGCTTGAGCCCTGGTACTGCTGAGCTCCACTAGGAGTGATCTCTGAGCACAGAGCCAAGAGTAAGCCCTGAGCACCAATAGATGTGCCCTGCTGTTTTTTTTTTTTTAAGAAAATAAGGTTCTGGATAAATACATAAAAACCTATCTAAATAATAATAGAATATGTAAAGCAAAATTTTAAAAAACTATGCATCTAGTTTGCTAAGTCTGATAAATGTTTTGAAGAAGATCATAAAGGTCAATGCTTGAGAACTGTGGGACTGACCTTGGAGCTGGTCAAAGAAAATATATACCATATTCTTATATTTTGTTTTTTGGATTTTGGGTTTTTTTTCTTTTTGGGGTTCACCAGCAATGCTTAGGAGTTACTACTGGCTCTGCACTCAGAAATTACTCCTGTTAGTGCTCAGGATGCCAGGGATTGAACCTGGGTCAGCTGCGTGTCAGGCAAACATTCTACCCACTGTACTATAGCTCTAGCTCCCAATAAGCTTATGGTTTTAAAAGACAGATACTGAACTGGCAAGTTGGCTTCAATTTTCTGGAGACAATAGAAGAGTTTAGGTGGTACAAGGAAAATGTCAATTCTTGTTTTTATTTTTTTGGTTCTTGGGCCATACCCAGCAATACTCAGGGGTTACTCCTGGCTCTACACTTAGGAATTCATTATATAGGATGCCAGGGGATAGAACGTGGTTAGGTCACATGCTAGACCAGTGTCCTACCTGCTGTATTATCACTCTTGACATTGGAAAAAGCACATTTCTTTCCCTACATACTTCGAGTATTGCATGATATTTTAATCAGAAATACTTCTTTTGAAATTAATTAAAAAAAAGTAAAAGGAAAATAAAGGAACCATAACAAAATCTTCATATTTAGTGCCTCAGTGCCAATGTAAATAAAACTCAATTTAAAAAGTTCCTTAAGCTTTGTCTAGTACTCTCCATGCCTGCTTGGCCTTCCTATCCCCTGCTTGGCCTCCCCGTCCAAGTGACCACATCCCCCACCATAAGTTACTCAGCACCAAAGAAAGACAACTAGAGTTGTTTCAGAGTTAGCAAAGTGCCAAATCATGTTGTGTTTTCCTTCACATTATCTCCTTCATCAAGACCATTTTTCCTTGCCTGGGTGCTCTCTATCTTCTTTCCTGACATTTTATTTTTAGAATAGACAGCCTCCATCACCACAACTGCTTTCTTTAAAAAAGAGTTGATTAAAGAACCTTCCAACTCAAAAAGGCTTCTGATGTCTAACTAAACAGAAAAGTTGACCCAAGATTGTCATTTCTGTTTAATACTGCTCAGGAAATGTTTTAGAATACACAATCACATTTCTTCTTTTGATTAACCAGAAATAACAAAAATATTTAATTGTCTATTTTAGATAGATTTTCCTTTAGTAAAGTCTTTTTGTTTCCCCAGGCTATACTTTATTATACGATAAGACAAAAATGATTCTGTTTCTGCTTAAATTGAAAAAATATTATCAACTCAATTTCATATACTCTGAAATTATAAACCTGCATTCACTACATGTTCATTCCTGGAGACAGCATAGTAGGTAAGGCAATGTCCTAGATGTGGCCAACCCAAGTTCAATCTTTGGCACCTCATATGGTCCTGAGACACACCAGAAGTGATCCCTGAGCACAGAGCCAGGAGTAAGCCTTGAGCATTGTCAGGTATAACCCCTTGCCCTCAAAAACAGTTAATTCCTCAAAAATAAAAAGTCTTCTTCTTATACTCAAAAACAAAATTAAGAAACTACCATAAAACAAGAGAACATGCAGGGCACATAATAATAATGACTTTCCTCTTGACCCTTCTCAATTATAAGCTAAAAATAGACAGCAATTATAGCTGTGTTGAAAAGAAACACTGAAATGCAGTGCATACACATTGGAATTTACCTTCAGGAATTCCTTTCTAGACAAACAGGCTCAACTATGATTCAACAAGAAACAGACTTTCAGAGAGGATTGGGATTCCCCTTTTCAAAGATGGCATAGATTCTGAAACAACGGCCAAGTCTTTACGCTTCATGAATTTTAAAGAACTAACTAATGTTAGTTTGCATACATCTGTCCATGTGGCACATTATACATCAACAGACTAACAAGAACAGCTAACGCAGTGATTTAGTCACCATCGGAAGTTTTAGGTATATGTCCAAAACCAAAATTACAAAATTACAAAATTACAAACATAGAACATGATTTCTACCAAAAAACATGAATCAAACTATATCTGATCTTTTTCTAAGGGACAAACAAAACTAAGACAAAAAAAAAGAATCAAACATAATGTATTAATGATGATTTATACTGTGTGATGGCAATACTTATTATTTGCTTAGCAGCGTGGTTTTTTTTTCTTTTGTACAGAATGTCATTCATTATTTAATAAATACATACTTTAAGGGATAGAGAGATAGTACAACAGACACGGTATTTGTCTTCATGTGGTAGATTTGGGTTTGATCCCTAGTACCTAATATAGTCCCCTGAGCCTGTCAGTAGTGACCACTGAATGTAGAGCCAGGGATAAGCCCTAAGCACTGTTGGGTGACGCTCCCCTGCCCAGCCAAAATTCAAGTCAAAACAAACCAAAAATCATACTTTAAGCATTAGAAAAGCAAAATGTGTTCCATTCACTTCAGCTAATTTTGTCTCATCCAAAAAAGAGACAGACCAAGCTCAACAGACAATCTCATTGAAGGGTCGATGATTATCAGCGTTTTATATAAGATGTTAGCACTTAGTCATATTCACTGGTCTAAGATGCTAACAGGGGGCACAGATCCTTGTTCTACAGCTGACACCACAAGGCCGGCTGAGTATGGCCAGGTGTGGCGTGAGCAGTGTCACATCCTCATTGACTCGTCTAGTTTGATTGGCTCACTGTCACCTGGATTGTCCCTTGGGCACTCTTAGCACTTAAAAATACCTTCCAATTAAAACAAAACTTCATAATATATGTGACATGATGTTCCTCCATTATTTCCTAAAGTTCTCTGCATGCCACATGAAGGAAATATAATCTTAGCCACTCTACAGATGAGGAAACTGAGACTAAGATTTGTGTTAACCAGGTGACTGCTTTATTTTTTGGACACTGATTTGAGTTTGGTGTCCATGGCCCTCTCAGCTGTTGATTACATTCTTTACAGAACTGAAATATTGTGGGAGGTCTGGCCGAATCTACACTTCCCTTGTCTTGCTATGTGACCCATCTGCTCTTCGTAACCAACCAAAGGCGCCACCCACCTCCCGTTGATGTTATCTCATAGCAATGCACTTGGTGAAGGCCAAATCAAAAGTATCTTCTTGGATAGGTTTTTGCCCTGCTATAAAATAAGAGATATCAATCTAGAAAACCACTTTGGCGTCACAGATTAGGGAGTGGAATCTATTCTCTGCATTCCTGTCCAGATTTATAAAGTCATGACAGACCTTCTGGCTTAGGACTAGTCATTTATCAGAATTCATCACTTGGGCAGTCTTACTGGACTTAGAAGCACTTCAAGGGGGGACTTTCCTGAAAGAAAAACTGCTGAAAATTGCAACACTCTTCTAGTTCATACAAGACACGACAAAGTCTTAAATAAGGCACAGGGGATCAAAATGCTGTCAGGAATGACAAGGATCTTTGTATTATTTAATGCCCAGAATTACAATGGGATGGAGCGGCTCAGCCAGCCAGTGGGTTACGTCTACAAGAAGAAAGTGCATAACTTACTTTCAGCAGGAAGGCCAGCTTTTTCTTCTGCTCCTCTAGCTGCATGCTGGCGGACCTCCACATCTCTTGGATTTCAGTGAGTTCAGTCTGCAAGGCGGCCTCGGCCCCACTGTCGGCTGAGAGCAGAAGCTGTTTGGCAGCTTCCACTGTGAGGATGTAGCTCCCTTGTTGTCTCAGGAACACTTTTTCTTTGAACTGGAAGGAACCATAGCTTTTTACTGGCTCGTCCTGTGAATCTCCCCCTTTCTCTTTTAGAAATATTCTTCAATCACTCTCCCATTGGCACACAAGCACTTACCAAACTAGTACCCTGCCTGGGAATGAGAGGGCAATGCATTAATGAACAAGAATCCTACAGGGAGAGGCTTTACTTTTTGTCCCCAAGTTAAATAGCACTGTAGCACCATCCTCCCTTTGTTCATGGATTTGCTTGAGCGGGCACCAGTAACGTCTCCATTGTGAGACTTGTTGTTACTGTTTTTGGCATATCAAATATACATGGGTACCTTGCCAGGCTTTGCCGTGTGGATAGAATACTCTCGGTAGCTTGCTGGGCTCTCCGAGAGGGATGGAGGAATTGAACCCGGGTCAGACATGTGCAAGGCAAACGCCCTACCCGCTGTGCATCATTCCAGCCCCTCCCCCAAATTAATATCTTACAATATTACCAATGGGAGGGCATTGGGCAACCAAGGTCCAATCCGCCATACATACCACATTTGGTACCCTGAGCCCTGCCAGTACTAAACCCTGGGCATTGCCAGGTGTGCCACTCCCCCCGCCAACACACACATATACACAAAACCCTAAATATCTGATTTCACTACAGTGGCACCCCTAACTCACAGGCAGTGCACTGAAAGACCCCCTTTAAAGTGGTAAGGTCTGCATGAGTACCGAAAGAACCGGAAACAGAATGAGATTAGAAGGATCTTATGTGTAAGGGAAGGAGAATATCTTCCCACCATGAAATGAGAACAGGCAAATCTACTGTGTGGGAGGATAAACTCAGGAAACAGGACTCAGTTTCAGTGACCATGAGGCAGGGGTACACATTGCATAGAAATTTGGTTGCTATGGTAAAAGGAACTGAGTTTGACAGGTGCATTATTCATCAGCCAATGATGTGTTTCAGTTAAGGGTCTTTATAGTAGCACAACAAATGGAATCGAATAAGGACATTTATTAGATATATTGAGGTTAGAGACTATAAAACCCAGCTCCCGGAAGTGCGCAGCCACATTCACGGTCACGCGACAACTTATTATCTCATTCTTGCTTTGGACAACCTGGCAGGCTACCGAATGTAACCTGCCCACAGGGCAGAGTCTGGCAAACTCCCCGTGGTCTACCCAATATACCAAATACCAGTAATAATGATGGGTCTCATTCTCCTAACTCTGAAAGAGCTTTGAATATGGCACTTTAAAATCTCAGGGCTAGGACGAAGGGGATGCTGCTGGTGCCTGCTCGAGGCAATCAATGAACAACAGGATGATCGTGATCATGATTGGGGTTAGGAAGCTACCGTCCATTTAGGTTAAGAAATCGCCAGCACTTAATGAAAAGCAGCAGCAGTGGGGGTGGGAACAGGGAGATGAAAGTTGGGGCAAGAGCAGAAGAGAAACACAGTTCAAGCATCATGCTGGTGCTCTCGACGGATAGGCCAGAGAACTAGTGACGGCATCTGCTGGGATTGGAGACTTGGGAAATATACGGGAGGGAGAGTGGCTCATCCGGGCTTTACACGCTCTGTGACAGTCACGGGATACTTTGGGTCTATTGTACACAGGGATATACGACAAAAAGGTAATTGAATACACAAGCTGAAAACACAGGTAGGGAACCTGTCCCGAAGATAACCATTTGATCCTTCTCTCCTGGAAGAGGGTATGTGTGGAAACAAGGTCACCAAAGGAAGTGAAGAGGATAAAGGAATCAGAAAACAGTAAATTTGGGGGGCCAGAGAGATAGTGTATTGATCAAGAAGCTTGCCTTATAAGTGATTGAGTGGGGTCCCTTCAGCCCCAAGAGGACAGATCCTTGAGCACAGAACCAGGAGTAATCCCTGAGCACATGTCCCCTCAGGGTAAGCAAAAGACTGTCAGGAAGAGAAATACTCTGAATATTCCTGGAAAAGTGTGGATATCCATTCCATGAATATCCTAGAAAAGTGTGATTTAGAGTCCAAAATCAGAAATAAAAAGGGGCTGGAGTGACAGAGGCTTTGCATGCAGCCAACTCAGGTTTGATCCTTGGTATTCTATTTGATCCCCTAGCACACCCAAGAGTGATTTCTGAGCACAGAGCCAGGAGGAAGCCCCGAGCACAGCCAGGTGTGGCCCCCACATGAAATAAAATACAATAAAAATGGACCAAGAGCTATAAACAGGAGTGAGCTCTTTGTGGTTTCAACAATATTCAAACTAGAATTTGTGAAAGAAATAAATATGCATAACAAATGCCAAGCTTTCTTCTCCTTGCCCACGCGTTTCCCTGGGGGCCTCAGAGTGTCAAGAGAATTGGGGGCTGAGAGAAGACGGGACCACCATACTCTTGGGATGAAAGAGCGATTTTTCCCTTTCTTCTATGTTCCTGTTGGCATTTGCAAACTGTGTCTGTCTTCCATGCAATGTCACTGCACCACCTGAGTATCTGAGGCGAAGGGGAACTGCCCAGTGGCAGGGAAGCAGAGATTTAGAAACGGCCCTGCACCTCACCTGCACTTCATCGAAGAGGGTGCGCACTTGCTGAAGCGGTATGGGGACACTGCCAAGGCCACTCTGGGGCAGGGAGGACACTTCAGCCAGCCATGTCCGCAGCTTTCCCGCCATCTCCCTGTAGCGCTGCCACTGGCGGATTTGGCTGTCGATGATGCCACGTCGCTGCTGGGCCCTGCGGATCACGCCCTGCCACTGATTGCTGAGAAGCGTCAGCTTCAGGCTGAACTCATCCCTGTGCAAGAAACAAATTACACAGGGATAACCCCTGGGTCACTTCTGATGTGATGCCAGAACCGCCTGGAAGTTATGTCACACCTTCAGACATAACTGAGAAGTTTTGAAATAGCACACCATAATAGCACACCAGTTTTGAGGTCTGTTGCAAACAATTTCTTATTTATTTGTTAATTTATTTATTTATTTTTTCTTTTGGGGTCACACCCAGCGTTGCTCAGGGCTTACTCCTGGTTCTGCACTCAGGAATTACTCCTGGTAGTTGCTTGGGGGACCATATGGGATGCTGAGAATAGAACCCAGATGGGCCACGTGCAAGGCAAACACCCTACTGCTGTACTATTACACCAGCCCCTCTTTAAAAAATTATTTTATTTTAATGAATCACTGTCAGATACAGTTACAGACTTACAAGCTTGCATGATTATGTTTCGGTCATACAATGTTCAAGTATCCATCCCTCCATCAGTGCCCATTCTCCATCACCAATGATCCCAGTATCCCTCTTGCCACCCCCACCCTTCCCCCCCAACACCCCCGCCTCTGTGGCAGACACATTCCCTCTTTCTCTCTCTTTCTCAGTATTGTGGTTTGCAATACAGGTACTAAGTGGCCATCATGTTTGGTCCATAGTCTACTTTCAGCACGCATCTGCCATCCCAAGCGAGCCCTCTAATCATCATTTACTTAGTGGTCCCTTCTCTATCTCAGCTGCCTTTTCCCCTGTTGCAAGCAATTTCTAAAAACTAGTAAATGAACAAACTGTAGTTCATCAATGGGAAGTGTGTTCCTGTCTCAACACAGTTTCAAAGGTTTGTCTCTTTGGGCTGGTGAGATGGCGCAGTGTGTGAGATGCTTGCCGTGACTGGGGTAGACATGAGTTCGATACCTGGCACCACCAGGGATATACAAGGTCTCTTGAGAACCATCAGGGCTGATGCCTGAGACAGAGCAGGAGCAAGCCCTGCATACATCCAGGTGTGGACCCAAAATACACCCCACCAAAAAAAAGAAAAAAAAAGAAAAACAAAAAGAAAGTGCCTCTATAATAAGGTCATTGTCAGTCTCTCTCCCTGAGTGCTTGAGAGGGACACAGAAGCAATGGTGATGGCCCTAAATACAGCACACTGCCACAGCAATGGGGAACCAGTAAACTGCATTCATGTGTGCAACAGCAACAGAAAATAGGAGCAGAGCTAGCTTCTAATCACTTAAGCTGGAATCTCAAGTTGCTTTGGATGAACAAATCTGGGTTATTTGAAGTGAAGCCATAAATCACTGCAATAAGATTAACACAAACAGTGGTGGGGCTGTAAAGATAGAAGAGTGAGGAGGGCATTTGCCTTGCACTCGGTCGACTTGGGTTTGATTATTAGCATCCCATATGGTCCTCCGATTACCACCAGGAGTAATTCCTGAATGCATGAGCCAGGAGTAACTCCTGTGCAACGCTGGGTTTCAGGACCAGGCATGCGATTTAGGAGAACATGCTTTGCATTTTCCAGACCCTAGGCACAATCCCTTGAACCACCAAGTGTGACCTCTGGTACCCTGAGTATCCCTGGATATTCACCCCACCAGAAAATAGTCCCCTAGATGCATTTCATAAACTCTCTCAGCACTCCATCTTTAAAAAGTTATTGAACATATTAATCTAATTTATACTCTCCATTTTAATTGCCCTTTATTTTGCTCTTAGAAAAATGCAAACTCTGATCACTATCCCTATATAAGCTGCCCATACACAAACAGTTATTACATTTTACTTAAGTGCTGACATTTCCAGCTGAATATTCTGAGATCTTTTTGTCTGCTCCTATTGTATCTTTAAAGAATATCGGTGGTGATTAATTCACCAAGTTTTCTTACTACTGAGAACAGGCTAGTAAGAATTTTCTCAGTAACCAAAAGAGCATATTTCTTTGTATATTATAGTTGTGGTCATCTGTTTTGTTGTTTTTTCAGGTTTTTTTTTTTTTTTTTGGTCTGGGAGGGCACTGAGGGCTTACTCCTGGCTCTGTGCTCAGAGATCACGCCTGGTGGCACTCAGGGAACTATACGGGTTCTGGGGATCAAACCTCGGTCAGCCATGTGTAAATTAAGTCCCCTGCCCACTGTACTCTCTCTTGAGCTCCTGTGGTCACACCTTTTAGAAGAATAACAGGGCCTGTCTCTCTCTGTTTTTGCATTTCTTCCTAGATACTCTATTCTCTTGAAGGCAGCTTTAGATCTGATTTACATTTACTTATACTTCTGCTTTCTCAATACCTTAGTTCTGAATCTTAAACTGTGCAAAAGAATGTAAAATTCTTTAAAAATAAATTTCTTTATGATTTATGATCAGCAAATGTTTGATTTATATACTGATTTTATATCCCCATATATCTGGGTTTGCATAAAAAAATTGAGTAAAAAAGAGATCAAGATTGGAAAAATAGTTAAGAAGTCATTTACTTCTTAAAGTTTATGGGCCACTAGAAACTTGATAAACTTGGATTTTGCAACCCAATTCACACTGCTTTTGTTTTTGAGTCAATGGCAGTCGAAGCAAATATGATAAATGGGGTTCCTGAGACTTCCCTAAAGTCACAAGCACCCTATCATCTTTGAACTCCCTGGGACCTGAAAATCCCTGGAGCCGGAAGCCAAACACAGGCTCTTGCTTCTGGGAAATCACAGGACATCTCTTTGGAGCTTCCCCCCTCACTCTGCAGAGCCCAGCTGTCTTAAGATACCTGCAAGCAGGAGAAGCCCCTTAAAACATGGCAGTGTTCCCACTGCTGAACTTGAACTTGAACTCTACAAAACAACAACATGTAGAGGAACTTCTCCAACACGATATATCTGTAATCTGGGACCTTCCTGTTGCCAGCTTGTTCAACCATCCATGCTCTCTCACTTCCTATGTTCAAGAGTTCCTTATCCTGGGGTCCAACCCGCCCATGTTCACCTCTTTCATTGTTTTTGTCCTGTCAGCATTGAAAATGTCATCCATGTTGGCTGATGAGTGAATTCTGAGTAGCATTTTACTTAATGGCTTAAACTTTTTAAATAATACTCTTAGGGAGTTGGCTAAGGGAAGCAAAAGCAAGACATTAATTGCATGTGGATTTGTTTTATTTTGAAGGTCTTAACTTCTCAACAGAGTTCACATTTAAATTTGGCTTTCTTAGAACTGAATAAATATGGTATCACGTTTTGTTGTTCCAAGCTTAACCATGAAAATCTTTCATAGGCTTCCAAAGAAATATCCACTTAAAATTGAAATTGCTTCCAAATCATTATAAAGAAGAAAAGAATAACCCTCTTAATAGAAATAATGATTTGTTTTCTACTTTTCTGGAGAAAAAAATACCATGCTAATTATGTTTCCAACTCCCAGTCCTAAATAGGAAAAGATGTTTGTATGCAATAAAATAAAAGAGGTTTAAACTCCAAATATCCCCATCAAAAGTAAATATCTCTACCATGAGTAAGTAATGTTTCCAGTATGTAAATTCAGTATGAATTGTATTCACATACCAGACATCTAAGGAGGATCTAGACTTAAATTCTGCACTTTAAATAAAATGAAAGCATGACCAAATAAGTAAATGAGAGGAAGTAGAAGTCGAGAACTGTGATGTAAATGAAGAGAGCCAAGCGGTCTGAAACTTAGAGGGATTGCCATGAAATATGGGAAAGCTCACACCCAACTGACAACCAGACCAGTGGACACATCTGGGCCTTAGTCTTTCAGCCCTGAGCAAGAGAGATGGTCCAGGGTTTCCTGGGCTACTTTTAGGATGACAATTTCAATAAATGTAGCCAGATATTAGCTTGTATTTATCAATGCTTGCTACATCATTGATGCAATTCATTTTGATCTCTTCATTAATTTCAGTCTCCATCATGGTCTAGCAAAGGCTGGCTAGGTGATTTCCAATTACTCTATGTCCTTCATATAAAATAGCAGTTCTCTACAAAGCCTCAACACTCGAGTCATTTCAGACATTCAGACAAGCCTTTCCTCCAATTACTAAGGCTTTCATTACAGCACAATTGCCTTAGGAAGATTGGCTAGATGCCCTCTAATCTGCGCATTAAACAGAAAATGACTAATTTACGGAAACCTTCCTTATAATACATCAAAGAGCCTACCTGTCATCAACTTGACCTTGTTCGAGGAGACGCTGTCCATCAATAATAATCGAGTGCAAAATCTGCTGACGGCTGAACATCTCAGCTTGAAACAACTGTTATTTCAAAAGAAAAAGTCAGACTTTAGGGTTCTTCGATTGTGTGACCAGTTCTCTACGAACCATTCCAAACTTTCTGGCATTCAAGTTTTTCAAGGCTGTGAAAGCTATCTTCAGCTGCATTAAGATTTAGGTAAAATCCTGTAATCGATGAATCATGTATTTTTAAGCCAAGGGAGAAGATATATGTAAAGATAAGCTTCAATTTTTGTTGACTGAGGCTCAGGGATGAAAAAGTACAGTTGTTTCTGGTTTTTGAATTCACCTCCAGGTAGTTAACACATCATTCAAGTTCTAGTTTGTTTTGCATGTACTGTGGAGTCATTTTTTTAGGCACAGGATAGCACTAGGCCTTTTAAATCACTGAAGACCAGGAAAAGAATCCCCCCCTTTTTTTTTGGACGTTGCTTTTTTCTTTTTTTAACATACTGTTTTTCAATTTAATTATGTTAATAAAAATATTTTGCTGCTAAAACAACTCAACCAGCCACTCAAGTGATTTCTATTGCTTTTGTTAACATTTTAAAAAGTGAAGTGACTAGTTTTTACTTAGGAACTATGAGAAAGCAGAGAGAGGCTCCCATAAAAGAAGAGAAAAGACACAGCCGGAGCTGGGATGTGGGCAGCTCCAGGAAGGGACACACCTCCACACTGATCCTGTTGAACAGAACGCATTTCTAAATATGCCTGTAGAATTTACCAATATTAGGTATCACCATTTGTATAACTTAATGATCTGAGTGACAGTTACAGCCTTGTACAACCATTGCCACTATGTTCACAGTTTTTAATAGAATTTCACAGGCCTGGGAGATGACCAAGTGTTACAGCCATGCCTTGCATGTGTCAGGACCTGGATCTAATACCTAAAACAGAGAATGAAAGAGAGAGAGAGAGAGGGCAGGGGGAGGAGGGAGGGAGGGGTGGAGGGAGGAGGAAGGTGGAATTTCATATTTATTAACAATCACTCCCCTTTCCTCCTAATCCTCCAACCTAGGTGACCACTAAACTACTTTCTGTCTCGAGGACTTTCCCTACTTGAAATATTCCATGAGGATGGAATCATGTAATGAGTGGCCTCTGTGAGAAATGACACATTTCTGACTGACTTCACTCAGCATAATATCCCCTAGTTCTATCCATGTTGCTGCAAATTGCAGGATTTTACTCTTTCTTGGGGCTGTACAATATCCCATTGTATAAATATAATTCTATATTTATATATTTTATAAATAATATAAGTAGTATATAAATAACACAAATATTTATATAAATAATGCATATAATTTTGTAAATAATATAAATATTTTATAAATAATATAAATATATTTTATATATTTATATATATATATCACACCCCTCTCGGAGAGCCCGGCAAGCTATAGAGAGTATCTTGCCCGCAAGGCAAAGCCTGGCAAACTACCCGTGATATATTCAATACGCCAAAAACAGTAACAACAACTCTAAAAAAAAATGGAGACATTACTGGGCCCACTTAAGCAAAGACAGTGACAGTGACAGTGATATATATATTACAAGTCCTTGCGCTGCTATTGGGCATATGGGTTGTTACCATATTATCTTGGTTATTATTTGGGTACAGCAATAAATACGGTATACATGTATCCTTTCCAAATAATGTTTTTGTGTTTGGGGTTTAGATACCACATCAAAAGTACAGATACAGAGTATTTCTCTCATATGTGGAAATTAAAGGTACACAGTGAGGCAGCAACAAAAATATAAAGGAAACAGAAATGGAGGGAGATGACTCACAGAAGTGAGTTGGGGGGAGCAGGTGAGTGGGAGGGGATAGAGATGGGTACATAGTGATGGTTGTGGTGTCAGAATAAGGTCCATGAGAAACCATTATATATAGTACTGTAAGCTAAAAAAAACTAAAAAGTTTTGTGAGAAGAAACATTTCTACTCAGTGTGTGTTTGAGGTCAATCTAGACTATGGTCAGGGTCAGTGTCCCTTTACTTTTGGTGGCAGAATGGAATTCAAATACGCAAATACACGTTTTTCACTTATTCACTTATTGTTGTTGGGTATGTAGGTTTTCTGCTTGGCTCTTATGAATGGTGCCTCTCACTAACAGTATTCCGGTATTAATGTTTGTGTGGGGGCTTATTTTCTTTTCTAAAAATATCCTTGAGAGAAACTTAAGGAGTGACAGGGTAACTCTAGTTTAACATCTTATAGGACGTTCTGACTCTTTTCCAAAATGGCTTTAATTGTTTGACATTTTCCATCAGCAGTGATGTAGATTTCAGTTCCTCTATAGCATCCACAGCTATTCTCTCTCCCACTGTCATCATGCTAACGTGTGAAGTGGTATCTTACTGTAGGTTTTGGGGTAGGGGTGGGAAGGGGGGAATTCTGGAAGGATGCATCTGGCAATGTTCAGGGCTTTTTCCTGGTTCTTTGCTCAGAGATCAGGCAACCACGGTGACCATATGCTGTGCTGAATTCTGAAACAGAGTCAAGCACATGCAAGGAAAGTGTCTTCCGCATGTACTCTCTTTCTCTGGCCCTCTCATAATTTTGATGCATTCTCTTTTATTTCATTACTGGTCAATGCAATAAAATTGGACTTAGAGCCCTAATATTACAGGGGGTATCCCTGGTGCTCTTGAGCACTGCTGGACCTGAGAAGCCTGCAGGGTCAGGTTCAAACACTGACCCATGGGGTCCACACAGCAGGACTGAATATCACTGAGTGGTCCCCGGGTCCCCAAGGACTGCTGGCGACCTCCGCCCACCCCTTCCCTACAACCCTGACACATATCTAAGTTCTCTGTTTTTAAAACGGAAACAAAATACTTTAGAGTTACAAATCAAGCTTTGATCTTGGGTAAGTCCTATCTTTCCATCTGCATGTACTTCATAAATATATGGAATAAATTATTTATACCAATAAATGGCTTTTCTTTTTGGGGGAGCAGGGAGCACACACCCAATGGTGCTGAAGGCTTACTTCTGGCTCTGCATTCAGAAATCACTTCTGGGGGGAATTCAGGGGACTCTATGGGGTGCTGGTGATTGAACCTGGGTTGGCCATGGGCAAGGGAAATTTTGAACGATAGTACCAGATGCACCGTTGCTCTGGTTTCTCAATGTGCTTTTTGTATCTACTTCTCTCTCAGTGTTTCTTGAGAAATAATTATAATGCATTATGCTCAAGAGGTACAAGAGAGGTACCTGGTGAATTGATGTCTTTAGTATAAAATGCACAAAAGACATGCTGTTTTCATTTATTGCAGCCTTTTGATCAGAGCAGTCTTTTGAGGTATCTAGCCTGCGAAATGTTAATGTAGTCCATATTGTAATTTGAAAATTGTTGAACTTTTCTTCCCTTCTATTTCCCGCCCACCAGAAAGCAGACATTTACCACAATCCTGGCACTGCCTTGTGTCGTGTAGAAGCCTGATGCCTGCCTGTAGCCAAGTCTGGAGCAAAGAACGAGATGGCAGTTTTGTAACGAAGATGTCAAAGCCTCAAGAAGAAGCTTGGCAAGGTCAGGTACTGAGTAGTCCAAAGCTTACATGCCCCAATGCTGCTTTCTAACCAACTTCTGAGGGTCCCACATTATTCAGTGGGACACATCTGCTGATCAAACTTACCTCATGTGCTCTCTGCTGCTCCAAAAGATGCTGATAGTTCCCCGAAATCTCCACTGCCAACTTCTGCTCTGTTTGAACTAAGAATTCCATCCACGTTTCACATTTTTCCAAGAAAGTCTGATGCTGAAGCAGGAAGGACTGCAGCTTACTAAGAGGACAGGGGAAAAACCATGAAAGGTTATTTCATATACTTTGAGCTGTTAAAAGTAAATTAAACATCCAACGTCTTTAATATCATGAAGCTTTGATGTTAGGTAATAAAATTTTTAAAAGAAAAAGCCTCTCTCTCTCTCTCTTTCTCTCTCTCTCTCTCTCTCTCTCTCTCTCCACACACACACACACACACACACACACACACACACACACACACACACACACACTTCTTTGTTTGGAGGCTCAGGCCATTGGTGCTCAGACTTGCTCCTGACTCTGATTTGTCATGCTGGGCATTGTACCCAGAATGAAAGGGCCACTGTATGATCTCTCTGACTCTCAAATGATATTTTCAAAGGCTAAATTTATGTGCCAAGCAGTGCTCATGAGACCCAGGAGCTCCACTGGGGATTCTTGGCCAAGCTGGCCCATGGTACAGTGCAAGGCCCCTGAGGATGCAATGTGACTGGGGTCCTGCAATTCAAGGGTAGCCATGCCATCCCTGCCTTAATACCAGGCTTGGGGACCTCCAGGATGGCTTCCTGTGATGCTCAGTGCCGATGGGGAGCAGGGAATCCAACCTGGGTCAGTCTCCTACTAGGCATATACCCTAGCTGCTGAATGCATTTTTACTCAAAAGGGGTTACTTGAGGGGGACAGGGTGTAGTAATAACACAAGGGGTAGGGCACTTGTCTTGCACAGGGCTGAGCCAGGTTCAGTCCCCAGCATCCTATATGATACTCTCTGCCCCACTGGGAATGACCTCTGAGCACAGAGCCAGGAGTAAGCCCTGAGTACCATCAGGTATGGCCCGCAAACAAAACAAAATAACAAAGTAGTTACTTTCTGGGTAGAACAGCATTTTTAGCTCCTGAATATTTTGCAATATTCAGAAAATTACTAAAACCATTGCATGTTGAGTTTTTCACTTTTAGTTCTAACTTTATAAGTATCATTAGAAAGACCCAGAATTAAAGGGACTGGACTGATAATTCAGTGGGTAAGGCACTTGCCTTGCATGCAGCCTAACTGGGTTTGACCCCCAGTATCTGATATGATACCCCTGAGTACCACCAGGGGTAATTCCTGATGCAGAGTCAGAATTAACCCCTGAGCATCACTGGGTGTCACCCCAAAACCAAACCAAAACAAACAACAAACATGGAAGTAAGACCTTGAATTTATAAACATACACAAGGCATGAGTTATATTTCTAGGGTTTATCAGTGGCGAAGCATCCGCTACCTGAATCTTTCTGTTGTCTGAGAAGAGATCAGAGACCAGTTCCGGTTCAGATTCTGCATCCTTTTGATTTCCTTATCATTCAGGGGTAATCTGTATCCCAGCTCATTTAGACGGTCTAAATCCGGGGCCATGCTGCTAAATTTTAACATCTGTCCCTAAAAACAAGGTTGACAAAGCGGAGTTAGCAGCAAAGACGTGTAAGAGTTCTTCAAAATACATGGGAGCTTTTGACTAAAGGAAGAAGCTGTTCTTTGATCTCGAGCTATTTCCAAGTCATTTACTTGCAATCTTCTGAGCTGCAGATAAAGATAAACTACATCTCCTAGTTAGCTGCCATTGCTGTTGCTTGTGGAGGTATTACTAACCTTCTGTAATTTACACTTAGTAATTTATGTAATTGATCTGCTCATGCGTAATCTTGATAGAACTCATAAAAGATAAAGATTATACTAATGGCAGAAAAGCATTCATTTCTTAGTCTTCAGAATTTATATATCTAAGCTCATCTTTTCCTTTATCAAATAGCAAAAGTAATGATGATAGTGGTTAGTGGTTACAACAGAATAACCAACAATCACTGAGTATGTAATTATAAACGAAGCAATTCTTGTCAGCTTTATAAGTCATAACGTAGTCTCAAAAACATCACCTTCACCTCAGGTCAGTACTACCTCAAGTTCAACTTTTAAGTGGACAGCTTATAATCAAAAGTTTTTGGATTCCTACTGAATACACTACAATCAAACTAACACTCTGAAATCACCACATGTCACCTTGAAGAGCTGAGGTTGAGACCCCAACCAGAAGATGGCAAGATTCAAAGACCTTGTTCGATATCCAGGACAGAGCTCTGTGCTCTGGTTTCCACTGAACACTTACAATCCCACTTGAGAAACTGGATCCAGAAAGGAGAAAGTACCAGATCACGTGGACTTTCTCATGTGCCTACTCTGCAAAGGCTCATTGCTCTCATGAACAAACATGTCTTTCCCATTGTGAAAGCCCCAAGTCCAATGATGAGATGGCAGAATTACCATAGACAGACATGAGCAGTGAAGAAATACACGTGACCCATCTCGAAGAAAACAGTAGGAATGCTCATACTCCTGGAGTATCCCCCAGTCACATAAGTCAATGGAAGAAAAATATTTTGCTAAAGTAGTGCTCTGGGGCATGACCTTGGACACAGCTGGTTGCTGTCTTAAGAGAGAGAAAGGAGTTATGGGGATGGGAAAAAGAATTCTAAAAAGAGGGAATATCATTCCCCCATCACTGTTAACAATTTGTACACCTTTCAACCAGCACCGATCCTGCATAGTGATTTATGAACCTGCAGTTAAAACCAAGGTGGTAGACCAGTTGTTTACAACCTTCCTGCACATACAGACTGGCCTGGTGATTGAAGAAGGTTGATGTACATAGATGCTGGAAAGAACTATGGTTATTGAGCTGAAGAAAGAGCAGGACAGTGGTGGAAATAAGACTGAGAGAGGCAGAAATTTGGTGAGGTGATGATTTTACCCTAAGAGCAATGGAATCCCAGGAAGATTGTCAGCAGAGGAATGCTATGATCAAATGTGCGCCACAGGCTTAAAATAGCTTATAATTTAGGAAAATCCTATAGAAGGGGAAGATCGTTCTGGCAGCTAGGGAGAGAATGAGTTGGAGGAAGAAGGGTGGTTGCTGGGAGATTATTTAGAGGTTGCTTTCATTGGGAACAGAAAGATTGGACAGACTCAATTAGGATTAGAAGGAGGTGGGTGGATATGGTGAGTTGGGGGGCTACGGAGGAGGTGATCTAAGTACAGGCAGTAGGAGAGACAAGATTCAGGAAGCAGTGATGGAGGTGGAAGCCTAGAAGCTCTGGCCCTGGGCAGATGCCCATCATGGGTTTGAACTCTAGGCCAGCAAATGCTCCTCTCAGGACAGCGGGACCATGAGAACTTTTCTGGAGCTCAAAACAGCAAGTGGGATCACCACAGGTATTTCCAGTTCTGGTTGTGAGGACACAGGATGAAACATGCTTACCTTCAGCTCCTCCATCCTTTCCTGGATGATGGAGAGATCTGAAGAGTGGCTTGGGTCTTGTCCCTGGAGTATTTCCTCTGCTTCCACAATCCAGGTCTCCAAACCATCCAAACTCTTGGTAAATGATTTATAGTCAACAACTCCAGCCTTTGTGTTTTGGTTCCATGAGAGAAAATGGGTATTTAGAAATCCAGTAAAATGGCAATTAGATAACAAAATCATCTTTCTCTTTAATGAGTCATTGATGGATTGGGTTTGGGGGTCACATCCAGCAGTGCTAAAGGCTTACTACTGCCTCTGTGTTGGATCCCTCCTGACAACACTCTTGGAACCATATATGATGGAAGGATCAAATTTGCATTAGCCGCACTGGAGACAAACAAACACCTTCCTATTTCTTTGTCTCTTTATTTGTTTGTGAAGTTTGGGTTATGTTCAGTGATGCTCACAGCTTACTACTGACTCTGCTCAGGAATTATTCCTGATGGTCCTCAGGCAACCACATATGGTGTGAAGATCAAATAAAGTTTGCTGGCATGCAAGGCAAAACCTTAACCCTGTAACTAGTGCCTGAAACTACTTTTCATATTTTTAGATCAAAATGCCAGTTTCACAATGCTACTCCTAAAGAAAAAAAGGCTTTATGATTATAATTTTCTATTTATTTACATATTTACTTAGTATTTACTATATAGATAGGCCTTCCTACGTTTTCAAATTGTTTGTATGTCATGCTATTCAACCAGCTGAAATCATTTTTAAATACCTTCATGAAAGAATCAGAGCCATAGTACAGTGAGTAGGGTGTTTGCCTTGCACGTGGCCAACCCGGGTTCGAATCCTGGCATCCCATGTGGTCCCCCAAGCACCCACAGGAGTAATTCCTGAGTGCAGAGCCAGGAGTAACCCCTGAGCATTGCTGGGTGTGGCTCAAAACGCAAGTAAATAAAATAAAATAAAAAATTTTAAAAAATACCTTCACCAAACTGAAATTCTAATTCTCCCAAAACTGGACCTAAACCCCTGAATCTTAAAGTTGAAGTCACCTGATTTGCATGCAGGATGCTTGGGTGGAATTCCTAGCACCAAAAGGCTCCCCCAGAAATTTCCAGGAGTGACCCACAAGCACTGAGATAAGAACAGTTCCCAAACAGAGGTGGGTGTTCCCCCTCCCCCAAAAGAAAAAGCAGCATAAAAATTACATTGCAGAGTCAGTGTAAGACTTTCACCTCCTCTTGTCCCTACTGGAAATTCAAGTTTGCTTTTTGTTTTCCAGTCCTTGGTCTTCAAGGAAGTATGATCTCAATGTTGAAAACTTCTTTTCTGTGCCCATGTCCAGACATTACCCAACACCCAGTCTACACCACCCTCTGAACACGAGCTCATACCTGCAATGCAGTCTGCTGTTTGCAAAGAGCCTGCTCCAGGGTACTTAACTGTTGACTCAAAGAGAGTTGATCCGACTGAATGGCTGAGGCTGCTGATGCGTCCACCTGCCGCTTGAGCTGCTGGCCCAGCTCATGGAGGACATAGAGAGAATCCTTTACTGTGCCCAGGCCTCTGAGGAGGTCCTAGAGAAGATACAAACATGCCAATTGTGAGACAGTCTGGGACATGTACTTCTTATCCTGAGCAATCAGCAAGGACCAGGCAACAAGAAACATGCAATTTCTCTTTTATAAATTATTGTGCTAACTAACCTTCATTTGCAGGAACAGTGAGCTAAATATCCTTACCCATGAAATAATAATCAAGAACTGCATGCTATTTTAAAATATAATATGTTTATGTTAATAATATTCATTTTTTTAAAAAAGAGAATGTATTAAAATGAATTACTATCAAAATAGTGATATCCTGATAAGAGACTTTGGTGGGTTTTATATTTTTGAGGGTGGGGTGAGGAGTAGGACATTGGGCATTGAGGGAAAGCAGCAAAAAACAGGCCAACAAGAAAAAAAAACATGACCTATGAGAGAAGCTAATATACTGGAAATAATCTGGTATTTCCTCCAGTTCCCTTTCTGTACTGACAGTGAACTAAAATGTGTTTATTCACATCACTGTACTCAGTATCTCACATACAATGAATGAGTCTGTCACCTTTGTAGGCTGATGGTTCTGAGAGACCAAGTCTCAGATGAGACTCCAAAGATGGTTCTGGTAAGTAGGGGCAGGTAAAAGTGTAACATTATTCTTATTCATAGCACATACTGTCTCCACTTCTTGTGGAACCCTCTTGTATGCTCAAAATGACAAGCCCATGGAAATTCTCTATTGTTGGATTCCACCATCTGCCACAATGAAATGGTGAATGGCTGGTCCTTTATGCTAGGGCTGATGCCTCACCTTAGCAGAATCTCCTCTATCTACAAAGTGACAACTAAGAGAGCACGGACAACAGAGCAACATTTAGGGCCATGGAGACAATACACCAGGTTGGGCATTTGCTTTGTACATGGATGACCCAGGTTCAATCCTTGGCATCGCAAACAGTCCTCTGAGCACCACTAGGAATGATTCCTGAGTGTAGGGGCAGGAGTAACCCCTGACCATTGCTGGGTGTGACCCCAAAACCTCCCCACAATTTTAAATTAAAAAAGAATTTTATTTTAAATTTTAAATTAAAGAAGAGCAACTTTAAATTTGACCAAGATTTCAAGATAAGGAATTTCACAGAAAGTACTTGGATCCCTGACTCTAAAACAGGTCCGTGGCCTCAAATCAGGCAGAGTTAACATCAGAAAAGAGAAAATCCTAAAAGATCTGATTAGCATGGGGGAAAAAATTGCACTATTTTATTGTCACTATAAAACTTTAGATTTAAAATGGCTATTTATTATCTAAGTGAAGGCATTAGAATAAGCCAAATTTTTATTTATGGACTCTTCATAACTTCCTTAAACTGATTTGGAAAGGTTTATAAGTTTTGAAATGAGTTTATTAAAATAAAAGCAAATAATGGCAAAGAGTGGGAGCCAGATAACAGGCGAAATAAAACAACTATTCCCTAAAACCTTAAGGCAATTACTGGGAGTGGCAACAAAAAAGAGGAAAATGTTTTAAAATGACTGAAAAGACTTCTTTCTACTGAGAAATTCTTAAAGGTAAAGGTAAAGGCCCTCCCGTTGATCGTCGATTTGCTCGAGCGGGCCCAGTAACGTCTCCATTGGAGACTTTGTTGTTACTGTGTCTGGCATATCGAATACTCTCGGTAGCTTGCCGGGCTCTCCAAGAGGGGCGGAGGAATCGAACTCGGGTCGGCCATGTTGGCCGCTTGTAAGGCGAACGCCCTACCCGCTGTGCTATCGCTCCAGCCCTGAGAAATTCTTAGATGAAATTATTAAGTTGGTACTTAAATAATGAAACTAAACTGACAATACCTTTAACAGTGGATATTTAAAACTAGCACGAGCACTAGCACTATCCTCCCATCGCTCATTGATTTGCTCAAATGGGCCCAGTAAACTTCTCCATTGTTAGACTTCTTGTTACTGTGTTTGGCATATCGAATATGTCAGTCATGGGTAGCTTGCCAGGCTTTGCCATGCGGGCGAGATAATCTCGGTAGCTTGCCGGGCTCTCCGAGAGGAGCGGAGGAATCAAACTCGGGTTGGCCAGGTTGGCCCTGTGTAAGGCAAACACCCTACCGCTGTGCTATCGCGCATTTTTATGTCATTTCTTTTATAAGGATAGGTTAACTACCCACGGCACCAGGACTGATATAATTGGGAATCGACATTCATTCTAATTTTTTCTTGACCATTTTATCTCGCCCGCACGGCAGAACCTGGCAAGCTCTCCGAGACGTATTCGATATGCCAAACATAGTAACAACAAAGTCTCCAATGGAGACGTTACTGGGCCCACTCAAGCAAATCGATGATCAACAGGAGAGTCTTTACTTTTACTTTACTTATTTTACTTTTGGAACCCAACAGTGCCTAGAGCTTCCTCTGTGCTCAGGGATCACCTCCAGTGTCGTTGGGAGCACCATAAGTGAAGCAGGGGGTCAAACCAGAGTTTGGCCATGTGCAAAGCAAGCATCTTAAACTCCTGGGCAATCTCTCTTGCCCCTATACTCATTTCTTGCGTTAATCATTTCTGTTAAAAAAAAAAAAAGAAAAGAAAAAGAAAAAGGAAAGCAGAGCTTGTTAACCTGAACTGTATCCCATGAAGAAAAAATGGGAAAACAACTCGCCTTGAAAATCAAAACTACACAAGGACATCTGACACCTGACACATGTATAAAATGTGGCCAGCTTGCATCATGGGCTCTTACAAGTGATCGAGCTCACACCCGAATGGACTAACACTACCTGATGAAAACCACCTGGATTGCCAAACATACCTGGCAGTCTTCAATCCATGTGGCAACTTCGTCATCAGCAACGTCCTTGTCGGAGACGGCCTTCAAGAGCTCCTGGGTGCGTCCATCCTGCTGTTGGACCGCAGATGCGCACTGCTTGGAGTAGTCCTTGTACCTCTGCCAGAGCTGCAGGAGACTCTTGCTGGCATGCAGCTGCTCGGCAATCTCTTCCAACAAGTGGTTCCATCTGGAAACAAGAGCCAGATGACAAGAGGCAGATGACACGGGGTCACAGTGCTGTTACTTCCTGTCTGTTTCAGAATCCTGCCTCAGGTGGCCGTGGGAGGAACGCAGGGTGTCTCGTGTCCATGTAGCCTAACAAAGTGGAACCTGTCCCACTCTCAGGTCAAGGGAGTGAAAGAAATATTTGTGCCAGTGGCAGTTCTTGCAGCTATCCAAATACTCTCCCTGCCTTTCAGTGTCCTTCAACTAACTGTGTGAAAACAAACCACTAGGAGAATAGAATCTAAAGCGTTGATTGTAGATGCCACCGGTTGTCATTGTACTATTATTGTTTTGATTGTGGCGGTTGTTATTTGGGGACCTTGTCAACAGTGCTTAGGAAGTCTGGGTGCCATTCCCAGCAGTGCTCAGGGGCCCATGTGATATGAGGATGGAATTGGGTTTGGCCATGTGCATGGCGGAATTCTTAATCTCTGCACTATCTCCCCATCCCCTGTACCATCACTTAAAATCTGCTGTACAAGCTGCAGAGATGCTTCCTGATACGAAGTCACCATCCAGTCAAAAATTTAACTTCGGCTGTATCACCCCATTCAAAATTTTAAAATTCCTGGAAGATCTCTAACTCTACATCACTGACATACCAGGAGCAGCACATGGGATGAGACTCCAAATGAAATATAAAGCAGAAGGCGACCAATCTCAATTAAGAAAATATAAACCCACAAGGTTTAACCTGTAACAACACGTTAGTAATCTCTTCTAGGAGAGTGTAATGGTTCTAGGGTGAGATACAACAATCTTCACACACTTTCTTCTAAGGAAACCAAATAGCAAATCATTTATAACAAGGATTATGAAAGAAATTGTTTAGGGCCTGCTACTGGGACAGTGGCTAGGAAAATTGGAAATAATGGTGGTGGGAAGATGTAATGGTAGTCCTGGTGTTAGAATACTGAATGTAATAAATCATCGTGAACAACTTTATAATATAAAAGAAATGTTAAAAAATAAGTTGCAATATATAGAATGGCTAGCAGTTCAGAATATCTTGCTGCACAGCCCATATTAACATCGTACCTCATATTGGTGTCTTTCAGAGTATTCGTAAGCATTTCTGTCACCGGTGGGTGACATTCTTTCAAGAGTTGGTCAGTAACAGAGGCAAACTTCTGAAGGCAACTTTCCTGCTTTTCTAGATCATCTTGGAGAGTCTGCCCAAAGAGAAGAAAGTGAATCAGATGACAGGACCCAATCTAGATCCTAATAGTTTTAAAAGTGACTCAGTCAAGTACATAAATACAAACATACGAATATATAAATCATGCCTCACTTTGCTCTAATGCTTTATAATCATTTCTTATTCTTTTTTCTTTTGTTTTTAAACTGGTTTTTGGTCTACACCCAGTGGGGCTCCTGGCTCTGTGCCCAGGGATCATTCCTGGTGATTCAGGAGACCATATGGGAAGTCAGGGATCAAACCCAGGTTGGCTGCATGCCAGGCAAGTGTCCTACCCACTCTCCTATCACCCCAGTCCCTATTTCTTCCTTTTCAATGATTTCATTATATAGGTATGAGAACAGAGTCATAAGAATAAAACCTTTTGGGTTGTTTTTGGGTCACACCCAGTGCTGTGTAGGACTTAACTCTTGGCTCTGCACTCAGGATCAGTTTGAGCTAAGACTGGGGGGCATAAGGGATGGCAGGGATAAAACTTGGGCTTGCCATCCCTTACATTCCCTAAAAACAAGGGAAGTGACCTACCTGCCACTATCACCCTGGCCCCTACAAACCTTCTTATAATAGCACCTAGAATTTTATTAGCTCATTACCGTAGTTTCGGTAATATGGTCACAACAATGTTAATGTTGGTGCTTTTGAGATACTGTTATACCACATCTCACACTATGACCAAAGTGTCCTGGATAACACCCCCGCCTTGCCCCCTCACCCCCCGTGCCTATGCTCAAAAACTTTGGTTGTTTGTGGATTTTTTTCCCCTTTTTGGTCACACCTGGCAGTGCTCAGGGGTTATTCTAAGCTCTGGGCTTGGTGTGTGTGTGTGGGGGGGGGGGGGGGACTTCTATTAGAACTTTCTCAGTCCTGTCTCTGGGTTTTCTTCCTTGCAAAGAATCATTATAGGTTACAAGCCTGGCACATTCTTCTACCAAAGATGAGTGAAGGGACTTAAGAAAAGTATTTCCATGGAAATTGTGCTGAAGTGATAGACCTTATTCTTAATATAAGTCCAAAATTGAATAATTGACTGCCACGGAAGCAAACACATTCTGTTATCAGGAGTGAATCCTTTCCTATGTTAAGACAGCCACCTACAGGTGTTAAACATAGAAGAGTTTAAATGATAACCTTTTAGCATCTGTATTGCAAACCATAATGCCTAAAATGAGAGAGAGAAAAAAGAGAGCAAAGAGAGGTGCCTGCCATAGAGGCAGGCTAAGGTAGGGAGGCTCTGTGGGGTGGGAGAGAAACTGGAGACACTGGTGCTGGGAAATTACATTGGTGGAAAGATACGTGTTGGAACATTGTATGACTGAAATGCAACCATGAAGAATTTTGTAATGCTCTATCTCACAGTGATTTAATTTAAAAAATGAAAGAATAAAGTGAGAAATTGAAAGAGGGTACATATCTTCTTTTACATAGCCCACCTGGGTTCTATCCCTGCATCCCATAAGGTCCCCTGCTCATTGCCAAGAATAATTCCTGAGTATAGAGCAATAGTGACCCAGGAGCATTGCTATGTGTGTCCCCAAATCACCACCACCAACATAATGACTTATAACCTCCTCAATGTTATCTGCATGAAGTTAAAAATTAAAGGTATTTATTATCACTTTGGCAGCATACATATATGTATATATATGTATATATATAAACTCAGAATGAAACAATCATTATTAGGGACTCTGTGCATGGGTGGCATACATATGGGATTTGTTTTAAAGAAGGAAAAGGAAAAAAAATGAAGGCATTTAAAAACTTTTACATCCTGTTCATTTTGCAGCTGGAGCAGAGTGAGAGGCAGTACAGTTTGAACATGCAACTGTGAATACTACAGCAAATTTTTCATTTTCCCCCTATAATTATATTTTAAGCAGGGAATATTTTCTTTCTAGCCTGCCTTTCAGTCTTGAGGAGATCATGAACATAACAAATTGTGTTGTTCAAAAAGGTCTAGTATTGTATCGCCAAAGTAATTTGCAGAATGAAATTCTTATCCAGGAATCTGCATGGACAACTGGTCTACCCTACAAGTTTGCCATCAGATCATGTGGTTACTATCCTTCTGCAATGTGACCTCAAAAGTTAGGGGGGTCACAGTTATTTCTACACAGTTGCTTTGGTGTCTGTGTATGTCTGCATGCTGTCCCTTGCCAACAATAGCCTTTGGATTTTCTCCACAAGGACTATTGCTCCTTAGTAAGTCTTTATTAATTCAACTTTAAAAAGGTTCAACATATGTATCTTGTTATTATTGCTGCATCTTTTTTAACAATTCTTGGGGAAAAAAACCCAAGAGTATTTTGAAGCTTAACTATTTTCAAATTTGTTTTCTTTGGGGGTGGGGGAGGGGGTGGGGAGTGTCTCCCAAATGGTGGTCAGGAGACCTGGAGTACCCTTCCAGCAGTACCCAGTCAACTCAGCCAGAAGTTTAGTGCTAGGACCTAAGAATATGATGCTTTGGGCTCTGGAGTGCCAGAACCACCCTGGCGGTGCTGTGAAGCTCTCGGGGATCATTCAGAGATGCTGGTGATGGAGCCAACGTCAGATACATAGAGGAATGTCGGGATGTGCTCTAACACCTGTTCTAGCTCCCTGGCCCTCAAAGAAAATTATAACGAACCTGGGTCTTTACAGAAAAAGATTTAGAGTTTGGGGGTTTGTTTTTAGTTTTTATGTCACATGTGGCTGTGCTCAGGGCTTATTCCTGGCTCTGTATTCAGAGATCATTCCTGGTGGTGCTCAGGGAACCATATATGGTGCTGGGGATTGAACTGGGGTTGACTGCATGCACAGTGCCTTAACCCTTGGTATTATCTTCCAGACCCCCATTTAAGGTTTTACAAAATTAAGTATGTGCATTCTTCCTCCCCCCTGCCCCACTTCTAAAGGAAAGACACTCCTTTAAGAAAATGAGCACAGGGTCAGAGCAATAGTGTAACAGGTAAGAAGTTTGCCTTGCATGGGGTCGACCCATGTTTGATCCCAGCCCCCCATATGGTCCCCCGAGCACTGCCAGGACTACTCTGTGAGTGCAGAGCCAGGAGTGACCCCTAAACATTGCTGGGTATGACCCTAAAGAGCCAAAAGCAAAAGAAAATGAGCACATGAGATCAGCAACATAGAAATTTTGATGCCCAACTTGATGTCTGGATCCTGACATGTCTCACGTCAGTCGAGAGGGAAACAGACAGACATGGGAGACTTCCTGCTTGACTCTGATGGACATCGTATCCCTCCAATTATGTCCATCCCATACTCTGCATCTTTAGCCATAGAGAATGAGAAGCAATAGGGGAGAGTGCCTGGTACCCAGCTGAGCAGAGAAGTGGGGAGGAAGTTGATTAGATGGCAGTGATCAGAGATGAGGATCATTCAGAGCCCCATTCTGATTTTTTTCAGTACCCTGTGGGCAGGTAGTATTAGTTTTTGGAGCGCAGGACCCTCATGGAAGTGCTGGGGCAGGGCGGGTGGTGGAGCTGGAGCATATACTATCAGGAATGGAACTCAGGGCCTTATAGTGCAAGGCATGTACCTAGCACCCGTGCTACCTCCCAGGTCTCCTGAGTTCTGTGCTTTCAGTTTAGCTGTGATGCCCCTTATTTAGATGAATACAATGATTAAGGACATGGAGGAAATGGAGCAGGGAGTGAGAGAAACGAATACGTCCGTGTGCTCATCGAACAGACTGCTGGAATTATGCTGAACGAAAGTGAACGTAAGAGTTTTTTTATTTTTAAACACTATTTTTCTTTTTATTCTCTTTGTCATTCTCCCTTAGAATCTGTTTGAAGGAGCAAGATGAGGAGAAAAAGAGAAGATAGAAAATGTAGTGGCCATAGATGGTAGAGGCTAATTTGGAGATTACACCATTTTTTAAAACATTCATTTTAATAGAACTGAAATTTTTTGTTGTTGTGGGAAGGATTTGGGGCTACACCTGATGGTACTCGGGGCTTATTCCTGGTTCTATGCTCAGGAATCATTCCTGGCAGAATTTGGGAGACCATATGCAGTGCTGAGTTCTGAACCAGGATGGACCACATGCAAGGCAAGTTGCTTTTATCACTGTACTATCTCGTGGGCCCCCAGTAGGAATTCTTAGGTCACCTAGTTATATACCATCTGATAGAGAATTGGGCATCCCTAGGCAAGTGGGCAGAATTCATTTAAAATACATTTTAGAAAGTAAAGCACATCTAGCAACATTTAAAGCTGATATTCCCATCTGCTCACTTTTCAATTTCATTAAATTTCAATGGGAGTTAAAGGGGGCTCAAGTCCATTCCTTACCTGAAGATTGTCCACCTGTATTTGCACGGCTTCCAAAGAGCCGGTGAGCAAGCGGAAGCGGGACAGTGAGTACCTTGCCTCGGTGAGGGCACTGACAGTCTCCTCACAGGCTGCCTTGTGCTGGCTCCAATGGCCAAGCACCGACTCCAGTCGCGTCTTCAACTGCCCAACCTTTGGAAAGAGGCATGTGATTTACAATGACAGACAAGATCTTTACACAATGAAAACGGTGACCATAAAGAATACTGATAGAGTTTCAGGTAACAGGAAAACACTGATAAGCATCTTTAGCAGACTGTAAATATATACCTTCCTACCTTTGGACCCTTGGTTTAAGCTGAAAGACCTCTAAAGGTGGCATAATTGATAAAGGGTCATGTATTAACTCTTCAGTTTATGAAGCAAGTTAAATGATGTTTCAAATGCATTCATTCATTTCATCCTAGAACAACTGTTGGAAGTAAATAAAAGCACTATCCCAAGAGTAAAGATGAAACTGAGGCAAAAAGGGTTCCCAAAAATCAACTGAGATTGTACTGTCAGAATGTGAAAGATCTAGATTTGAATCCAGGCTGGTCCCAGAAAATAAAACCTGCTGGCCCCCAAACATGAGACAGATTTGTCTGTCTGTCCATCTATCTATTTTGCCATCCAACTACTTACTACCCATCTATTTTAGCTATTCAACTATCTGTCTAATCTCCCTACCACGCAGAAACTATATATGTGTTCGCACTTATATAATTCCTCATACACATTGGGCTGGAGCGATAGCACAGCGGGTAGGGCGTTTGCCTTACAAGCGGCCAACATGGCCGACCCGAGTTCGATTCCTCCGCCCCTCTCGGAGAGCCCGGCAAGCTACCGAGAGTATTCGATATGCCAGACACAGTAACAACAAAGTCTCCAATGGAGACGTTACTGGGCCCGCTCGAGCAAATCGACGATCAACGGGAGGGCCTTTACCTTACCTTTACCTTATACACATATCTAACATATCTATTCACATAAATATAAAGACACTTGAATGAGTTTCCAAAAAACTTTCCTATACTTACTAAGAAATTTTAGATAGGTCTGAATTATTTAGAATGATAGTTTCTCTGAGTCTCTTGAATGCCAACCTAATCTTCTAATTTATTTTTTAAGGATGGAATAAGCACAAGAGAATTCATTCACACTGCTGAAAGTCCAGCAGCTTTCTTTACTATTCTTCTAGGCATAAATGAAAAAGAATATTAAGACCTATCAAGATTCTATCTAAGGGATCAAAAGACACAGACAGTGGAGTCTGTGAGAAAATGAGTGAGTGAGAAAATGTCCATTGGCTCCAAGGCCCATGCCATGAAAGTTAGAAGCGGAAGGGATGATAGAGTCAGTAGATTAATGAGAAACTTAAAAGGGTCTACTCTATGCCTTATATTCATTCTTTATTTTTTATGAGATATCTCTGTGGAAAAATAATTTATTTGTACCAACACTTGCTTTCCCATATTTGGGGTGACTTATACAAATACATAAGATAAATACAAATTAAGGATAAAGTAGAGATAGGCAGAAAACTGCATCTGGAGGAGTGGACGTGAGCTCTAATAGCCCTTCACTGCAGGCCACAGTTCCCAGACACTGACCCTGCGTGGATCTCAGCCCTCATCTCAGTACAGCCTGGGAGCGGATCAACCATGAGCTTAGCTGGAGAGGGCACTGACTGTTGACAAGCGTTTACTCTCAGAGGACAACTGTCGATGCAACACCTATTTATCGAATGTCTTGGTAGAGCTTACACGTAGTGAGAAATGCAAACAGACAAGCACACTGTGCTACAGCAATCACATAAGTGATAACAGAGGGGAGAATCCGGAAGTGTGAGGTTGTCATTAAAAGCAAGGGGGTCAGGATATCCTCAATGAGGTAATGGATCTGCACCCAGATTGTGCGGAGAGTGATCCCTGGGATAACTAGGGACAGGTGGTTCTTGGCAGAAACTTGACCAGTGCCAAGTCCTTGCACACACCTGCTGAGTTCAAGAGCATGAACCTGCAGGACAGGAGCAGGAGAGATCAGAGAAGCAAGAGTGGGGGGGGGCTGTGGGGTCCATTGACCTCTCACTAGGTCTGGCCTCATTCTGAGTGACATATGCAACTGATGGTGGGATTCAGAACAGAAGAATGTCTTGGGAAGTGAATGTGAAGTAAGAAAAGACTGTGAATGATATATCTGCCACTTCGCCTGGACCTCTTTGGCAGAGAGATTACTTAGAAGGTCAAAGAAATGATCCAGCAAGCAGGGATGCTAACCCTGTAGACAGGATGGATTCTAGATCAGTTCTAGCCTAGGGCTGACAAAACTGCCGATGTCTGCGTGCAAAGTCTCAGAAAACAAGAGGAGAGAAGGACTCCATGTCTCCTGCCCTAGCAGAAGGGCAGAGTGCTCAAAGCGCAGCTTGTGTTGGATCCCCCAAAGGCACTGCCTCGAGCCATCTGGGAGATGCCACCCTGTTGATTATACACTTGGGGATTCTCCTTGAGGAGAGAATGCTTCAGAGACATCAGAAGTGGCATACGTCAGTGGCAAAAGGGGTGCCATCCCCCGCCCCATCATCTGCCATCATTGCTCCTGTATTACAAGCAGTTTGGCTTGGCTATTGGCCTATCTTTCTTCACTAGAAGAGGATGCTAGTTGAGTTACTTGCCAATACCCTTTTGCTTCATGGAGCGATAGCACAGCGGGTAGGGCGTTTTGCCTTGCACGCAGCCAACATGGCCGACCCGATTTCGATTCCTCCGCCCCTCTCGGAGAGCCTGGCAAGCTACCGAGAGTATTTGATATGCCAGACACAGTAACAACAAAGTATCCAATGGAGATGTTACTGGGCCCGCTCGAGCAAATCGATGATCAACGGGAGGGCCTTTACTACTTACTTTACTGATTCACAATTCCCTGTGCCAGGGTTAAACTTCTCTTTTGTGCTACACTTCCCCTGCATTGTTTCCCCATCTGTCATAGTCCCCTCACACTCTAGCGGTTCCTCTTCTCTATATTAAACCTATTGAACTGGGGTTAAAGATTATTGATTATTGTCTGGCAATCTGTTTGCGACCCATTCCTCATCTATCAGCCAGGGAATGGGGTTGAGGACCCTCTGTCTATCTGATGGAACATATCAGAGGACCTTGTCACATAGGATGGTGATTCAGACAGGCTTGTCCGGCAGGAAGGGCACTGGTGGAGGCATGGAAACTGAAGGGGTCTACTGATCATGAAAGAGGACATGTTGGATTTCTCTCTCTGCCTCCATGTCTCTCTTTCTCCAGGAGAGAAATTCAGGCTAGGGTCAGACAACTGAGAATTTTCTGTCTAGATAGTATTTGTGTCTTTACATGGGCATGAACAGATTCTCAACAGGGAACATTCATAATAATATAGACTATAGGAAAGACACATTGGAAGATTTTTTTTTTAGCACTGTAGCACTGTCTTCCCATTGTTCATCGATTAGCTCAAGCAGGCAACACCTATTTATTGAATGTCTTGGTAGAAACTTAGCAAGTTTCTACCAAGGTGACAAGTAATTTATCTCCATTGTGAGACTTCTTGTTACTGTTTTTGGCACATTGAATACGTCATAGAGAGCTTGCCAGGCTCTGCCATGTGGACGGGATACTCTCGGTAGCTTGCCAGGCTCTCTGAGAGGGACGAAGGAATTGAATCAGGGTCGGCCGCGTGGAAGGCAAATGCCCTACCTGCTGTGCTATGGCTCCACCGATACATTAGAAAACAAACTATAACATCATACAAAGAGAAGACACAGAACGGAACAAAATACTTATAAATCATAAAATACTTATGGAACCCTAGTAACAATCACTTGCTCAAACGCAACAGAATCCTTACACAGGCAAAGGCAGACTAGCACAAAGCAAAGAACAGAGATTCTCTAATCCTTTGGGCAGTGACTTTAGGGAAACCCAGTCACGTATGTTGGGTCAGAAGGTGACAAATAGCGCTCAGCACTGATCCTCCAGAAACAGCATTACCTTGAGGTCCAAAGCGGCCCAGGTTTGGCGGAGTTCTTGCAACGTGGTCAGGACAGTGCCAGAAACTTCTTCCTTCTTGTCCTGAATCAAAGCAAGTCCGTTCTGTTCAACTTTCGCTACCTCTTTTTCTTTCGACTTAACCACATCCTCTAGATCCTGAAAGTTAAAAAAACATACATTTATTTCAATTTGTTTTTATTTTATTTTATTATTTTATGCTTTTGGGGTCACACCCAGCGATGCACTCCTGGCTCTGCACTCAGGAATTACCCCTGGCGGTGCTCAGGGGACCATATGGGATGCTGGGATCGGCCGCATGCAAGGCAAATGTCCTACCCGCTGTGCTATCGTTCCAGCCCCGCCCAGGACTTTTAAAGGGTGATACAGCTGGAGTTAAATTTTTAACTGGGTGGCGTCTTTGGGGTATGTGTTACTGCCAGGGATGGAAACAAGCATTTGTAACTCACTGTATGAAATGATCAAGAGGAGAAATCAAAGCCAGGTGGCCATGGAATTTAAAACTGCTCTAACCTAGGCAAGTTTGAGATATTGCATATAGCGATTTAGTTATTTAGTTACTGGCATGCTTACGTGCATGCTTATTTATTTTCCTTTCTTAATTCTCATAAATGTGTAAACTCGGCTCAGGGTTTAATTCTTCACCATCTGAGATGTGGAGAGCACAGGAAGTTAGTAGAACCATGAACATATCAGAAAGGCATAATAGGTGAGCAAGACAGACGTCCAGTCTCGAGCCATGAAGGGTGACCTTCATGGTCGCAGAGTGACCAGTGCTTACTGACTCTCAACCCAGAGCTGGAGGGGACATGAGACTGCAGAGAATGGAAGTTCCGGGGGAGATGTGGGAACTGCATGTTAATACACGGCCACGTTCTCAAAAAAATCTCCCATAGGGCTGGAGAGAGAGCATTGGATATTAATGATTAATTACTATTAATTAATCTAATCTATTACTCTAATTAATATTAGAGAGTTGGATATTAACCCTAAATGTTTTAGGCTTCATCAGTGAATTGCCCCTTTTCCTCCCCCCAAAGAAGCATATTGTGCTCTTGTGAGCACCCCTAATCCCTGAGTTCATCTTGAAGCTTTCCTTTGTGTTAGTTACTAGAGTCCTCAAATCAGTCTTGGTTACTTATAAGTCAAAACTTCTGGTAATTCTGGACTTTGTATTTGAAGTGACGTACTTGCTTTTCTATTTCCCCTTATAGCTTTTTCATATTTTACTAAAGAGCAATGTTCTTTGCTTAAACACTGAAAGACTGTTAATGCTATGCTCCTGATATTTGGGAGTTGACTGAGTCTGAAATGTATCTACTCCAGGAAACCGTCATAATTACTTGACTCAGGCTTTGGTTGCTGTAGTTCCTAACACCCCACAAAGCGAGGTCCTGCCATGAGACTGGTATGGACCTGGAATGAGCAGCAAAGTTACCCCAGCATCAACATGGGACAGTCTAGAAAGCATAAAAGCATGGTATTGATGCAAGACATTATGATTTAAGACACAGGACCTCCATAGAGAAGGACAAACCGAACCAGCCTGAAGACTTAGTCTAGGGTTAACGGTAAAAGCCCTGCTTGCCATCTGAGGCCAGAGAACTAAGTTTTGGAATCTCTATCTCTTACTGTGTTTATCCAAATAGCTGCAAGTATTAATAAGAAGTAAACTTAATTGTTTAATATGTACAATTAAAGGGAAAGAGAGAAGCAATGTAATGCTGTCGCCTTTGGGTGAATCTCTCTGTATAGCCCCTGGGAGACAGAGTGTCTCCTAGAGTTAATCCACCCCTAAGAGAATTGCCTCAGTGGAAATGCCAACATAGTTTGATTTCTGACACTCCAAATGGTCCCCCAAGCCCTCCAAGAGTGATCCCTGGGTGCAGAGTCAGGAATAAGTCCTGAATATCACCAGATGTGGCCCCCAAACCAAACCAAATCAAAAAATAGCACCCAAGACTAGCTGTGTGGACGCACTGACTATGGATCTCAGAGTGACAAAAATTGCAGGTTATTTTAAATTTGGATAACGTCCAAGTTCTACATAAAAATATTTCAGTTTACTGTCCCAATCCATACTAGATAATAATATTGGAGTTTGGCACTAGCTAGAGTTCAGACTGTGCCAAATTAGTTACAAACTATCTCTTTTATTTATGCTTTTGTGTGGTCCAAATTTTCAATCACACTAACTTATTACTGAAAATCGTAATATCACAATGAGATATATAACATGGTAAAGTATATTGTTACATCCTTGGCTTATTTCAAAGCATAACATTAGAGAAATAGTCATGAAAATCTTTTAAACTTCTCTAACCTAGGCAAGTGTGAGATATTGCATATAGACATGCCAAACACAGTAACAAGTCTCATGATGGAGACGTTACTGGGCCCGCTCGAGCAAATCGATGAACAACAGGAGGACAGTGACAGTGTCATTGACAGTTACTGACATACTTAAGTGCATACTTATTTATTTTCCTTTCTTAATTCTCATGAACATGTATCGTAACTTGAAATCAATGCATTCTCTAAAGATCCTTTTGTTTTAAAACTGTTCCCTCATTTTCACATTATAATTTGGCCAGTGATTTGATAACTTTGATAGGACCCAGAGAATGAATATAATGAATACTAGACTTCCAGTTCTCTTATGTAGAGAGAAGTGATTATAATCACTTCTATAGAAGACATAATCGACTCTATTATTTATAAGTTTTTCTCAATTTTTACCAGCAGTTTAAATAACCATAGACAATTTTTCCAATTTAATTTTAAAGTTCAATCACTAAAATTAAATTGGTCTCACTTATCTGTAGATAAATAGCCAAATGTTTTAATGGACAATACCCAGTGAATGACCCATTAAACAGAAATAAGTCTCTTAACTGCTCTGCAAATTTTTGTTGGCATAAAAGCAAAACCCAAGGTAGAAATGGAAAATGCATTTTGTGAAAAAAAAAGGTGTTTCTTTTCTTTCCATAAATAATAATTAAGCAATTTCCAAAAATAATTAAAAGATGACTTTATTTCTCACCAATAAAGTGAAAAACCAACCAATCTTAGCACTTTCATTATATTAATCTTTCTTAAATTGAGTTAATTCAGAATTACCAGATTTTCATGTTGCTTTAAATTAATAAATCTCCTCTGAAGGGGTGGAAAAGTATTCAAGATTTTTAGAAAAATAAAATAAAGCTTGAATCTGGTCATCAATTTAAGTATGCTGGCTCAAATTTCACACTTTGGTCCAGAAGGCAATTTCTCCAAAATGACAATAAATTTTATCAAGGTTCGTAGCATTGCCAAATAGAATCCGTCAGTTAGATCACTGTGATTTGTAAGCGATGCCCCCTAAAGAACAGTGTGGGTAACATTCCTACTGAAAAATGATTTTTCAATTGAAATCTCAAACTGGCATTGGTCAAGAATTCTTTAAACCGCACTTGAAGCTTTCTCGCTTGACGCTACTTGGCATGACCCCTCTTGAAGTCTAAATTTTGATTGGAAAACAAGTGAAACTTAGTCAAGCTCCTGCTATGTTTTCCAGAAGCAACATGTCTGTTAAAAAGAGGATACAGACATGAAATGACACACATGGAGAATGACAGGAAGAATATTAAAGAAAAGAAGATAAATGTGAGGATGTGGGGATGAGAGAAAAGGGGCAAGGACAAGGTCTATGAATATAGTTCCGCCTCTTAATAGTAAAATTTATGACAACAGAATAATCAAGCATTAATCTTGCCAATACAAATGCTATTTCTGCTTTAATCCACTTTAACTTGAGAACCCACCAAGAGGCAGGTCTTCCCAGCCTTCAAAATAAAAAATGTGAAATTCTGGCCTATTTGTAAAATTTAGACACGGTGCAATGAATTACTAGTTCCTGGAAAATCAACTTGAATATATGACGTATGTTTGGGGTCTTCAATCTTTTTTTACACCCATCTCCTGATGTGAGGCGTTTTTTAAAAGTTCAACTTAATTCTCAGCATGATGGTTTTCCTTTGTGATTTTTATACCCCCTAAAAATTAACGAGCCATTCAGCTGTTGGCCTTAGCCCTGCTGTAGACCAGAGCATCTGCTCTGCCTTTTCTGAACCAGCAGCTTTGACTGAGAGCTAAAAATCTCTCTCCCTTTTTCATGTGCCCCCATAGGAAAAAAAAAAAAAAAGCTGAACTGGAAGAAAAACGATCGCTAAAGGCTTTTTGTTTTGCAACCCTGAATATAAAAGCAAGATTTAGAGAGCGGCGTCTTTGGGTACAATTACTTCACAACGGAGTCCTCAATTGCTCTCTCAGGGAACACAAGAGAAAAGCCACAGCTAATCTGCAACATATTACATTATTATTGAATTATTGAAAATCTTTATGACAGCATGAATGATGGTGTTCCACATTTCTGGTGTATAAACAAGAACCATCTGAGGAAATCCTCGGCTCCTGCAGGCCAGGAAAACATTTAGAGTCTGACTACTCCACCTGACCCTGCACTCCTCATCACCGACAGGACGACCAGTGGATACCACCCCTGGATGCTTCCTGATTGGATAGTGGAGGAAGAACCTTGTCACCTGCACAATACCAGCTCATTGAGTTGAACCAGAGTCAATTATGTTTCTGGTGCTAACTCGGTTACCAGAACTGCAACGAAGAGAAGAGAAAATGAAATGATATTTTAAAGGGTGGGGGTGGGGGGCACAGGCTGATTCTGAATCCCAGATCAGCTCGCAGTTCTACAGCAGTAATATTTTTTAAAATGTTACAGACGTCAGAGTCTGAGAAGCAAATGGAGCACATGGGTACCATTAAATTATTTTTAGTGCATGTAAATGTACATTTACAGTATATACATTATTTGAGTGGATTAATTAGAAAGTAAAAGGTCATTGGAATTTCATGGTTATGTGTTGAACATTAAAAAAAAGTAATAATGGATACTGGTCCAAATATTTTGAATCATAATGATATGAAGATTATATAAGAAATTGTAAGTTTGACATTTTATGGGGTAGCACGCAAGAACTAAAAAAAAATGTGTCTGGGATGCACTAGGCCATCTTTAAGGAAAAAAGAAAATAACTGAGATGGATTTCCAAACCCTGATAATTATTCAATCTTATGATCAGTATAGGGACATCTTATTTTCTACCTAGGAATGTTATTAAAAAGTCTTATACTTTCAGTTTTTAAAAAATAAGACAATATAAATTCACAAAGTTAGGGACCAGGACTGGAGAGATATAGCAGTAGGGCAGTAGGCTGGCCTGTGTAAGACCTGGGTTTGATCCCTTACACCATACTAGGTCCCTTGAACCCTGCCAGGGTGAGCACTGAACCTCCCAGGGTGCAGACCACAAAATAAGCCCTCAGAGTCAACAGTGGTCAGGCAGGAACGGGAAAATCAACAGAGAAGCTGAGAGATAGTACAGCGGCTAGGTGCTTGCCTTACACATGGCCTTCTTGGGCTTGATCCTTGGTACCCCATGTGGTTTCCAAGCATGGCCAGGAGTAATTCCTGAGCACAGAGCCAGGAGTAACCCTTGAGCATCCCTGGGTGTGTCCCCAAAACAAAAACAAACAAACCAGCAAGAAAATCCCAAAGCCAAAACCTAATGAGAGAAAGGATTGGAGGGGAGGCAGCTATATGCCACACTGACCCCTTCTGATGCCCAGTAGCAAAGATGGTCCCCTGAGTCCAGCCAGGCATCACTCGGGAGCACAGAGACAGCCCCTGATCACAGCTGGGGGTGGCCACAACCAACTCCACCCAGCATTTATAAATTCAGAACTTAAAAAGCTCTATAAACTTACATAATCATAGAAATTTGTTACCAAGTGTGCCAGTTTTTCAACACTGAGACCTCGATTCTCAGAAACTACAAATTCCTTCAGCATCTGCCAGGAAACTGTGGAACAACCTCAGCCACCAAACGCATTACCTACCTGACAGTCTTTCAGTGCATTCTGAACTGAAGCCTGATCTCCGATCCGGTGCTGCTGCATCAGTCTCTTTTCCTGGGCTTCAAGCCATGTTTTCAGACCCTGCACGTTATTCTCATATTCTGACCAAGACTCCAATAAACCCTCCAACAGCTGGATCTGGTGGAACATAATGAAATAAAATGGGCAATTTCGTTTTAAAATCAAACCATAGTTAGGCTAATTAATTACTCAAGCCTTACTTTTCTACCATTAAAAAAAAATCTCGAATACCATCCATTGTATATAAATATATAATTTAAAAATGCACGCGAGAAGGTTAGAACCCATGACTTTTATTTTTATTTTATTTTTTGATTTTTGGGTCACACCCAGCGATGCACAGGGGTTACTTCTGGCTCTGCGCTCAGGAATTACCCCTGGCAGTGCTCAGGGGACCACATGGGATGCTGGGAATCGAACCCGGGTCTGTCGCATGCAAGGCAAATACCCTACCCGCTGTGCTATTGCTCCAGCCCCAAGAACCCATGACTTTTAACGGTGAACTGATAAAGAACCGAAGTGAAACCACAGCAAGATAATGATTCTGATCATCTCATAAAATATAATATTGGGAGAAAAACCTTTTAAAAAGTGAGAAAATATTTTCAAACTGAAAAAAAAAAACATAAACTATACAAAAAGGAGCAAGTTCATGAAGAAAATCAGCACCCTAAAATCCATTTTGAGTATTATCAGCACTGGTAATTTCCGGAGGCATCCCAAGCCCCACAGATTCTGCAGTGAGTTTTGTGTGTGTGTGTGTGTGTGTGTGTGTGTGTGTGTGTGTGTGTGTGTGCCTGTTCAGGGAGTTCTTTCACAAATAAATAAAGCAGGGGCCCCTTGGCTTACCTTCTCAGCCACCAGACCCTGCAGGATTTGCCAACTTTTATTCATCGCTCCAAGCTGCTCGGCAAAGTCCGTCTTATCACTGCGTTTACTTTCCACATCCTGACTGCTGATCTGTAGTACAGACTGGTTCACAAAGTCCACTGTCAACTGCTTGCAGTTAATGTCTATCTTAAAACCCTAAAAAGAGAGAAAAAATAGAAAACAAAGCTCTGTGTGTAAATATATTTTGTCAGGAGTAAAATGTTCCAAAGCTTTAAAGAATGAAGATTAATATTACCACTTCCATGAGTTAAGCCTAATGACACAATCTCTATGTATTCATGAAAACTGGATATGTTTATATTTGCATATAAATGTATAAATGGGTTGCTAATGTATCCTAGGAATATATATATCTCATCACAGAAGTATTTCTAAATTATAGATTTTATTTTTCAAAATGACACAAAATCTTATTTCAAATATTCTTAATGTTGGAAAAATCTATAATTATAATTTTTTAATCCTTTACACATACCTAATCACTGTGTACGAAATAATCAAATAATCATACATTTCAAGAACTGATTTTCACAACTTGACTTTTTGAGAAATTTTTCAAAAACAGCTCCAAAATAGAATAAGTAAAAAGAGAAAAAAAAATGTTCAGTTACCTTATACTTCTGAAGATATTCATGAATTGTCTTGTGACCTATGGAATTTTTTATATTGTCTTCATCCTTTTGAATAACATTTTCCATGAGAGAAATCCAAGTCATGACTTCAGAAATAGCATGACGAGAAGGTAGCTTATCCATCTGCAGCTGTCCAAAGAAGAAATCCAAATCACAAATATCAAAACCGGAGCTCAGGTTCAGCTAATCTAAAATCCAGCATAGTTCTTTTTAGTGCACCAATGAAGATAATACTCCTAAATGACATTTTTGGATCTTAACCCCATTTAGAAGCTTAAAACTAAACATCAGGCAAATGCTAAATAATAATAATTGTATGTTCACTTGACATCGAATTCTATAAATATTGTATAAACATGAACTAATTAATCAAAATACCAGTAAGAAGAAAATAGTATTCTTATTTTATAGCTAGTTTTATGAGTTTCGAAAACTGCAACTACAAAACCATCAACAGATGTATTTTATTAATTATCTTGTAAAAATTTCTGTGTATTATGACTCAGAAATGTTAAGAGAAGAGAGAAAATACAAACAATCATTTGGTAGATTTTTGGCACTCTAATACTTATTCCTAAGAACACTGCCAATTTTCCTGTCTTTAACTAAAATATACTTAGAATTCTGAATATAACTTCATATATGATACATTTATGCAACTCCTTAAAACAATTCAGAGGTGTAAAAGCAATCATTTCAAACATTAATGCACTTAAGTATGGAGCAGAGAGATATAGAGGTGAATGTGAGATATTTTCTGCCCTTTAGAAATGGACAGCTGCAGATTAGGAGAGAGAGAAATCCTATGCATTAAATACATCTCTTATTCCTAGGACACACTGATGGATGCCAGAGAGCAAGAAATAATGTCTTAGAATTCAGAGGAGAAAAGCAAACTTCCAGATAAGAGAAATACCTAGTTCACTTACTCACTCACCGTTCTCCACTTAATAAATAAATAAATAAATAAATAAATAATGCCTTTAGTGGGGCCAGAAAGAGAACACAGGACTGAGTGCATACTTGGGATGTGGGAGCGTGAATTCAATCCTCAAAACTGCATGGATGTACTAAAGTTTCTTTAATCAGTCATCTGTTCTCGGGCACTCAGGTTTTTTCCAGATTCTAGCTATTGTAAACAGTGGTGCAATGAACAAACAAGTGCAGACATCTACACAATGGAGTACTATGTAGCTGTTAGAAAAGATGAAGTCGTGAAATTTACATACAAGTGGTACTACATGGAAAGTATATTGCTAAGCGAAATAAGTCAGAAAGAGAGGGACAGACATAGAAAGACTGCATTCATCTGGGGAACATAAAATAACCAAATAGGAGACTAACAGTCAAGAATAGCCGAGATAAGTACCAGGAGGTTCATTCCATGGCTTGGAGGCCAGCTGCACATGCTGGGGGAAAAGGCAGCTCAGATAGAGAAGGGAGCACCAAATAAAGGGTGTTGGGAGGATTCTCCCAGGATGGGAGATGCATGCTGAAAGTAGAATATAGACCGAACATGATTGCCACTCAATGCCTCTTTCACAAACCACAGCACCCAAAAGGAGAGAGAGAACAAAAGGGAATGCCCTGCCACAGAGACAGGGTGGGATGAAGGGGATGGAGGGTAGGAGGGATACTGGGATCAGTGGTGGTGGAAAATGGGCACTGGTAGAGGGATGGGTACTCAATCATTGTATAACTGAAACCCAAGCACAAAAATTTGTAAGTCTACAACTGTACCTCATGGTGTTTCACTAATAAAAATTAAAAAAAAGAAAAACTGCATGGACACTGGAAACAACAAACACAGCCAGGCATAGCCCAAGCCATGTCCCCTCAACGCCCCTGCCCCCGCCCCCGCCCCCGCCAAATGCCCAGTTGCTCTAGTGAAGCTGAGTTTACAGTTCTCTTACTTAATTTTGGTTCAATTTTCATAACTCCTCATATAATGAAGAAGGTGCAGTTCCTCACATCTACACACATGAAAGCCAATGAGATTAGACAAGTGTGTTAGATAAGGACTCTAACACACATGCACGTATGCACACATGTACACACTCACAAGCCCATGGAAGAAAAGGCATATGTAGACAAGGCTTTATAGAATCACTCATTTTTGATATGCAATGCAATAGCAGGGAGGAAAGGCTAACCAGTTAAGACAAAGTTCTGAGTCAAGTGCGATTTTTCCTATTCACTTATTTTTTCCATTTGATACTATTAGAATCAATTATGAGCCGTTAAACCAATGCTGCTTCTGTACCTGGTGGAGCTTCTCCTGGACTGCAGGAATATTGGTCAGCAAGTCTGTCCACTGGGTATCAATGTGCGACAGCTCAGAACGCAGGGCAGCCGTGTCCACTTTCTTCAACCGAAGAAGCTGATTCCCCGTGCTCAGAACCGATGATTTCAGGGCAGATTTGGCATCCACTTCTTTGGAAAACTCCTGTAAAATGTCCCAATATTCAAGTCAGAACTAAATAGCAAGTCCTTTCATTTAAGAAAAGAAATCCATATATTCCATAAAGCAATTTTCCCCCACTGAGCAGGAGAGATAATGTGGTGGGTATGGCCCTTGCTTTGACCTGGATTCAATCCCAGTACTCCATATGATCCCCAGAGCACTTCTAGCAGTGATCCCTGGGAAGCCCAGAGCATCACCAGGTATGACCCCCAAACAAATGACAACACATTTTTTTCCTTAAAAAAATTGCAAGCTAGGCACACCGCAGTGAAGAAACCTGGCTGGCGGGCACCTCAACACCTGGAGAATTCTCCAGACCCCACACCAAGCCAATATCGCTGGGAGGTCCCAGATGGGGCAGGAGCAGTCTCCCCACCTTCTCCAGATGGAATCTCGGTGACCATGAGCTTCTACAAGCATGGCTCCAGTATGTGGGCACCAGAATTATTCTTTCAAACACATTGGGGCGCTGCACTGGGCAGTTGCATCCCGGCTCCCAGTCAGCCCCTGATACCGGAAGTCATGCCCTCAACTCCCCCCTCCCACCCCCAGTGCCATCTTGCTGCACACAGCAGTGAAGAAACCTGGCCAGCGGGTACCTCAACTCCTGGAGAATTCTCCAGGCCCCATACCAAGCCAATATCGCCAGGAAGTCCCAGATGGGGCAGGTGCAGTCTGCCCGCCTTCTCCAGATGGAATCCCGGTGACCATGAGCTTCTACAAGCATGGCTCCGGTACGTGAGCACCAGGACTATTCTTCAAAACCCCATAGCCAATTATGCCGTGGCATGACCTTTCCTGATATGCAAAGTGAGCAATGGAAAGTAAATGATCTAGCATCTGTTCCTGGAAGGCAGACTTGAATGGTGGTGGGAAAATTCGAGCAAAATATAATGCCCAACAGAAATGTATGTGGACTGTGCATTAAACTACGGCGCCATGTTGTCCCAGGAGGGGAAGGGTGTTTATCCCTCCACCTTTTCCCCCTGGCAGCAGCAGCATAGTGGCTGCCATCTTTCAGAACCTAATGGACAGCCAGGTATGAGACTGCAGTGATAAGGCACACAGGGCCACATGGGATGAGGGGAGGGTGGTGGATCCGACCTTAGTCCCCGCCCTGACAAAGCCCTGAGTTGCCGCCCATGAATGCCTCCTCTGGTTCTGACGACCATGATACCAGAGGCACACAAACCAACCTCAGAACCCAGAGGCTTTTGGCAATAATCCCTCCAGACTTATTAATAAAATATCAGAAATCCAAAATCGCATGGCCACAATAGCGGCCGCATGACATCATAAGCTCTTCATAATCAGCAATAGAAAAAAACATTATCTAATGATGTCTTTTTGGCAGGTGTGATTGTTGGGGGAAATTCCAAACAACAATGATGGGTCTTTTGTTGTAATATTGAATGTGATCAACATAGAGAGAGAGTAAAGTGGAAATCTGCCACACAGGCAGACGGCCTCTATTGCAAACTATAACACCCAAAAGGAGAGAGAGAGAGCAAAAGGGAATACCCTGCCACAGGCGGGGTGGGGTGCGGGGGGGGGACGGGATGGGGCTGATGGGAGGGATACTGGGATCATTGGTGGTGGGTAACAGGCACTGGTGGAGGGATGGGTACTAAATCATTGTGTAACTGGAACACAAGCACAAAAATTTTTACCCCTTGGTCTTTCACTAATAAAACAAAAAAAATTGCAAGTAAAATTGGAAGGGTGGAGCTTGGTGACAGAGTGCATGGATAATGCCCTGAGTTCTCAACCTGGCAAATGCTCCCCCAGATATTTTCCCTCCTTCATTCTAAAAGGGAGTTTTATCAAAGCACTCTTGAAGAAAATGAAAAGATCTCTCCCTTGTCTTGGAATCAAGACACCATGAAAGTAATTATTCAAAAACCACTTTAAAGAGTCAAAGCTGGGCCTAGGTTGATAGGGCAGTAGGTAGGGCACTGTGCTGGCCTTGCAGGCAAATGACCCAGGTTCGATCCCTTTTCATTTCTTTTTTTTTTTTCACCTTTTGGGTCACACCCAATGATGTTCAGGGGTTACTCCTGGCTTTGCACTCAGGCAATTTGAATTACTCTTAGCGGTACTTGGGGTACTATATGGGATGCCATGGATTGCCCTACGTGTTGTACTATTTCTCTGGCTCCAAGATCCCTTTTCATTTAATACGGTTCCCTGAGCCCTGCAAGGAGTGATCCCTAAGCAGACAGCCAGGAGTAAGCCCCAAGGTCTACTGGGTTTGGCCACTAATCAAACACAGAAGAGGAAAAGCTAAGGCTTCTCATTCTTGTCTCGTTACTGAATACGCATATAGTCAGTAATGATAAATTCCAGCTCCCTGGCTTGCTTTGCCACATAGCTTCATTCAACACAGCTCTCCACAGCACTGGTATACAGATCAGGGACACTCCCATGCCTATAAACGTCAAATAATTGCTTTCAGATATTTAGACTCACCAAGAAAGCATTCAGGTGGTCACGCACCATTTCCAGTTCTTGGGGGACAGTTACTGATTGCTGAGCCCAAAATTCTAGCCTGTCTTTTGCAAACTGCAACCATTGAATGAGTTCTGCAGATTCACTTTGATACCTGTAAGTATATGAAGGAGTCCAGTAAGTAAAAATCCAACCCTGACACTCTGTAAATCAACCACTCAGCAACACTTTTTATTTTTTTTTTAATTTGAGATGTGATATCACTGGGAGAAACATGCCCACTGATGACAATTATCTTAAAATTCTCTAAATATCTATACCTTAAGAAAACCTGCCTGAGTTTCAGCTTTCCCATCCCTTCCAAGATGAATACAAAGATAATTTTCTCTCATCTTTCACATAGGTTTCTTTAGGAAATATTAGGTAATTGTGAGATTTGAGTTCTTAGAAACAAAGGCGGATAGAAACAGTATTTCAATATGGGAAGGTCATCCTTTGTTTCCTTTGAGCCCTTAAGGAACTCACTTTTCCAAGGGGTGACTCTCTCCTTTTCTAAGGTTTTCTCAGGATTACCAGGCCCCCTTAATAGGCCAAGGAAAATGGAAGCTTAAAGGCAAACTGTGTTACATGCTGTTTACTTGTGTGCCATTAATGGTATGTTTATACAGTTATACTCAATCCAATCAATTGTGGGCTCTGAAGTTATCTTATTTTCCAAGCTGTGAGAAGTGCTCATAAAAGACAAGATTTTTTTCCAGTGCACCCCCCACCCCAACCATTGAGATTTATAACACTCTAAGTCTAAAATTGCATGGCAGAGCCTGGCAAGCTACCCGTGGCATAGGCCTATTCGATATGCCAAAAACAGTAACAATAATGGGTCTCATTCCCCTGACCCTGAAAGAGCCTCCAATATGGCAGCATTGGGAGAGACGAGTAAGGAGAGGCTGCTAAACTCCAGGGCTTGGACAAATGAGATGTTACTAGCACCCGCTCGAGTAAATCGATGAACAATGGGATAACAGTGATACAGTAAAGTCTAAAATCACGCAAAACATCATTGTCTTACCTGGTCCAGTGCTTCAGTATCGTTTCCAGTCTGTGGAGCTCCTTGGACACTTTGTTGGTGTTATTTAACCAGCGCTCTCCGAGCTGATTGAGCTGACTTTCAAGCTCTGAGCAGCTAACGGAGATGAGAAGTCGTTTCCCATCGTCTAATACCTGATATAATTTAGGCTGGTCTTCATTAAGGCTGGCTTTCAAATGCTAAAATGAATGGAAGGTAAAGTCAAATTGTTGGACACTGTAATTTGTATAATTTGTTACTTTCAGGAACTATGCTTTTGGGTTGTAGAGGTGGTAGAGGGTTGGTTTCGAGTGCGTGCCTGGGCTTCGATTCCAGGGAGCCCAAGGCTACTTGAGCCTCACTACATGGCCGTGGAACCCCACCTAACACCACCAGGGTGGCTTTGGTGGTTTCTGTCTTTTGCAAACTGGCAGTGCTGGGTATGAGCAACCCTCCCCCCCCACACACAACATCCTCAACCCCTGCATTGACTCGACCCCAGCCTGGATGACCAAATATTAATGGGGAAGGCAGGGGGAAGGTGTCCTGAGCCCCTGCGAATTGTTTGGAACCTCTGAACAGTAAAAAAAAAAAAAAAAAAAAAAAAAGAAGAAGAAGAAGAAATTATAATTTTTCTGATAAGCATTTGTTAAACTATTATTTGTACCCAAGTAACATAGAAAGGAAACTTTGAGATGTTTCATCTAGGTATGAGAACAGATTTGGGTTTTCTTTGGTAATAACTTTGATTGCACTTAAAACTTTTAAACTATAATTATTTCAACAAAAGTGCAAGTGCAGTCTAATTGACTGAAAGTACTTGGTGAAGGTGATATTTTCAAAAAAGAGTTCCCAGGAAAAAAGAAAGAAAACCTACTTTTCAGTAGTGTACTGTAAATCAAACACTTTTAAAAAAAATATCTACTGAACTAACAAAGAAGCTATGGTGTATATGCACAATGGAATACTATGAAACTCTAAAAAAGAACAAAACCATGCAATTTGGAGCAACACAGATTAAACTAGAGGATATCATGCTGAGAGAAGTCAGTCAGAAGGAAAAGAATAGATACAGAATGATCTCTCTCATAAGTGGGACTTAAAAAGATACAAAGCAAGGTGGGGTCCCAGTGGCAGTGCAGTGGGTAGGGTAGCTGCCTTGCATGCAGCCGACCAGGGTTTGATCTCTGGCATTACAAATGATCCTCCAATCCCCACCAGGAGTGAACCCTGAGCACAGAACCAGGACTAAGCCCTGAGCACCACTGGCATGTCCCCCAAACCAAAAGCAAACAAACAAAAAAGATACACGGCAGAGCAGCAACAAAAAGCCAGAGGTCATAACAAGAGAAATGATCCATACAACTAAGGGGAGGATGGGGTTAAAAGAAAGGGGTCTTGGGGTCCTTGGGGGATAGAGGTGGGTACACTGGTGGTGGGTATGATGTTGAAATTATGTGCATGAGAAAACATTATTAACAGTATTGTGAGTCATAGACTCTCCAGTTTAAAAAAAAATAACGAGTTTGTTGAACTAAAATTGTCTTTTCTAAAATTGGATAGTCATATTGTAAAAATATAAAAAAGCTATCTATTTTCAACAATAGCTTGGAATAGAAGTGAAAGTGCCGAATAAAATATTTTTAATTGTAATCTATTTATAGGCAGAGGAACAAAGGCATGCAGGTCCCGGGGCTGAGATCTCAAAGCCTGCTCAGACTGGGGCTGAGCATCCTCCACCCTGATCCTCCATCTTCCAGTAGGCAGGGGTCACACCCACCAACTGCTCCCCCTCCCCCCGGCGCTGTGTAATCCCATCAATGGCCAAGACCCAGAGGCTATAAAACCCAGCTCCGGAACATTGGATTATCTCATTCTTACTCTGGAGAACCTGGCAGGCTACCAAGTGTAACCTGCCCACATGGCAGAGTCTGGCAAATTCCCCATGGAGTACCCAATATGCCAAATACCTGTAACAATGATGGGTCTCATTCTCCTAACCCTGAAAGAACCTTGAATATGGCACTTTTTAAAATCTCAGGGCTAGGGCGAAGGAGACGTTACTGGGGCCTGCTCGAGGCAATCAACGAACAACAGGATGATCATGATCATGATCATGAATCTATTTAGATAAGTAAAAACAATGCAAAAGTTTCCCAACGTCTTGGAGGGTGGGGAAGATGGGTCAGGTGGGGTGCCTGGGAAGTGAGAGTCCCTGGTTCAACCCCTGCATGGCATGTCCACACCCAGAGCACCCATCAGGGGTGGACCCTGAACCCCTGGCCCCCAAATACAATGAACACACATCCACAAAGCAAATGTTACCATCTTCTCACCCCACGGGCTAGACACTGACCTGGTAGAGCGCGATTCTGTCGACTAGGCGGTCCTCACTCTCCTCCACCAGACCCACACTCGGGGTGCTGCCTTCCACCACCTCCAGTTGCCGGCTGAGCTCCTGGTGTTCCTCCTCAACATGGGACCAGGTCTAGAAATGCAAGAGCCAGTGGTGAGCTACACAGCCTCCCAGAGGAACAGCTCTCCTTGGAGTCTGCTAAGTGGGTTAACTTGGCAGGTGTTTGGTAAATGTTCTGAGATGCTGGGACTGAAGGCTGCATCTAAGAAATAAAAAATGGCTCGGAGGCAAGATGAGGACCCTGGGGAGCACTGTCAACAGACTCTTCCAACTGCAACAGATCCTAACCAAGTAGGTTAAAAGACTCTGAACCTTATTTTCAGCATTCAAAAAAAAAAATGAAAATAAAGCCAGGAATAAAACAGTAGGAGGATGTGAGCTTTACTTCTATGAGGTATTGATTTCAAATTTGGTCAAGACACACACACACACACACACACACACACAGACATACACAAATGGGTATGGCCATAAGTATCATGTAACACTGTGAGGATTAGATGAAATAATGTCCATAGCACACATGTAAGCCCCTCCATAGCATAGGCCTCTGATCTACAAGGATTAAATGATCACCACAGCAATAAAGAAATGTATGTTTTTTATGTGAAATGAATGGACATGATTATTTCATGGAGTCTGTCAACTCAACGCATTATCCTTGCAAGTTCAAAAACAGACATTAAAAATGTATAGACATTCTACTCAAGACAAATCCCAAGTCACTTGCCTGCAGATTTATATTTCTGTTATATCAAAAAAGTGAAAATATATTAAAAATATCATTAGAAGAGCTGGAAAGACAGTGTGGATTTAAAGTGCTGGTCTTTCACAGGGAAGACCTGGGTTCAATCCCTTGCACAGCAAGTGGCTTTCCAACCACTGCCAAAAGTGATTTGAATAAGCCCCGAGCACAGCCAGCTGTGACCCCGAAACCTAAACAAATTAAAAAAAAAACTTGAGGCCCTTTCCATTAATTCACAACAAATACCAGCAGGCTCTAAATATGTGTAGATTCACGTTACTGTGTTGTGGAAATGACAACAGGACATAACGGTGGGAAATCAGGCTTTATATTTTCATTATTATTAGTTGTTTTTCTTCTTGACTTTTTCTGTGGTGCCAGCGATGGAGCCCAGGGCTTTGCATTGGTAAGTCATGTACTCTACTGAATCTATCTTCAGTTTCCCAGTTTCCATGATTTTTTAATTTTTTTTGGGGGGGGGTGGCTACACCTGGCTGTGGTTAGAGTTTACTCCTGGATCGTGCTCAGGAACCACTCCTGGTGATGCCGGAGGAACCCTAAGGAGTTGCTGAGGACTGAACCCAGATCAACTGCATGCCAGGCAGGCAACATAACAGCTATATCTTCTCCACCCTCAAAGGATCTTTAAAAACATATTTACTAAATACCATTGTTAGTACTATTGCAAGATTGGGAGTGTAGCAGTAAACAGTGGACAGAATCCTTTGTCTTCACAGAGCTGTATTTCTTCATGGAAGAGAAGGGAATATGTAATCAATAGCACTGTAGCACTGTCCTCCCATTGATCATCAATTTGCTTGAGCAGGCACTAGTTAACGTCTCCATTGTGAGGCTTGTTGTTACTGTCTTCGGCATATCGAATACGGCACAGAGAGCTTGCCAGGCTCTACTGTGTGGGCGGGATACTCTCAGTAGCATGCCAGGCTCTCTGAGAGGGACGGAGGAATCGAACCAGGGTCAGCCTCATGCACGGCAAACGCCCTACCTGCTGTGCTATTGCTCCAGCAATCAATAATCAACTATAAATATATTTATCATTAACAATTTATGGGACTCCGCACCAGGCTGTGGGGTGGATGAGAGCCTTCCCCACTCCAAGGGACCCGGCCCAGGCAGCTGACCTCCACTTCCCAACCACCACTATGCTCCAGGCTGCTTTCCAGACCATGCAGCCACTTTGTGGCCATGTGACACATTATAAGACACTTCTTACCCATTTATGCTTCTCGGAGAGCCCAGTAAGCTACCAAGAGTATCCCACCCTCACGAGCAGAGTGTGGCAAGCTCCCCAGGGCTTATTTGATATGCCAAATACAGTAACAACAACAGGTCTCATTTCCCTGACTCTGAAAGAGCCTCCAAATCATTGGGAAAAGATGAGTAAGAAGAGGTAGCTAAAACCTCAGCGGTCATTAGAAGTGGAATATAAAGTAAAAGAACAGGTTTCTGGGAAATGGTTGAATGAGAAATTAAAATCTATGACATATGTTAAGTTCTTGTGAAAATTCATTGATCATAATTATCACATAAGCTAAATCACAACGAATAGGTAGATTCTAAAGCACGGGCATAAAATTGTAGGTTATGTGTAATGTCTTTTATTTTTGTTTAATGGATATATGATTGGTTCTGAAATGCTGTTCAACTGGTAATGGAAATGGGTTTCCCTTAAAAGTCCCTCTTCTAGGCTTTCACAGCATCAAGACATTTTCTTCAAGTGTGATAGAGACACAATGTGCACGCTGTCAACTTAAACAATTACTAGAACAGACAGCTCTGAGGTGAAGGGCGAAGGTCAAACAATCAAAAGTAGCCATCTATTGTAGAGATCATCAAACAGGTGTGCTATCAATGGACTCAGGCAAGAAGATTAGAAATTAATCAGCAAGACTTTCAGTTTTTAGCCAGGCTGATTATATATGCCTTGGAATGTGAACATGGATGACAGACCCGAGAAACTAAAGTAATAGGAGTCCATTCCCAACAAAGGGCTGGAAAGACAGATCAATTTGCAATATTCTTTTCTGCACCCATGCAACAAAGCAGAAACATGAAAGCAGAACATTAACGGATGCTCCCTATGAACTGGACAAATCAATAAAGATCAGTGGTAAAGAAAAAAAAAACTAAATAAATAAATAAATAAAATCTCAGGGCTCGGAAGAATAGAGAAATTACTGGGACCAGTTCGAGTAAATCTAAGATTTACAGGATGACAGTGATACAGTGATACAGTGAACAATTTATGAATATAGTTATATAATTATAGTTATATAATTTATATATAACATATATTTTAACTAAGTCTCATGGCATTGTACAGTGTGCTGCTGCTACAGGGAAATAAAGAGCTAAGGTGGGCAGGAGGTGGTCTCAGGGGGACATAGAATGAGATCCCATTCTACACGGGGCCACCAGACAGATCTCAGTGCAACTCAAAGGCCAGGTCCAAAGACAGCCAGCCAGGGGCCTGATTTCCTGGTCTTCTTGTGTCCTAGCAAGGTACTTCTCTAAATCCACAAGATATACAATCCCATCCTCAAGGTATAGGGATATATTTTGCCCAACATCATGAGATTATTGTACTCTGGGCAATTCCACATCTCGATTTCTGGAGTGGCTGGCTTTGAAGAAGATGGACCTGAGAGATAGGTTGAATGAGATCCAGGGAGACCAAGGAAGGCTGGGAGCAGGTTGGGGGGGATCAGAGAAGAAAAAGACACGGGGGAAGTCATTCCTAAACATTGCATGGTCAACAGGCACAATGAGAAGGCAGAAAAAGTTCCATATCTGGGAGAAGAAAGCAACCATATCAAGGTGCCTGACCAAGTGACCAGGGACAAGAAGAGGCTGGGCAAAGGAAGAGGCAGTCACAACGAAGGCGCCTGACGTTACACAAGGTTCTACAATAAACTTTGTCTGAAAATCTGCCAAAGGCTCAAGGTCATAAATTTGTGGAAAAGTGGATGTTCCAATCCAAGTTTTTGAACTCTAGAAGGGGAGAAAAGGACGAATAAACCTTTCTTTAAAAGGTTTCAATTAGCCAACAGTTAGATAGTCAACAGTTTGAATTATATTGTGTTGTTACAACTACTAAAGACTGTCCTTGTCCTTGGCAAAACAGCCCTAGATGACACATAAACTGGTACGACTTTATACATTCCAATAAAACTTTATTAACAAAAACAGGCAGTGGGCCAGACTGACCACAGCTCCAGAGTTTGGGCCCTGGTCACCAACACATCTGCCATTGCTGTCATCTGGTGCATATACTTTTGTTTCCTTCCCTCCTAAGACTTCCCATGTTATATTCTGATTTTCTGTGACCCAAGAGCAGATTCATTTTATGTTTGTGTTTATGCCACCTGGCAGCTGGGCAAATGATGAATAAATTGATAATAAATGGGGAATAAAAGAGATAGACCCAATGAGTGAAGGAACAAATTCTCACAGGATTCTGTTGTGGCAGTTAATGCAGAGTTGTAACCAGGATGAATACTCCAAACGCTATGATCTAAACATGGGTGCCTAGCATCCTTTGCCTTAAATTGGATGGAGCCCCACTTTTCTTATTTCTGATACACTAAAATTTGAACCTAGCTAGCTGGACTCAGGTTTCTTGGTCCAAGTGACAAGTCTGCTCACAAGAGCCGGGCCTTCTGGGCAGAGAAGTCTGTGTGTCTTCATTTCTCAGTTTCATTATTAGGCTACTGGTCTGAATCTCTAAAGCCCACTTAGTATGCCCTGTCTGAAGTCAGGACGCATCCAGCTGACTCGTGGTGAGGCAGAGCTTATGGAAATATAAACAGGAAATGCAAGGGGGCCAAGGTCACATACAGTGAGCAGTGTGAATGTTCCAAGGCAGTAGGAGAGCAGAGATGTGAGTAAACCTCTCTTGGTGGCACCAGTCTGAGGCGATGGGGAATTTGCCAGAGGCGAGACACACGGAAAACAGCCTCTCACCTCCAGAACGTACTCCAACTCCACACCCCTCTTGTGAGCCTTTTTCAGCACCGAGGAAGCCTGCGCCATCAGCTCGGCATGAAACTGCGTTTCCCGTGGGACAGCAAAGCTGATTATCTTCCTGAAGAGCGTTTCTGTCAGGATCATGTGAGACTCCAGCCCCTGGAAGTATTCCTGCAAAGTTTCACATCAAAATAGGTCAGCAATGTCTTTCTTCACCACCTGATGACAAAACTGGCTTCAGGCACCAAAGCTGAACATTTCTCCCTCCTCCCAATAACAGGGCACGGGTACAAGGCCTTGCTGGCCCTGTCTCCCAAGCATAGCTTTTCTGAGAGGACCAGCTATTGCTGAACCTCACAGGCTCCCAAAAGTTCCTCAATCTGGTACCTCCTGGCCTTCTTTTCACCTTTCACAGCTTCTCACTGACTCCATTGCACCATTTTCTCTTCACGGGGACAAACCAGCTCCAGTTCTTACATAACGCCCCAGCTCATGGTCAATGCCTTCCAAGACAAAGCATCTGCCCTGACTCATTCACAACTTTCCTTCTTCCTTAGCCAGATTCCAACCTGAGCTTTTGGGAATTTGCTTTTCGCTGCCGCCACTTGACAGATGGGTATTTATTAGCTACTTTCCAGTTGCCTTCAGATTATACCTCCATGCAATGGATGCAAGAAAATTCACACAGCTTTGGTTTCTGAGTCAACATCACCGCCATGCTTGAAAAATCCTACAGGTGTGTTTTGCAAGGTTACTTTTTTTCCTTTAACAACAGTATAATGTTGTTTGACTTTCTTTTTGATTTTGTTTTGATTTAAGGGCAACTCCCAGCATTGCTCAGGGCTCACTCTTGGCTTTACATTCAGGGTTAACTCCTGGAGCATCTTGGGAGACTACATGGAAGTTGAATCCAGGTCGGCCACATGCCAAGCAAGCCCCTAACCCACTGTACTATTGTGTCAGCCCAGTAGTGTAATGCGTGTGATACCTTCCCTCGCCATCACCAAAGTACCCAATTCCCTCCTCTACTGCCTTTATATAGCTTCTAATCTCCCTCATCTGACCCCATACCTGTCCCCCTCATTTCCTCTCCTACTTTTCTTTGGGGTCACACCCAGCAATACTCAGAGGTTACTCCTTGCTCTGCGCTCAGGAACTACTCCTGGCACTGCCTGGGGGACCCGATGGAATGCCGGGGATCGAACCTGGGTCGGCCATGTGCAAGGAAAACACCCTACTCTCTGTACTATCGCTCCACCCCCTCTCCCTCCTACTTTGATATTCTTAGCTCTATAATCTAAGGTCGCGGACTTGTCTATTCTGGCAATCCCTTTGTTTTGTGTCTCACTATAACACACATGAGTGAGATCATCCAGTATTTGTCCTCTCTCTGGCTTATTTTGCTTCACATGAGGCCACCCAGTTTGCTGCCACTTGAGATGTCAGTTTTTTAATTTACTATTATTATTGTTATTTTCCTCTGCCCCTCTCAGAGAGTCTGTCAAGCTACCGAGAGTATCTCGCCCACATGGCCGAGCCTGGCAAGCTCCCCATGACATATTCGATATGCTAAACACAGTAACAAGTCTCACAATGTTACTGGGCCTGCTCCAGCAAAATTGATGAACAACAGGAGGACAGTGCTACAGTGTTATTGTTATTTTGGTGGGGGGGGGGGCACACCAGGTTCTGCTCTGGGCTTATTCCTGGCTCTGCACATGGGGATCACTCCTTGAGGGGGGACTACATAACCCTAGCAGCTGTCCCATAACTCCAGCCTCGAGGTGTTCATTTTTAGTTGTGCCAGGCCCCAAAAGATGAAGCGGGGGGGTGGGGTGGTCTCTGTCCAGACCATGAAGAATAGAAGGTTCTGGAAGTTGATACTAACAGAAAATGTGAGGGTGTTCTCTGTACTTTTTGGGGTGATTTCCTTCCCCTTTTTGGGGTGATTTCACTAGCTCTGTGAGTAGGTGGTTTTATTTCTTAGTATGCAGAGGTAACTTGCCCAAGGTCACCACCAGAATTCAGTCTGATCCAGAGGAATGAATTGTGATTATACCAGAGAACTTTAAAATTGGCAGAGAACTTGGAGGTCATGGAGCGCAACATTCACAGGACACTGACACCCCTCCACAGTCCCTTCTTTTCTCCCCCGAGAGCTGCAGATGGATGATCCAGGGCTGGGAGGGCTGTTTAAGACAAACCACTCTTTCAAGAGGGCTTCACATATTGAGCTTAATTTCTCAGTTATTTATATTCATCGATCCTTTTTTTCCCTTTCTGGAATAACTAAGGATGATATTTTATTGCTCTGGTCAAAGATTTGAGAAATACCAGCTGTGAACTTTAAAGCGATGTTTTCAAAGCCAAATGATAAGGCTTTAATAAATCACACAATTTTGGGGGAAAAAACTACTGGGAAAAATAGTCTGATTCCAAAAAGAAAAAGAGAAAATCCAAACATACCAAAAAGAAACTCTACCTTTAGAAGCCATCAGAGAGCAACATCATGGTAGATTCTATTAACCATCTACAACCCAGTGGGATTTTTAAAGCTTCCCTGTAGGAAATTTCCACAGTCAGAGGTTGAGTCTCCACTGGAATACAGCTTTTCCCAGAATCCTGGCTAATAATACAAGAGCTATTTGTGTGTGTGTGTGTGTGTGTGTGTGTGTGTGTGTGTGTGTGTGCTGTGATCATCCATTTCCTTGCCAAGCGGTGGCTCTTACATATACTGATGGGAGCACCTGAGGCCACCATGCCTGACAGAGGAACCTGGTACTTCTTAAAGGGTGAAACCATCCACTGGAGGGTCTGGAAAGATTCTGGGAGAAGGGGTAGTCCCCTCGGCTGCCATTGGGGGGGGGGGCATTCTAGTTGTGGGCTTATAGGAAGTAGATTTCCTGGGGTGGGGGGTATTAAGTGATTTTTTTTTAAGTAGGCAAGAGAGACAATACAGTGGGTACTCCTGAACAGGAAAAACCTAGGTTTGACCCTCAGCATCCTATATGGTTCTCCAATCTCTGCCAGAAGCAAAACCTGAGTGCAGACCCAGGAGTAATTCCTGAGCATTGCTGGGTGTGGCAAACAGACACATATACACACATATACACACAGACACACACACACACACACCAGTATGGCACACAGACACATATACACACATATACACACACAGGGCTGGAGCGATAGCACAGTGGGTAGGGCATTTGCCTTGCACGCAGCCAACATGGCCGACTCGAGTTCGATTCCTCTGCCCCTCTCGGAGAGCCCGGCAAGCTACCGATAGTATTTGATACGCCAGACACAGTAACAACAAAGTCTCCAATGGAGACGTTACTGGGCCGCTCGAGCAAATCGATGATCAACGGGAGGGCCTTTATTTTTACTTTACTTATACACACACAGACACACACACACACCAGGAGTAAGTCCTGAGTATTGGCAGGTATGGCACACACACACACACACACCAGGAGTACCTCCTGAGCTTTGCCAGGTGTGCACACACATAAACACACACATCCCAGAAGTAACTCCTGAGCATTGCCAGGTGTGGCACACACACACACACACACACACACACACACACACACAGAGTTTAGGGACATCTAATATACTCAAAGGACTCCTTATCCCCAGGAAGAAACTCCGGCAGCTCTTGGTCAGGAAGGAATGTGCACTCAGGAGCATAACAGCTGTGTGATACGCCAGACATACCACACCCCTGTCCCAGAGCAGATGGGGCGGCTCTGCCACCCAGCGCAGAGCACAGAGGGCTTGACCCAGCAGGGAGGAAGACAGTACTAAGGACAAACGGGCCCAGAGCAGAGCTAAGACTGAACTGGGATCCCCCAGAAGAGAATCCCTGACTTTCCTGTCATGCTGATAAACAGAGACGGGCTAGCCAGCCCAGGCCTGCCAAGCCGGGCATCCTTTCCCACTGACAGAAGCACAGACATGTTTCCTCTCTGATTCTGCATTCTTACATGCCAGCTGGCAGGCATACACAGTCACTTGCCATTTGCACGAGTCATTTTGTACCAAGAGGAGCAGAAACGATTGGTGATACTGGGTTCAGACATACCAGTAAGGGGCAATGTGCTTTCACAACGCCCTTATCTTCCTGGCTCTGTTGCTGTCTCTCTCTCACCTTATGTTTGTCAAGAAGCTGCTGGACTTCCTCTTTGGAAGACACGATAACCTTCTGGTCTCCTGCCATCTTCTCGCGTCCAGTCTGGAGGAGGTCAGCCAGATCCTGCAGGGTCTTTTCATACTGACTCTTGAGGGCAAGGTTCTGGTTCAGACCAGCCCGCCGGGAGCCAATGGTCATCATCAGCTCGTCATACATGTCCTGAGAAATTGCCAGCGATATGGTCAATGCGAGCTGACCTCTACGTGAGTCAGATCTGACAATTATTATGTAAGTTGCCAACCAGTGGGGGGGTCAAAAGTGGGCCGAATGTTAAAAAAAAAAATGGTTCGTGTGTGTGTGTGTGTGTGTGTGTGTGTGTGTGTATGTGTGTGTGTGGTGAAAGGTCCGGGAAGATGGGAGCTTCTGCTGTCATGGTTACAGTATTTGCCATCGTTCTACTATCTCCAGTGACCTATTCTATCAGCTTAAGGGCAGAGAGGAGCCTTTATACTTCGCCGAAAAATAACAAGACCTCAAGCTCTTTCCCAGTTAGAGAACCAGAGAAACGGTCTGGCTGGAATTGAGCTCCAAGAGTTTAGGACTTAAAAAAAGACAATTTCTTTTGCCAAATGTGGTGGAGTAAAGAACTAAACTAGGGGTGCTGGGTGGGGCTGGTAGGGCGGCATGTAGTTGGGGTCCCCTACCAGTGCTGGGAGTGGGCTCAGGTGGTGCACTGAGGATGTGTGGGGGGAGGAGAGAGGCACCTTTTCCAGCAGCTTCTGCCTGTTGATGGGGAAACAGGATTGCTCTAACCCTCCTCTAAGGACCAGAGAAATAATCCCAAACAAACTTTCCAGGAGGATGTAGTCATCAGGACGTCTTTCTGGGGTGAGGGCATTCCTGTCTCTTTACTGACCCTATCCCCAGACTCAAGGGTCCCCTATCCCCCAGCCCGCCTGTGCAAAAAAAAAAAAGAACTGAACTGGAAAGACGTTTTAGGAGAGGATGATCCACCAAATGCACAATTTATTTGAGCCACATGGGCCTGATTCAAGTTCATGTTATGGCCCTACAGGCTGAGATGGTTCAATCTGGAAAATGGGCAGTTTTAACACCTATTTACCACTATGATGCTGTGGCTTTTACCTGACGGTTAAGCACCGGCAGCAAACTTTCTAAAGCAGATAAAGAACGGCCAACAGGTTTGCAGCTTTAGGAACTCTTAGACAAGGGAATGAGGTGATCAGGCAAGATGTGGTTTATGAAGTAAAAACTGTGTCATTTTCGTTTTCAAAAGAAAGGGCTTTGGGCCACGTAGTGGACTCAGCTATTAAACCCTGCAAGCTCTGGAATAAGAAATGCAGATGAAGTTTTCATGTGTGTGTCATGTCCGTGACTTCCAGGGGGTGTTTCTGAGTCATGCTCGGGAGCTCGGGGGCCACTCCCTGTGATGCTCAGCCAACCAGGCCAATGACGTCAATGCTTGTGCCTGATGATGAGATGCTGCCCATGCCCATGGTGGCCACCAAGGTCACCAATGCGGGAGTGGGGGGGGGGGTTAATGAATTTTTATTAATATGACTGTACTCTGTGGCCTATGAGATGCCAATTTTTTGATATCTCTGTATTTCTAAAACCCCAATATTCGATTCTTATCTGGATGCCAGATCTCAGAAAACAAATGAAGCCCAAGTGTTATTTTCTACTCTTGAAGGATGCCAGGAAGCATGTTTCGATTTCAAGTATCTCCTACTTTATTGCTTTTTATTTTGGAATCAAGGCAATCTCTCTCTCTCTCTCTCTCTCTCTCTCTCTCTCTCTCTCTCTCTCTCTCCTCTACTCTTTCCTATTCAATCAATCATGAAGAATAGACTATAGTTCTGATACACTGATGAAAATCATGTTTCTTTTTAGCATGAGTTTGAGTATTTTTACCCTGACAACAGATTCTTCAGTTTGTAATGAAAACATACACTGCATATCCATCTTTTAACTTTTCTAGATAGGCCTGATAATTATTATATTTTCAGGATACAAATAATATGCTACTAAGCTCTATCACAATACTTAACCTTTGGGTTAATAAATGTTAGAAAAATAAATCTTAGGGGCACAACAATACAATTTATTTCATTGCATGAAATTTGGTGGAAGCTTCGGAAATTTTTCTGAGTTACTTGGAAGAATGATTGGGGCCTAAAGTTATAAATTTTATAAAGAAAAAAAAACCACAAGCTTCCCCCCCACCCCCCAATCCCCCTTGAATTCTAGACCACTGTACTATGAACACCAAATGGTCTTAGCAAACGTTACCTGGAGCTTGGAGAGTTCTTGCAGAGAAGGCTGCTCGATCTGTAACTTGTCACCTCGCCTCTTCAGTTCAAGGATCCCTGCATCCAATTCCTTCAGGCCCTCTTCCGCCTGCTGTATTGCCTATGTAAAAACCATGACAGTCCATCAGAACTCCTGCAATTTCTCACACAAGCCATGATCATTTCTGTCTTTATTTTGATGCCACACAAAACAGTGATCTCTACATAGCAGAGAGGAGACAATCCTTTAGTACACCACAGCTCCTTTATCTTAAAGCTAAGCAGGTAGGAGGGATTGAATAGGGGGTAGTTGGGAAAACAGTCTTCCCTAATAAGGAAACTCTGAACGGTGCCACCTGAAAAAGAAACAGATTCAGCACAGAGAACAAGGCATCTGCTGACCATGTTTTGGTTTTTCAGAAATGCGTTTTCCCCCCTTCTTTTATAAGCATCTTTGGAGAGTGACTCAGTGCAGCAAGAGGAAAGTGTTACCAGTATGGTCAAGGCAAGGTTGCTCACTGTGAAGCAGAAAAATCAAGTAATCACCAAGTTATACAAGTGGTGGCTAGCACTAACTCCTCGGAGTCCTGGTGGGAGGGCTGTAGGAGCCAAGCGGATCTTCAAGGAAGATCTTCAAGGAAGATCTTCAAGGAAGATCTTCAAGAAGCCAGCCTGACCTTCAAGGAGTTTAGAGTCTGGATAGGAGACCAGAGTAAAGACCGAAAACCCAAACAAAGCTGCATACAGTGATAGGCTTAGCATCCTAAAATTCATCTCTGGGAGAGAAGCAGAGAGAAGTACCTCCTGAAGCTCCATAAAGGAGGTTTTGGGATTAAATGCAACCACAGTTTAAGGTTTTATTTTGTTAGTTTGTTTTGTTTTTGTTTTGCTTTTTGGGTCACCCAGCAAAGCTCGGGGGTTACTCCTGGCTTTCCGCTCAGAGTCAGAGTGAGAAATTACTGCTGGTGGTGCTTGGGGGACCATATGGGACGCTGGGGATCGAACCCAGGTTGGCTGCATGCAAGGCAAATGCCTTACCTGCTATACTATTACTCGGCGCCACAGTTTATATTTTAAGACAAAAAAGAACCGGAACTCCTAGTGGAAAATGAAACATGTATTCCAATATCTCTTTCCTGAATCCCCACTCTCTACACATCAAGGGTTTTATTTGTTTGTTTACTGGTGTGGACCCCGGTTCTTCCCCAATCCCCTTCATATATCTGTAGGAACAAAGAATCTCGTAGAGAAAAATATAGGACCTAAAGGGAAAGAAATGGGAGGCATGAAGGATGGTTCCCACACATTTTTGAACACTCGGACAAATACATGTGCTCCATGTTAAAGCCATTTCTCGTCAATGAACACCTGAAATTTCATCATAAATGATAACTACTCTAAAGTAAAAAGTAAAAGTAAAGGCCCTCCCGTTGATCATCGATTTGCTCGAGCGGGCCCAGTAACGTCTCCATTGGAGACTTTGTTGTTACTGTGTCTGGCATATTGAATACTCTCGGTAGTTTGCCAGGCTCTCCGAGAGGGGCAGAGGAATCGAACTCGGGTCGGCCATGTTGGCTGCGTGCAAGGCAAACGCCCTACCCGCTGTGCTTTCGCTCCAGCCTTATTCTGAAAAAAAGGTAGTTATCCATACCTCAATTTGCTCCCCCACGGGCTGTTCAAACACATTTGCCAGTTTCTGTAGAACAAGGTACTTGTTGTCAGCCAGTGATGTAAACAGCACCTTCAGGTCATTCTGCCAAGGGGACAAAAGAAGACTTACCATTAGCAACAGGGTACTCAATAACAGTCCTAAGTCTAACTGCACATTCTTAGAAATTACATAGAGGTGTAGGAATTTCATGTGTTGAAGAGATGGACACATTCAGCCTTAAGGAAAGGGGATGGTAACAATTTATCACAGTGCCAACAATGGCCTTTGAAGAATATATTCCACAAAGTCTCTCTAACAGAGGACAAATGGAATGAAACCAGGCAAGATAAAAGCAATACCAGTCACCCTAATCTTCTCATTCTGCCTGAAATGAATGTGCACATTTAAACATTAAAGCAAAAAATATGCCATTGAGTTCTACCTTGAGACAGTCTATAGATATAATACAAACTATAAGACATTATATTTGCAAAAAATATAAGAACTAAATGATTCCCCCCTTATCTCCTCCCCTCGCACTTAGCTTCTCTTTCCAAAGAATTCACACAAACATATAAAAAGCCATCCAGACATTTAGAGAATAAATACCATTCATGATGATCAAAGACATCAAAGAGTCAATGGTAAGATATCTTAGCTGGTAGGCATGCTGGTCAAAATTCCATATTTAAGTGTTCAAATGTACTGAGTTTGGCACAGAGAAGAGAAGGCTGTCAGAATTGAGGTGTTCAGTTCGAAAGGGAGCAATGGGCTTGAGCAAAAGATCAATTATCAAACGTTTTATTCCTTCTCCTGAATTACCAGCAAACAAGCTCTGCTTCTTAGGCGGTAGCTAGCAGAATGGAGGGGTTGACACTCAATACACCACATCCTCTTCACGTAGCACTTCTCTGATACTAAGCAAGGACATGACTGACACGCAAAATCCTGACTGCTTCATGAAGAGAAGTTAGATACACCAAGGAAAAGCAAAAGCGTCTTTAAGGCTGTGTGGAATGATCCTCCTGATACTTATCTCTACTGTCCTTAGGTGTTAGTCTCATATTATGTTACTTTATGTTCCACAATTGAGTGCAGTCACTCTATGCCTGTCCTTCTCTCTCTGACTCATTTCACTTAGCATGATACACTCCATGTTGATCCACTTATATGCAACTTTCATAAATTCAGCTTTTCTAACAGCTGCATAGTATTCCATTATATAGATCTCATGGTGAATCATTAAAATAATTGGAAAAAAAAAAGACAAACCAAGGGGGCGGGGGGATAAAGTTGTATGGAAGCATGGAAGCATTTCACACAAAATGCAAGGCTAAACAAGTAAGCTAATGGACAGCCAAAAATCAGAAACATCCCTGAACGGAAGCATCTGAGAATGGCCTAAGGTCCTAATAGGCATGAAGGTCCCTCACCCATCCAAACTCATCCGCAAACCTAGAGGTCAACTAACTAAGAAATCTAGAAAAATGGTGCCAGAAATAAGGGCCTTAATTTTGAGTTGGATTATGTTGGTGTTACTCAACTGTGCTGAGGATAAGCCATCGAGCCTGAGAACTCTGACACACTGTTATCTGCCTATAGAACCTTGGAAAGATGATTCCTAGTTGAACGTATTTGGTCCAGGAATGTAGTTCAATGGTAAAGTATTTGATTTGTTGCACATATGTGAGGCCCGGGATTCGGTTTCTGGCATTACAAATTAAATAAATAAAAATGATTACTTTTTAAAATCATATATATGTATCAATTATCAAACGTTTTATTCCTTCTCCTGAAATATCAGCAAACAAGCTCTGCTTCTTATATTCTTATATTCTATTCGTGTAACAGAAAAGATTTCACATTTTCTGGAAGCCACACTAATTATTGGAAGAGCCTATCCAAGCAGAAAAAGATTTCATTATGCTAAATGAAAGCCTTTATGTACATATATATTTTATAATAGTCTTGCTATTCCACATTTGACATCTGAGATACTGCTGAGGTATGTTCATCGCCAGAGTATAATGGTTCCTTCCCAATCATTCCAGGGGCTCCTTTGATTCCCACATCCTCTGGCCACAGGTGAATTATCTCAGGGTCATTTCTATTGGTGATTACCTAATTCCTTTGGCTCAAACCCTAGTTCTCAGTTTGAACATATTTCAAAGAAATAAAGTTTCTAAAAATCTGTATGTATTTGTGACAGCACAAATTCAAATCTCGAGGGATAAATGAGTACCAACTACAGCATGAATTAGAAATGAAGAGTGTGTTCATGCTCCCTACGTTATCATTATAGCTTTCATGTACCCGGCAGTGCTCAGGGCTTACTCTTGGCTCTGGGCTCAGGGATCACTCCTGGTGGGGCTCAGGGGACCACCTGGGGTGCAGGGGATTGAACCCAGGTCGGCCATGTGCAAGGCAAACACTCTACCCACTGTACTACTGCGCTGGCCCCATTTCATCATTAAGATAATTTTTTTAATCTTAATGATATTCTATTCGCGTAACAGAAAAGATTTCACATTTTCTGGAAGCCACACTAATTATTGGAAGAGCCTATCCAAGCAGAAAAAAGATTTCATTATGCTAAATGAAAGCCTTTAAGGGCTGATAATAATAGTAATATGGATGTTGATATTTTGGTGCAGAGTTCTGAGATCTTTGGTAGTAATGGAGAATCAGTAACTTCACACACCAAAGCATAAAGGTTAACACTATTCTAACCAGGTTACCGCAACAATACAAATTTAAAAAGCAACAAAAACCCAAAGATATATGTGTGTATTCTTACTAAACGTGAGAAACAACAGGAAATGACAGTATCTCTCTGAATTACACATCTCACAGACTTCATCATCTTTTCTTTACAGTCTTTGAGATTATTAACAGGCCTGAAAGAAGAGTGTAATTCTTTGAGAAGCAAACCCACAGGGAAACTTCAAGTTTTAAGATGGGCTGGGCTGCCTCACTCATTTAATAAACAACACTTTTCATTTCCACTTTTAAAATGACTTTCTTGTTTTCCTACCCAGGACATTTATTTGGAATGAAAGGTAGGGGCAAAGAAATTAAATATAGACGAGTTGATTATTAACTCGCTGTGGTGCTATGCATTCTTCCAGGACACCATGTTGGGTATCAAATAATGTTGGCATGTTGGCAGAGAAGCCAGTGCTTGGGCTCAAAGACTAAATGAAAAACGGAGGTGTCATTTCAGTAATAGAGTAGTTTGTTCCCTGACCTTTAATTATATTAGCACTGGAACTCTTTCTCTCAATCAAATAGGACACCAAACACTATGAAATGTCAGTTTCTGTTCATGAGCTGGCCACCAACAGGTAGAAACACCAAGGCAGAAGAGAAACTGAGATGCTGATTTAGAGAGAATTTAAAAGCAACTAGCTCCCTTCTTGATCCTCTGAACAAAACACGATCTCAAAACATTGATGCTCAGTCCAAACTTGACTCTGACTGGCTGGGACTGATGAAAATTTAAATACTCAAAATACTAGCATAGTAAATTCTCCTTCTCCTTTTTTTTCTTTTGTGTTTGGGCACAGCTGGTGATGCCTACATATTATTTCTGACTCTGCTCTCAGAAATTATTCCTGATGGTTCGTGGGGGACATATGGGATGCTGGGAATCAAACGTAGGTCCACCTTATGCAAGGCAAGCAGGCTACTCACTGTATTATTGCTTTGGCCTTTGGCCCCAGCAAATCAAAGCTTTACATCATCTTTTGCCTCTAATTATATGTATTTTTATTCAATTTCTTTGCTTGCTGTAATACAAGGAAATTAACAAGCTGCAAGGTCTTTTTAAAATTAGAAATGAATATTAATAGTAAACATCTATCAGAGGCTTTTGTATTTGCTGAAGTTCACAATCACAGTTAAATTTTCACAAGCACACAATTATTCAATTGGTGACAAAATGAACAGTTCCTTAAGACAGGGACTTAAAGGCAATAAGAAATATGAAGAGTGAGAATTGAGAAGTAATGAAACACATTTTTTCCCTTTTTTTGTAGGAGTACTGCTATTTATTCAGCCACTGATTAGCTGATTGAATTGTGCATGAACTCCACGAAACACATTTTTTAACACGAGTATATACAGAGATCTCAGTCACTGGCTATGGCAGTCAGAGTTTCATCTGTATTATAGCACTTCCTGTGTGTTCTAATGGGAATCTTTTAAACTCCACTATAATCAACTGGAAATTATAATTATAATGTGTCATGGATATGACTTTTATTGGTTAAATTTAGTGTTCTACTCCTCCCTTAATCCTCCTAGGTGGTTTTCTCAACCCTTTATCTCTAGGATCATATAACTTTTTAGCTTTCTTTCTTTTTCCGGCGGGGAGGGGGTGTGTTAGAGGGTGGGTCAAACCTGGCTGTGAACACAGGAACCAGTGTTCAGAGATCACTTGCCTCAGGGATCAATCCTGGCAGAACTCAGTGTAGCAAACCCAGTGCCAAGGATAAAGCAGCCTCGGGCATGAGCAAGGGATAAACCTGAAGGACTGCATTGTCTCTCTGGTCCCCAAACTCTGAGTTTTCTGATGCTTGAGTTAAGAACCCTCTATGTACTTGCTCTTTCTGATGCATTTGAGAAAAGTAAATGCCAATCATTTACTGCGAAAAGACACCCTATTGGGTCCTGAACAGAGCAAGACCATGGTCCAACAACTCTTACCTGGAAACTGAGTATTTGCTGGAGTCTCTCCTTCATCTGATGGCATCGCTGATTTACTACTGAGTCCAGCAAGGACAATCTACCCACTAGACAACCCAGAGTATCTTCAATAACATCACGGTTATCTCCATTCTCTGGAAATGCTTGGGAAAACAAGTTCTTGTTCTTGTCCATTTCTTCAGACATTTCCTTAATATCTTTGGCAAGAGTCTAAGGTTAAATAAAAGATAAATCTCATTTAACATCTTGTTCTATTCATCTCTATGACAGTAAATCATTTTCTTATAGAATGGCGACTCTCTCCCGCTTACTGTTCTGCTTTGATTGTTTCTAGGGCAAGATGAACCATTTCATGTATGGCTATACATTTCAGGCAAGGTTGTGCTTTTCCTTTGGGGTGGGTGGGTTGGGGAGCTGTTTCCATCACCACTCAGGAGAGCAAGGAGTTCCTTCTAGTGATTCTCAGGCATCTGGGTTGGTGGTTTGACGTGGACACCTGAGAATGTGGTACAATGCTTGGGGAATCTCCAGGTGAACCCAGGAATTGAAGTACCATCAGTCATAAGCAAGATAAGTGGCTTAACCTCTGTTGTGTCTAGTGACTTCTTTCTGTGGTTTTCGTGTTTTAAGAACTACCTACGGGCTGGGGATGTAACTCAGAGCATCACATGCCTTTCAAGTGGAATTGCCCTGGTCTTAATCCCCAGAATCATTAACATAAAACATTAAAAAAAAAACTTTCACTGAAACTACACATCATTAGTTAACAATAACAAACACTTGCTAAAAGATGTGTTTTTCAAGTCAGATTTATGAATCCATGCATTATTAATTTTTTTAGCCTGCATTTCATATATGTAGAATGTATGTATAATCTGAGATGGTTTCTACAAAGGATCCTCTCATTTCCCCCTTCCCACATATACCAGGTAAAGAATAAAAATGTAAAACAAGGGGCCAGAGAGATAGTGCAACAGGTGAGATGCTCACCTTGCACGTGGCTGACCTGGGTTTGTTCCCCAGTATCACACAGTCCCCAGAGCCATTCCAAGAGCAATCCTTGAGCTCAAAGACAGAAATAAGCCCTGAGTACAGCTGGGTGTGGCCCAAAACCAAAAAAAAAAAAAGCAAAACATAAATATATTTTATGCTTAACCTTCTTTATATAGAACATTCATGGTGTGATCTCCAAACTTCACCTACTTTGTCACATCAGATGTGGGCCCGAGACAGGACACTCACCTCTTGCGTGGAAATGCAGGTTTCTGTCTCTTCCGGTAAAAGTGCCGTAGCAACAAATAAACGCTCTTCAACATCATCCAACCATGTAGAGGTGGCCGAGACCCCATCGTATAACTGACGCTCCAATTGAATATTTTGTGTCTTTGTCCCTCCCCCCTGGGAAGAAAAGAAAGAAATACATAAAGAGGGGGATCAAAAAAGCAATGGTGGTGTTTCAAGGTATAAACAGAAGAATGACTAGTGTTTTAGGACTATCAGCATCCCTTGGTCTGAGGGGATTGGTTAAATCCTCCAACTGAAGGCATACATGGGACTCAGCAATCAAGAAAAATAAATAAGCAAGAAAAAGCCACAGGTAAAGCCCAAGGATTTTTTTCAGAATTGGCACAGCCCAGGGACTTTCTCAGGCTGGCGTTTGAGGTGGGTCTCAGCTGTTCAAGCACAGGCTGGATGATAGTCCTAGACACCGAGACACACAGCCACCAGCCTACCTGGGAAGAGACCTCCTCGAAGGCCTGATTCAGTCCATCCAGCAGAGACGTCACTGCAGATTTATCTTGCGGTTGCCCATCCCCTTTGTACAGTGGTACCCCTGCCAGCAGCCGGTTTGGTCTGCTGAAAAGCTGCGGAGCAAACACATGAGGGCAGTTTGTTAAAAAAGAGCCTGCCGAATGGGTCTGGGTTTTCTTATTCTGAGGTGCAGAAGGAAGCAGGAAATCAAAAACGGTCCTGAATAGAGTCTTCCTTTGCACTTCCAAGGGAAGGCAGGAAGGAATCTCAACTCCCACAGTCTGAATCATCTGTGCAACACAGTGGCAGCAAGATAAGGTTTGTCTAGAAAGTTCACAGGAGGTTGGCAGGGTTCCAGCAAACACAACCTCTCCAAAGTCTATCAGATGAGCATGGATAAGACTCCTGAAGGGCTGAAAATGTAGGATGGGCCACATAGGGGCTTTGAGTTGAATGGAGAGTATACAGGATGTTGTAGCTTGGGCAAGTGATTGGAGAAGATTGTCAGAAATGTTCCAGCCAGGGACTGGAACGTTAGCACAGCGGGTAGGGCATTTGCCTTGCATCCCAGCATCCCATATGGTCCCTCAAGCACTGCCAGGAGTAATTCCTGAGTGCAGAGCTAGGAGTAACCCCTGTGCATCTCCGGGTGCTCGAGCGGGCCCAGTAACATCTCCATTGGAGACTTTGTTGTTACTGTGTCTGGCATATCGAACACATCACGGGGAGCTTGCCAGGCTCTGCCGTACGGGCGAGATACTCTTGGTAGCTTGCCAGGCTCTCCGAGAGGGGTGGAGGAATCGAACTCGGGTCAGCCATGTTGGCTGCGTGCAAGGCAAACACCCTACCGCTGTGCTATCACTCCAGTCCATCTCCCATCTCCGGGTGCACAAAAAGAAAAAAAAATGTGCCCGCTGTATCTGACCAGGAGCGAGGAAAGACCCGCAGTCCCTGATTTGAGTCGATGGCAACCACTCTGATCAAATGAATGGGGAAACATGCCACCGTGAGGGTGGGTAAAAGTCGGCTCCACAGAGGGATATGAGAAGTCAGGAAGTTCAATTCTGAGAGGCTGGAGCGATAGTCCAGCAGAGAAGGCATTTTTCTTGCACGCGGCCAACCTGAGTTCGATCCCTGGCATCCCATGGGGTACCCCGAGCACCACCAGGAGTAATTCCTGAATGCAGAGCCAGGAGTAACCCCTGTGCATTGCCAGGTGTGACCCAAAAAAGAAAAAAATTGCAGTGCTATTCCAGCACTGGGTGTTGCTTCACTAAAACAAAAAGTAGAATGACTATTTTATGCCCCATTTTGGCATGAAGATATCGATTACTACACAGTTGTATTTCCTAAGCATAAGCTGGATGTCTTTTTACATGAGTCAACAAGTGAAAGCAAAATGTTTGATACCACTTGCTCTTGCTCCTGTTCCAGAACATTCTGCAGTAATTTCTGCTTGGTGCTAAACTCTTGATGTAGGCTTTCCCATTTCTTTCTCATCCGGTCTTCAGCGGGTGACTTCTCACCTTCCAGCCCCGCCTCCTGGGACAACACATCAGGTTTTTCGCTATTAGAAGAATAAATAAGCTAAGTTTACACGGTGTGCAAAATAAAAGTGGTTAAGTTTAAATAACGTATTGCTTTAATTAGATCCCACCTTTAAAAGTGAAACTGAGCTATTTTAGCCATTAGCTTACACTCTGAAAAACTTAAAATAAAAAATCTGGGGCTGGAGCAAGAGCACAGCGGATAGGGTGTTTGCCTTGCATGCAGCCAACCCAGGTTCAATTCCCAGCATCCCATATGGTGCTCTGAGCACTGCCAGGAGTAATTCTTAGTACCTGAGCCAGGAGTAACCCCTGTGCATCTCCGGATGTGACCCAAAAAGAAAAAAAATGAGACTAGTTATATGAAAGTATACCCTTATCCATATCTTATTTGAACCATGACATAATAAAAACATTTTGATACATTGACAAAAGCTCAGCATTAAAGATTCAAAAAATAACATTTAGAATCAATTTTTTTTTGGTTTTTTGGGTCATGCCCAGTGATGCACAGGGGTTACTCCTGGCTCTGCGCTCAGGAATTACCCCTGGCAGTGCTCAGGGGACCCTATGGGATGCTGGGAGTCGAACCTGGGTCAGTCGTGTGCAAGGCAAACGCCATACCCGCTGTATTATCACTCCAGCCCCATCAAAGAATTCTGCATGATCATATGTAGCAGTTTTTGACAAGTTGCCCAAAAAATAATTCCAATGCCCCAGAAATGCTTCTTACAGGGAGGCAGACCTGGGTTTGGGAGTAGGAGAGAGAGAGAGAGAGAGAGAGAGAGAGAGAGAGAGAGAGAGAGAGAGAGAAGGGGAAGAGAGACAGACAGAGAGCACACTACAGGTAGGGCACTTGGCTTGCATGCAGCTAAACCAGGTTTGATCCCCAACACTGAGCACAGAGCCAAGAGTAAACACTGATCACTAGTGGGTGTGGCCCTCAAAGTACTATATGCTACTCTGCAAGTCAATTCTTCCTAAAATGGGGGATTCTTCTTCGAGAATATAGCAGTGAATCTCTCCCACTTGAGCACTAAAAAATGAAGGAGGAAAAAAGAGGAAGAAGGAAGAAGGGGAAGGTGGGGAAATAAAGGGAGAAAAAGAACAAAGGAGAAGGGGTGGAGGAAGAGAAGAAAGAATTCATCAAGAAGAAAACATGGGGAGGGGATAAACTGTTAGATTCAAAGCAAAATCCTATTAAGCAGTTATGAAGAGCTGGGGCTGTATGTATCAACGTGGATGGATCTAAAAAAAATTCTCAGTGAAAAAATGCCAAAATAAAACTGAAAACCACTGTTTTTGTTTGTTACACTAGGCTAGGACGAAGGAGACATTACTGGTGCCTGCTCGAGGCAATTGACGAACAACAGGATGATCGTGATCGTGATACCAGTCTTTGGACTTTGGGGGAAGGCATGCAAATCTTGTAAGGTAAAAGACAAGTTTAAAAATTCTTATGAAAGACAAATTTCATTATTGCGCCCTCTTCTGTGGTAATGGGCTGGGGTACATATTGCTTTCAGTTGCCAAGAATTGAACCCAGGCTTCACATATGCATGGCCAGTGTCCCAATGCTGAGTCACAGCTCCAGTCCTACACGGTCACTTCAATTCATTTCTGATTCCACAATAATTCAGTATAAAACCAGGAGATACATAATATCTCTAGTCTCAAATTTGATCCTCTTGGTTAATGATTTGGTCTTCTATTTGATCACCACCAGCAAGTGAGTCTTAAATTCAATTGACATAGTTTATCATTTCCCATGGAATGTATTTTTATGTATATAAAATATAAATTATGCATAATATATTTTATAATATATTAATACATTGTGTTGTCTTATAATATATAATATATAAATATATTATGTTGTCTTATAATATATAATATATAAATACATTATGTTGTCTTATAATATATTGTTTAATATAAACAATAAATAAGTACATAATATATTTCCTATTGATGGTTTCCATTTGATTTTCCTCAGTAATCATTGGAGTCTCCCAGTAAAATGACTGTACACACTCACTATAAATATTTATATGTATGCTTATTGCTATGTGTATTAATATTTATTTATACATGTAAATATTTATTTAGGAGGCGTGGGAATACCCTGATATACTCAGGGCTTCCTCCTAGCTCTGCGTTCAGAAAATATTCAGTGCCATGCCTGAAGACCCACAGAGAGTTCTGGAGATTTAACCAGACCAGTCAATGGACCGAACCCTTGAACTATCTCTCCAGCTCCTTATTATACATTTCATTGATACCCAAGACACAAGTTATGTCCTTCCCACACAATTTCTTTTTTTTCTTCTTCTTCTTTTTTTGGGTCACACCCGGCAATGCACAGGGGTTATTATTCCTGGCTTTGCACTCAGAAATTACTCCTGGTGGTGCTCAGGGGACCATATGCAATGCTGGGAATCGAACCCGGGTTGGCCAAATGCAAGGCAAACGCCCTCCCCACTGTGCTGTTGTTCCAGCCCCACAATTTTTCTTACATAAGCTGAATCTCATGTCCAATCTCTCAAAACCCAGCTAACAAGTGCAAGATTGAATATGACTTTCCCCTTAGCAATGCTATTACGCTGCTCTTTCAAGAAGAATATGGGTTTTCTTTCTGCTTCTGCATGCAGCCTCCTTCCAGGGTGTTTGCTTAGTTAGGGTTATTTACCCAGAGACATAAAGGGCTTGGTTGAACTGGAATTAAATAGAATTTAAAGGTGACTTTTCTAAAGAATTTATATTAAAAAAAAAAAAGAAAGACTTTACAGCAGTTTTAAAAGTGAATATTGCACTGCAGGGCTTCTCTTAAAAACATTTTTATACTTGAAAGAGCAATTTATAGTTGTTTGTCTTCCCTCTGGGACTCTTCCAAAGCTTAAGGCCAAGACAGAGGGGAAAAAAAAAAAAGCAAGGCAAGTTCATTGCAAAAGATTCTTCCTGCTTCTTGTAACCTCACATCGGAGAAGGAGACAAAATAAGAGGGACTTCTTGGTCAAACCAGAGTTGGAGACGGAGAAGGGGGAGGGGTGCAAGACACAAAGGTAAAAATCCTGCCTGTGCATGTAAGGCCCTGGGTTCCATCCTCATTACAGCAAAAAAGAAACAGAAGGAGGGGGTTGGGATGATAGTACAGCAGGTAGGGCCTTTGCCTTGCACATGGCCCACCCAGGTTCAATTCCCAGCATCCCATAAGGTCCCCTGGGCACCGCCAGGAGTAATTTCTCAGTGCAAAGCCAGGAGTAACTCCTTTGCATCAGTGGGTGTAAACCAAAAAGAAAAAAAAAAACAAAAACAAGAGAGTTTGGCCACCAGTGTCCAGGAGGACTAAAAACTATAGGAACATTTCAGAAGAAGCAGAAAACAGAAACTGCAAAAGAAAGGCTGGTCTCACCTCAGAAGCAGCATGAGGGGGGGGAAAAAAAAAAGCGTGTCTCCCTGGATTAACAGACACGGCATTTATGGCCTGGTCGGCATTTGCAAGCACTGATGGAGAGGAGAGATTATTTCAACTCCTTGAGTGCATCCCATGATTTTTGTTGCTTTCAGATGATTTGAATGCAGTGCTTGACTCTAGATGCCATACTCGTTCCTGCTGTTTGAAACTAATACTTGGTGAATGGTCTCAATGTTCAGAGCACTGTAGTACTGTATCACTGCCCTCCCGTTGTTCACTGATATGCTCGAGCGGGCACCAGTAACGTCTCTAGTGTGAGACTTGTTACTGTTTTTGGCATATCGAATACGCCACAGGGAGCTTGCCAGGCTCTGCAGGGAAATACTGTCCATAGCTTGCTGAGCTCTCCAAGAGGGCCGGAGGCATTGAACCCGGGTCAGCCATGCCGGCCGCATGCAAGGCAAACGCCACACCCGCTGTGCTAAGACTCCAGCCCAAGAAGACACATATTTTTCAAAATACTAGGGGCAGATTTAACTATTTTGTTTGTTTTAGTTTGGGGTGTCACACCCAGCAGTGATCAGGGCTTATTATTCCTGACTCTGCACTCAGGAATAGTCCTGACAAGGCTCTGGGGACCATAAATGGTGCTGGGGATCGAACCCAGGTCAGTCGCCTACATGACAAATGTTCTACCCACCGTACCATAGCTCTGGCCCCACAGATGTATTTTGTTTAGGGCAAAGATTTAAAGTTAGATTTTATCATTCTCTGGGACACACCAGAAATCAAAGTTCCTCAGACGATTCTTACTAGACTTTAAATATTGGTCTCAGGGGCATCGCCTTGGCAGAGCTCTGCTGAACATTCTGGAAAGAGCAGAAAGGATCTAGTCCACTCACAACTAGTCACACTATGTTCAAAATGTAAGTGAATTTGATTTTTTTTTAAAAATTGCTACATTTTTGCAAATGTTTAAAACAGTATTTTGTGTGAGCTGTTAGATTCCTTCAAATGTCAGGAAAACAGTGGCAGAGAGACGATTCTGGAAACATACCCAGTGCCACCAGTGGCCTCTGCTGCCGAGTGTTGGGTTAAAATTTCCTCTCCGCGGCTGGCTACTGACCGCAGAAGGTTCTTCTGCTCAGCTAATTCTTGTTCTAACTCCTGTTCAAGGAAAAAAAGACAAAGGAAAACATCTTTATTAACAACATTATGATTTTTGTCCACGATCTTGCTTCTGAGTCGACAAATAATTTTTCTCGTAAATTTAAATTTGCACATTTTGGAAGAGGTATGGTTTAGGTAAATACGCAAACATGTTGCGAAGCAGTCCAAAGTTTACTTTGGCTCAAGAGAGAGCTGGAAAAAACCTTGGTAAAAATCAGTAGGAAAAGAGAATTTTGCTGGGCAACAGCGCCCCCGAGTGGCCAAGGCACACATTCGCGTTTCTAAAGCAAGACTGCCACCTAGCTGGGAGTCTTTGAGGGCTCTCTCGCACGCCTTTGTGTTTTGTTTTTGGTTTTGTTTTTGTTTTTGTTTTTGTTTTAATTTTTATTAGTGAGACACCATGAGGCACAGTTGTAGACTTACAAATTTTTGTGCTTGGGTTTCAATTGTACAATGATCAAACACCCATCCCTCCATCAGTGCTCATTTTCCACCACCACGGGTCCCAGTATCCATCCCACCCCCCAACCCCCCATCCCACCCTGCCTCTGTGGCAGGGCATTCCCTTTTGTTCTCTCTCTCTCCTTTTGGGTCCTGTGGTTTGCAAGAGAGGCATTGAGTGACAATCGTGTTTGGTCTATAGTCTACTTTCAGCATGCTTCTCCCACCCTGGGAGGATCCTCCCAACACCCTTTATTCGGTGCTCCCTTCTCTATCTGAGCTGCCTTTTTCCCTAGCACGTGTGGCTGGCCTCCAAGCCATGGAGCAAAATTCCTGGTACCAATCTCGACCATTCTTGGTGTTAGTCTCCTATTTTGTTACTTTATATTCCCCAGATGAAAGCAATCTTTCTATGTCTGTCCCTCTCTTTCTGACACATTTCGACCAAAATAATTTTAAAGAAGAAATTCATACTTTTACCAGTTCTAGAGAGACTTTCTTGAGGGTTTTTTTTTAACATACAGAATACTCAAATTGGGACAAAAATTGAAAATAGAGCAGGTATCCATGATCAGGCTGATTACAGTTGAGCTTGACTGACTCAAACTCTCAACTTTTGCTTAATGACTGCACTGTTCTTTTAGTTGTTGTAGTTGTTTTCTTCCAGTTTTTAAGCCACAAAAAGCAATGCTTGGGACCTATTCCTTGCTCTGTCCTCAGGAATGACTCCTGATGGTGCTCTGGGGACCCATATGGGATGCCAGGAATCGTGCAAGGCCAGTGACCAATCTCTCTCCAGCCCTTAATGTCTTAATGTCTCTCCAGCCCTTAATGACTTAACCTTTAAAATAACCCATCACCCCAGCGGTCATGAGTAAGTGCAGTGAGACAGATCTTGCTTCTGTCCATAGGAAGAGAGGACAGTTTTGACTTTAGTATCAGAAATACTTCTTTGAAGGTGTTGGTTTTGCCAACCTGCAGAGAGACAGAGGGGAGATACTTTACTTTTTGTTGCTGGAGGCTGTTCTCACGCTGGTGGGTCCACGTGGTACGGGCCTGGGCCAACCATTCCTGGACTCCGGGACACTGGGTGGTCGCGAGGTCCGCTTCCTTCTCCTCTTTCTCTTGTGCTGTTCCCTGCTTTTAAAGAGGCAGAAAGCAGGGGTCACATTACCCGCAGGAAATTCTCTGCCGTAAATAGCAAAATGATCTTACTGTGGTTGAGCTAATGATACCAAAGAGGCCCTGTTTGGTTTTTCATAAAAGTAAGTAACACAAAATCCATCAAATATATGACATTTGCAGGGGAACAAGAAGCATGCTTATGCTTGGAAATAACTGAGTGGAGAAAACCTGTTAATTTAGATATTACATGTTTGGGTTCCTTGAGATAGTCACTAGATACTATTTCAATTTCCCTTTTTTTTTTTTTTGCCACAGATTCATCTATGCCACTCTAGACCTCACAGATCCATTTATGAGTTTTAAACAAGTCTCCCAAAGGTGATATATCCCTCATATTTTACGTTCTCTCGCCTGCAAAAGCATTACCCCCGCACAAACTCCTCACTCTTTCCAGCTCCATTTAAGGAATGCAGTCCAAGTGTCTGCTCCTGAAGGTTTGCCACAGAAATGTCATGCATGCCTTTGAGAAGCGCCGAGACCACAGCTCTGCAGGATTTCACCTTCTCTTAAATTCAATGGAAGCTAAAACTTGATCCCTCACTCACAGGGAAGAAAATTTAACAGCAATAGAGGCCAGGGGTTCCCTGCTGAGTATCACAGGTCTGTCACTACTTCCACAGCCAATTCTCAAGAACAAAGATCTGCAATCTTTTTGATGCCTGGCATCCCCTCCCCCCCCCCAACACACACAGATGCAGGGAGCAATACTGAATCACCACAGCAGTCTTGAACCTTTGCAGTAGGCCAATAGTCTTGAACCAGTTAACGGGGTGGGGGCTGGGTAAAGACTGCCTTTTGTGAAAAGGATGAACGTGTAAACTCTCCTTAAGGAACATCTCCAGGGAAGACCCAATCTCCTTGTCTCCTTACTGTGCAGAGAACAAAAATGAAGTCTGCCCTCTTTGTCTTCACTGTGCCTGAGAGTGAGGGGGCTAGAGACCCCTCCCCCCAGTTTATTCCATGGCCCACTCCTAAAGGAAGTCTGTAAGAGAAGCAGTGATGTCATAAAATGGGACTTTGGGAGTGACTGGAAGCCCATTTATTATGTTAAAATGTTTTAATAAAACCAAAAACAACCAGGTTTTGCCTGGAATCTTAGTGGCGGAGCTGTAGAGACTTCATTCCTAACGTAACTGCAATTGCCACCTCTTTCCAATTTTATTTTATTTTGACTTTTAAGTACTTATTTTATTATTGACTGGAAGTTAATGAAACATATATGGTCAATTTCCTTAAAGGTGAACAAGTACAACAGTCAAAGAAATAACACAGCAGGTAGGGTGCCTGCATTGCCCGTCGCCAACCTTGATTCAATCCCTGGCATCCCTTCTCTTTCCAATTTTAGATGAGCAACTGGACCTTTGTTGGCTCAAAGGAGAAGCTTCTTTTGTTGTTGTTGTGGTTTTTTTTTTTTTGGCGACACCAGCTGTGTTCATGCCTTACTCCTGATTCTGTGCTCATGGATCACATCTGGCAGGCATGGGGACCTTACGGGGAAGTCGAGGATCTACTGCATACAAGATGAGTTGCCTTACCCACTGAACTATCTCTCTGGCCCCCCAAAGACCACAGTTTTCATTCCTGATCTGCACCAGTGAAGTTACCTGCTTGATAAGACTTCCCCCTTTATCCCTCTCCACCCCCCCACCCTAATCACCCACCTTTTCCTGGGGGGAAGATTTTTATTTTTTTTATTTTTTTAAATTTTTTTTTTGTAGGAGTACTGCTATTTATTCAGTCACTGATTAGCTGATTGAATTGGGCATGAACTCCACCTTAATTTTTTTTTATTTTATTTTTTTTCTTTTTATATTTATTTATTGACTCACTGTGGGAAAAGTTACAAAGCTTTCAGGTTTAAGTCTTGGTCATACAATGATCAAACACCTCTCCCTTCACCAGTACTCATTTTCCACCACCAAGAACCCCAGTATACCTCCCCCCCTCCCATCCCTCCAAATGCCTGTGAGGCAGATGATTTCTACTTAACTCTTTTCTACATTGATTACATTCATTATTTCGACAAAAGATGCACCATTATTGTTTAGAATTTCGGGGGAAGATTTTTAGCTTGAAATCATATTCATTTCCTTTTTTTAATGTTCTTTCTCCACGCTCTAACTATAGATTAAAAACTCTCCTATTTCATCTAAGATCCTAGCAGGGCCTTTCTACTTGTTACATGGGACACTACAAAATAATCATCAGTTATAAAGTCAATTCACCTCTAAGTATGTGTATTTTGCTTCATATATTACCTTGAACGTGGCCCAAGGAAATGAGAATATGAATTCAGTATTAGAACCAGAAAGCCTGGGAGCCAGAGAGATATTACAGTGAATAGGGTGTTTGTCTTGCACACAGCTAACCCGGGTTCAATCCCCGGCATCCTATATGATCCCCCAAGCACTGCCAGGAGAAATTCCTGACTGCAGAGGCAGGAGTAACCCCTGAGAATCACTGGGTATGCACACCCCCCCCACCCTTGCCCGCGAAAATAAATAAATAAATAAATAAAAATTAAATGAATAGAACCAGAAAGCCTGTCTGCTTAGGGAGGGTTGAGAATGTAAAAAATTCCCCCCTTATCTTTTCCTCCAGGATAAGAGCTTAAAAAACTTAATCAGGAAATGAGCCTTGGGGGAATATTGTGAATTTATGGCTCTCCCTGGATCCACCAACCTATAACCTGCTCTTTCTAAAAATGTGCTTCCCTATTTTCTTTCTCTATAAGCACCTCTTCTTGGACCCTGTAAAACATGATGGCTGTTTGGAAGATATAAGCCTCTATCCACCATGCTGTATCGCAGTCAGGTGGTGGGGCCTGACAGTACAATGGGTAGGGCACTTCTCTTGCATGCAGGCAACCTGGGTTCAATCCCTGGCACCCAAAATAGTCTCCCAAGCTGGCTAGGAGTGATCCCTGAGTGTAGAGCCCTGAGCAGTAAACGCAGAACGCTGTTGGGTGTGACCCAAGCAACCATCACCCCCTCCTCCCCCACAAAAAAAGAAGAAAATTGCCCAGTCCCTGAAGTAGCCCAAAGGCATGAGGAACACATCTTTTTGAGATGAAAAGCCTGATCTCTTTGTAGAAGGAGAAACTGAGGCACCACCCAGAAAAGGGTGGACCCCTCTGAAAAGGAGAAGCTACAAGAGAATCCAAAGGTCCTGATAAGAATGTGAAAGCACCTTGGAGATTACAGGACTTACCCTTACTCACACCTAGGTTAGCTTCATTCACCTAGACTTGGTCTGGTCTGGAGAATCTTTGTATGACCTTCTCCCAAAGCCTTTCTCTGCTTTATTTCCCTGGAGAAGCCCAGGATCTTTCCTGAACACATTTCTCTTTGTCTTCCCTCACAGCTCTCTAAATTTATTTCAATAAAAACCAATTTGGAAGTGAATGATGCTTGGAGGGCTCGCTCAGGATGGGAGATGCATGCTGAAAGTAGACTATGGACCAAAGATGACGGCCGCTTACTATCTGTATTGCAAACCATAACACCCAAAAGGAGAGAGAGAGTAGAACGGAATGTGCCTGTCACAGAGGGGGGACAGTGTGGTGGTGGTGGGAGGGATACTGGGAACATCGGTGGTGGAGAATGGGCCCTGGTGGAGGGACGGGTGCTCGATCATTATATGACTGAAACATAATCACAAAAATTTTGTAAGTCTGTAACTGTGTCTCACAGTGATTCATTTAAAAAAAATGGTTTACCATTTCACCCCCTTCTGAATTTCTTTCTTTTCTTTTTCTTTTTTTTTTTCACACCCAGCAATGCTCAGGGGTTACTCCTGGCTTCGCACTCAGGAATTACTCCTGGCAGTATTTGGGGGACCATATGGGATGCTGGGAATCTAACCCAGGTTGGCTGCATGAAAGGCAAGCACCCTATCTGCTGTGCAATAGTTCCAGCCCCTCGTCCTGAATTTCTTTTCTGCCAGGGAATGCAAGGAGCCAGGAATGCTTGCATGAGGAGGGCACGGACTTCCCTTTGCTACAAGAGCCTTCAGCCTGAGCATCCAGTGCTGTGCAGAACAAGCGGATTTGGGGCATGGCTTGATGGCTGCCTCGTGGGGCTGGTGGGGCTCTGCCCTGTGGGTGCTCTGAGTAGAACTGACCAGTCCGGACCCAGGCTAAACATGTCCCCTGGTGTCTGAGGTCGGGTGAACAGAGAAGTGGAAGCATTGTTTTCTTGAGGTCACTTCCCTCACTCCCCACTTTATCAAGTCACCCACAACTGTTGCTGGAAACTGAATAAAACACTTTTTTTCAGTATCAACCCTGTGTAAATGGCCTTTGAGAAGCCCAGCAAATAAATTTGGGTTCTCAAACAACTTCATATTTGATTTTGCATTCACTGTATCACTGTCATCCTTTTGTTCATCGATTTCCTCGAGCAGGCACCAGCAATGTCCCCATCTGTCCTAGCCCTGAGATTTTAGCAAGTGCCACATTGAAGGCTCCTTCAGGGTCAGGGGAATGAGACCCATCATTGTTACTGGATTTTGGCATATCAAATATGCCATGGGGAGCTTGCCAGACTCTGCCATGTGGGGAGGATACACTCAGTAGCCTGTCTCTCAAGAGTGAGAACTAGACAATAAGAGGTCGCGCAGATGCAAATGCGGCCGCGCACTTCCGGGTACTGGGTTTTATAGTCCCTGGGTCTTGGCCGTTGATGGGATAACAAAGCGCAGGCGGCAGTTGGTGGGTGTAATGCCTACATACTGGAAGATGGGGAATCTGGGTAGAGGAGGAGCAGTTCCAATCCGAGCAGGCTTGGAGATCTCAGTCCTGGGTCCGGCACATTTGGGTTCCTCTGCCGGTTCCTTCATGCGTGAGGCTCGTCCAAACATGTGGAGAGTGGTTTTAAGCATTTCATATTACCAGTGATAAATCCAGGGGTTCGCCCATGCAAAGTGGGCACTTTATCACTGACCCACATTCC